TTTTTTTAAGAATAGAAAGTTCTCTGTTAGAAGTTACTTAAAAAATTGAAAAGATGCAATTCTTAATTCATTGTCTTGATTCACATTCACGTCATTGACATTGTCTCATACGTTACGAGTTTTAAGTAAGTTTTCAGTTTTTAACGTGATTCTACCAAGATCTCTGTGGTGTACTGCATACTATGAGTCATTGTAGTGTACTTACTAAACCTATTATTATAATATCTGACCTGCATTGAACTTTACATTTCTACAATAAAAACTATCAACGTAAACTTTGATTGAATTAGTTTTCTCAGTCTTCAAAAAGATCTTGAGTTATTTGCATTGTTAATTTTAATCATCTATTCACTGCTGAACATGGGCTGGGGGAAGAGGGTGTAATTTTTAATATCCATTTTAAATTTTTTGTCGGTTAAGGATCCATATTAATAAACTTATAAATATTAGACTTAAACATACCTCCTTAGTACACAGTAATTTATATCTTGTTAACCTCTCGACTCCCTGTAATTGGACAGAGTAACTAAGGTTCTTTTTTTATAAATTAAGTACTTATAATAATGTCTATAATTCAAGAAAAAAAGTATTCTAATAAAATTGAATGTGCAGATTTGTCATAAAAATCCAGATAACAAACTGACTATAAAATAAGTTATAGACAGTTGTTTATAGCTGACGGCAGTTGAATGGCCCTCGTCGTATAGTATTCGTTATAATATAATTCAATTCAATTAACATTCTCCTCCTTTCTTCAGCAGAGAGATGCTTAAGACTTTCAAGGCCGTGGGATGTCGTAGTTTGATGGGCTACTTTTGACTTGAAATTTGTGATGTAAATTCTAAATTGAAGGAGCCATGCATTTTTTTATAACTTGTTAATTATAGATACAACAATAGTGCTTGTTCATAGATTATTGTTTGACCGATTTAAATTTGCCGATTTGCCGTGTGGTCCCGGTATAGTATAGGCCACGCCTTCCTTTTCCGTGGGTAATATAAGAGGCGACTAAGAGTGGGCGAAGGATGGGCAGCGGCCTTCTTCTTTAAACATTTCTAAAGCCTAACTACGGTTGCCAATCCACCTGCTAAGCGTGGCAACTACTGGCAAAATCTCCCCAACGTGGAGGCTTATGTTCAACAGTGGACAGTTAGTTGAAAGCTGATATGATGATGATAAACAGATTTAAAAAAATGTGGACCTCAATTTGTCTATGCCTTTTGTGTTTCGTGATGTCTTGATAATTCTGATTTTGATTATTTTTTTTTAATTCCTGTAAACCAAATCTTACATAACATTAGTCCATTTTTCATCACTGTCATCATCATCAATCAATATATTCTACTAATAAGCATAAAATTTATCTAATACATTAAGTAGAGAAAATTATTAGAAATATTACACTAATCACGTGAAAGTGTTTTAGGTACGACTTTAGTTTTTTTTATTGATTTACTAAAAAATAGATCATTTATCTTCTATCTATAATATAAAAATGAATCGCTGAATGTGTTGCTAAGCGCAAATCTCGAGAACAGCTGAACCGATTTCGCTAATTGTTTTTTTATAATATTTCTTGAAGTACGACAATGGTTTTTACGGAAAGAAAATTTAAAAAAATTGCTTGAATAAGTCTAAAAGCAACACTTTTCTATACTTCCATACAAACGATTCATAATAATACTTAAAAGTCAATTTGAACTTTAGTACCATATCGTTAAGTTCAAATGTTAGTGGAGAGGTTCCGGGAAGGCAAAACAATTCAGTGATATGGCATGGCTTGTTTTATAATTTTTATTTTTAAACTTTACTTACTTAATTTAATTGTTGACTTATTAACTTCCTTTTTTCTTTTTTTATCTTACTAGCTAACCCGGCGTCCCGAATAGTAGAATAAATATTTAAAAACTAAAAAATTAAAAAATCGACTGTTAGGCGGTATATAGTTTTAATATATATTAGAAACTAGCTGTCCCTTGTTAAATATTTCGTTAGTACACATTGTATTGTATTAAGTAGGTGTATTTGATTAATTTTTAAAATATAGTATGGTAGGTAGGTACTATATTTTATTAATTGCTACCTAAACCAATATTACATAAAGTACAACATGATCTTGTCTATACTCATCACGAATCTCATTTATCTGTATATTAACATCTTTTTTTACAAAAACAAATTTCGTCATTCATTTAACAAATTACTTAGTAGATTATTGATATCTGTTTACCTAATAAACTTACGAAAAGACATCTAATTTGTTAGGTAATTGTTAGATATCTGCATATGGCACTACAGCACCGTACTCTTACGGTATTTATATGTAGAATTAATCTAAAAGAACAAGCGATAGAATCAGGTAGGTATAATATAAAAGAGCATTTTATGTACGAGTAGATACTAACACGGAACTAAATGTACGTGTACGTTTTGTTTCGCAATAAAAAAACAGTGTTTTCAATCGTATCAAAATTAATAAGTAATCTCATTTATGTGGTCCTATTTAAAAACTAATAAAACGCACCGAATAACAACGGGTTATTTCGTAGACAATTAGAACGAATTAAATTAAAAAAGAAAACTTTAAGAAAACGTTTAGAATGCGGAAATGCGTCTATACTATACTGCTTCGCAAAGAAATCGGCATCTTTTCAATCGTCACAAAAAGAGTTTTATAAAAATCGACTTCGAAGTTTTTCTCTTTGTGAACTTTTTAACAATAATTTTAAGTAATATAATAATAAAACTTTTATATTAATTTTAACATTAATTTGAAGTACAATATACCTGACATGTCTATAATATACTATCATAGAAATTATATTGTCGTCTGTTTCTGTTGTGCTATGTCGTGGATTGCTTTTATTGCATAAAAATATAAACGAGTCTTTATAAGTGGTGCGTTGAAAAGAGAAATGGGGCATAGTATAAAACGAAGTGGAACAAAATCTAAATGTTACTGTGACATTTGGGTTGGCTATTGCCGCTTTGCGTATTACCTATTTGTCCTGAAGTACAGAGTACCTACTGTGTATTGCATGTTAATACCACTAGGTATTATAATATATAAAAATCCCGTGTTCACTTTTTGTTGCTTTTACTTGAGAGGATAGTTTTATCCCGATAATTCGAAATGTACAAGATGCACCCGTGCGAAGTCGGAGTCGGGTCCTCGGGTCACTCCACTAGTTTTAAAACATGCCGTCGGTCGCGCGACCGCTCCTTCTACTTGCAACTGTAATATGACTTGATGTTAGGGAGGTATTTAATTTTCCCTATGAATATGAAATATTATATAAAAGCTTCTAAAAAAATAAAAGAAATGTGTTCCCAATTTAGAATTAAAATTATATTAATCTTCACGTACATGTAGCTGTCTCCAAATCATAATTGTGCCTACGTTCTGACAACTGGTGATATTTTCACATAATTTTTCCCATAACAGCTCCATATAACGCGGTCTATCCTATTCTACTTTAGTTTGAGTGCTCTGACAGTCTATCAGTCTATCGTTCTTGTAAACTTTTAATGAACTTAAAAACATTTTTTTTTTATAAAAAAATCAAAATCTACTCGTAGCTCTTCCAGACTTTTTGAATATGAACTGCGATTCTTCTCATGACTATTACAAACTCTAGTAGGTATACTAATCTGACATTGACTTTTATCGGCCGGGTTCGCCGTGGCTGTGTCGCATTCGTGATTTATAGTGTCTGCGCTTTCCCCTCAATGGCGATGTTTTTGTGTACATAACATACTTATGTAGATGTAGTAGCAAAGGAGCCATATAATAGATTTCGTCACCGCTTCTAAACCATTTCCTGTTTTTCAAGAAACGTCAAATATTTAAGACATTTAAAAAATTTGGAGAGTCTATATTCGTCTCATTTTTTGTGGTTGATATGTTTGACAATTTATAATATTATGAAAATATATAGGTGATATTATAAAAAAATATTGGAATAGTCTACCAACCTCTACATAAAGTATACAATATCTACCAAATTTTAAAAACAAAAGTTATGTTATACTTATGTGTATATATGGATTTAAGTATGTATCAATAATTAAAATGTATATTTATATATTCATATTATCGTACATATTATATCTCTATATTTATAGTATTTAAAATAACGAACAGGTTTTCGTGCCTCCAGTCACGCTGTTTTATAATTACTCTTCTCCATCCAAAGATTGCCTTAAAAGGTAGTCTTAGCGATAAGGCAGCCCCTTGTTTTTTCAGTATAATATTTTCTTGTAATTGTTTGTATTGGGGGGAAAGGGACTGTTAGTAATGGAGACAGAATCCCATTGCTAGCAATATATGGTACTCAACCAGGTCGACCTCCTCGCGGTTCTCCCTGGAAACTATCATGGTTAATTCCTGATGAATTCATCATGATGGGCTAACTGGCCAGTTTTCATTCTCATCTATCACCCTTCACTGGTGCTCCGCCAGCGTATCCCGTTAGCGCAGGCGGGGTGGGGTTACCATACCATTTTCACCCATCAAAAAAAATTGTTTGTTTTTATAATAAGTTTACTATTGTAATCTTATAAAAGTTATTCAAAATGATATAATCCACCCTGAGAGTTTTTTTAATGAATATATTTTTGTATTTAGAACGTAAACACACTTGGAGTTGAACACGATAGTTTGACAACTAATTCATTAATTTCCATTATTAATATTTTAAATGTAACTGTATATAGTTTATTTGTTTCCTGGGGTATATTTTTTATAGCGCCTTAACAGCTTAACTAATCATTATGAAATTTGATATACACATATTTATGGATGGAAAAGGATATATATTACTTTTTATACCGATCAGTAAACATATCCCAGTCACGCGGACGAAGTCGCGAGAAGAAGTTAGTCCTAAATAACAATCGTTACATTACCTCTTTGTTCATTAAGCGTAAACATAATATACCTAATTAGTTTTAATTCTGAATACCTGACTGTATACCTAACTGTTAATTGTTTCTTTCAGGTATAGCACTACGTCCGTTCGGCCTCTCGTTGATATATCTGTTGCTGTATTTATTAGCACCATTGCCCCAAGTTCCAGACTCACAAACGTTTAGCGGTAAGCCACCGTTCTATTTTGAATTTTAATAGCACACCAATGAATCTATTTTAATTTAATTTGTGTGACTGGAATGCTGCATTATACCAAAAATATCGAGAGTTTCGATAGCAATGTGAGAGGGCTATTTAGGTCAACGAATGTAAATCTTATCACGTTTAGCACCTCCTTGTTTACGAATTGTTAAATGTACCTACATTCCTATCTTATATTTGGAATATAAGATAGGAATGTACCTAAATACATTAACATTGTACTATGCAACGCATGTTTTGTAATGCATTTCTGAATGGAAACAAGGATGCAATGTATATTTTCACCTAGTTTTGTACACGGATTTATACAAGAGGCGCAGGGTTGTACTTTGTGGCGTAATATGAGGCAGATCTATATTCAACAGTAAACAATGGATAGGTTAATACACAGATTACTTAATCTATCGAAGTTTTAATATATTGTGTTCTAGTTGCATTTACATGCTGCGCAGTGTTATGATTTAAATATGAGATACGTATGAGTGTTATTTCAGGATACCTAAATGTAGTACATATTTACATTCCATACCTTTTACTTACAACCTGTTGCAACATTTGTATTTAAACCGTGTATTTTCAGAACTATAATTTCACTTTGTCTTTTTAGTAAGCCTATATGTTCGTAACTAAACTCTACTGATGTTGTGAATATTTGTATTTTAATTTTACGGATAAAAAACGAATGTTGTTTATGAGTAAAAATAAATTATTTCAGGAATAAGGGGCAAATACCTTCTCCTTAATGTGGTAGTGTCAGTTTTACTTTTGATGGTGCATATTGCATGGCACAGTGCTTTGGCAGCGTTCACTCCCTATGGCTCGTTACTTGATCAGTATCCGATCATACAAAAGATTGGACATAATTTGGGTCTGGTTTCGTACGCTGGGATAGATCCTCTAATGGCCGTCCATTATTTAGCACCTGAGGTATGTAGCATCCATAGTAAATATTTTAATTGTACCTAATAATACATAGCAAAGGTCGCAACAAAACAGACATACTTTTCTCTATAAATGCTTGTATTTTGCGGGGATCGACATCAGAATATTATGTGCCTACTTGGTTATTGTAGCGGTTGATTTTGAAAAGATTTTAATGAAATTTGCTATACCGATACTCTGAAACTTGATAAAAGATGTAGACAAGGATTAGCGGTTGGATCTGCTACCCCAAGCTACCGCATAGTTAGAATACTTCTTTATACAAAAGTCATAGTACTCATAGTCTATGAAAATATAATTAATATTAAAAATGGGTTTTTGAAATTAAAAATCAAGTGTTGTTTTGAATATAACTTATATCGCAATCTTAGTGTAATAATAACGCATCATAATTTCAGCTAGTTATGACAAGTGTATCCCTGGTGGTATACTTAGTGGTCAAAAAACTGGTAACTGGACCAACGACTGATATTCAAAAGAAAGACTCCAAACATCAGCGGTATCCACTTCTTACTAGCGCTGGTGAGAACAAATTATTTTGAGCTTTTGAAATTATAGTGATATTTAAGTATATATATATAAGTATAGAATGGGCTTTTTTACCGTGGGTGTCGTAAAAGGGAACTTAATGGTCAGGTAATTGGTAGCAACGTCCCTCTTAAAACATCACCAAAGCCTAAATGCGGTTGCCAACCAGCGTACTAAGCATGGCGACAATTGGCAGAATCCCCCTCCCCCTCATCCGTAGAAAGAGGCCTATATGATGATGATAGTTTTGTTTTTGTTCTGTTATAATTGTTATATAAAAAGAATTTCAATTCACAAATTATATTAGTGTTAAACATCGTCTATAGATATCAATAAAACAACGTCATGGTCTTTATAGTGTACAGACATAATATATTGTATCTCCTATGACCATCAGAGGTGCAGGAAGTCTCTATATTGACTTTATATGTTGTCTATCTTTTAGACTAAGATGTGATGTTATAATCAAAGATTGGGCACTTCACCCTATAGGCTGGACACAAGACACGTTTTGCTATTTAACCAGAGTAATTAAAACATAGTTACACATACTACAAAACTTCAAATAGATAATAGTAGACATATCGCACAATCCCATCTGGTCCCAAATTAGACATAGCTTATGCTAAAGGCTCAAGTTGACTAATAAACTCTGTTAAACCGCTACACCCCATTATCATACATCAACACTTTACTACCTACAAGTAACTAAACAAATAATTTCTAATTGCAGGCAAATATTTATCGCTGTTCCTTATAATGTTCTCCGGTATTATGCGACCGAGTGTAACCTCCGGGATATATTTCCTGGTGTTCATGGGCGCAGCAACTGCGTGGGCTCTGGGACGTCCTCTCGAGCGCGGCTTTGCGGTCGTCGGTCGCTGTCTGATGGCCATCATGTCTGTCCATATACTAGTTCTCATCGTATACCAATGCTCTTGGCTTATTGCTATTTACCCACCAGATATGGATTTCGCTAGGTATGTGCTCATGTCATTGCCTACATTTTACTGTTGGTATGAGTTATATTAGTGTTAGTACCATGTATACTTCACCAGTAAGTTTACGAATTTCAGAAACGAACGAAACGCTATCTTTACTATTCAAAAAAACTTTCTATTAAAAAAGTAAAGGTTTCGTTTGTTCAAACACTTTATTCTCTGTCTATAGATACGCTTTAGGAAAATGTTTTATAGCACAAAATTTTGAAATATGACATTGGACCACTCAGATTAAATTCTCGTCGTAGATTTCATTGAAATATTATAACATAAAAAAAGCAATATTTTGTTGCATTCCTACAGACCGAAGGTCATATGGAATGGCAACCAAGAATATACCACTTTACAGTGTAATAAAAAATCTAGTTTCTCATCACATTTTAAGGAATAAGAACGAAATAGATTCATTATCAGTATTTTACTACACTATTAGCATGTCTACGGAGAAGCGATGGAGTAAATAAACAAACTAATACTGATTCAGCAGTTATAACAAATGTTGAATCGCTACAAATGGATTTTTTTCCAAGTGCATCTCAAATTAATCTTTGATATCTTTGCAGGTATTTTGGTCTCACAAAATTGGTTGTAATAAATGATACGGACCCCATGGCCTTTAAATATGAAGTAACGGAAGACCATATGTGGGCCACGCTGGCGAGTCCTTTAGTCATTCTCTTCACATACTTTATTCTCGCTATAGAAACCAGAGAACTATTTAAACCGAAGGTATGTATGCATTGACAAAACATCACCGAGCATTGTGAAACGGTTATTAGTTAATTTACTAACCAGATGATTAGCCGTCTGCTTTTTAAACTAAGTTTCAATTGGGATTTAGCTACTATCCTTTATTAATGCTATAAAATTATGACTTTTATGGCGGTATCTATCTTCGGCTCATAGTTATTATATTTTGTGTTTGTCCTGTAAGTGTTGGTATAGCTTTTTAATAATACAGCGAAGAAAGTACAATTTCTTGCTTAAAAACTATTTGAAAATTTAAATTGGAAAATTATTAACAGAAAAACAATGATAATTGTTTTTATTACAATGAAATCTAACCATTTCTTACGGGACATTCAGTTATTGGAAAATTTTATTTCTTATGCTATCAAATGGGGATGGTAGGCGAAAAAAAAGAGCGCATTGACGGGCATAGAGGCCGGCAAGCTGAACGGATCACTGGTGCGGGGCATGTCGTTCCACCGCGGCAGCCGCCGCGCACCCAGGGACAAGTGGATGAATGCCACTAAGAAAGTTCGAGTAAGCTTCTCGAATAATCATCCACCGCATAGTTGATTATATGTATATAGTACCTATTTCATATGTTGGCATATATATATTATCACTGCACATTAATTTTTAGTTTCTAGATTTCTTTTTCCATTATAAACGTTGTTCGTTTTGATTTAAAATGTTATTGCCAAATTGGATTAATAACACAAGCAAACAAAAAGAAAAATGTCAATGCAAGACAGGGTAAGAATGCATTTTAGTGAGTAAATAAAGTATAAAAGCACTTATTAATTATTTATTACCAATGAAATAATATAACGTTTATAAATAAGAAAAGTTGTTATTTACCTAAATAGTTTTTTTCGTAATTAGAACATGTTACTCATACTTAGTTTGATTTAAATTGTATCTAATTTACCACTAGTGTGTATAATGCATGTGACATGTGCACCTGTAGATAACTGAGATTTTGCACTGTTTTTAAAATGTAATTTACATACACTGTTACACACTATTAGATACGAAATAACCAAGCATAGGAAAAGGCATGACGCTTGCAGTAGGCAATAGAGGAACTAATAATTATATTATTGATGTTTTGGTTATTGAAATTTTTAAACATCAAAATTTTTCAACTTTTTGTTTGCAACCTGCTTTCATTCTTTTATAGGTTGCATATTCATACATAAATTCCAAAGCACTCCACGGGAACGCCAGTGAGACCACTCCTGTAGGTATTTCTTTTATTCTTTTTTTTATATAAATGTTGTGGGGGAATTGGGAATGACTTGTAATCTTGTTTACATTTTGTTTTATCCATGCTTAGATTTATTCGCATAATTAAAAAGTTACATAACTTTTATGAAAACTAATTACATATAATGTTAAATAACAAAAGCATGAATGAAACATAAAATGAACTGTACTGATACATCAGAAAACATTATTATTGTTATAATTATTACTTTTTTACACTTATATCTATTTTTGTTTATACATATTTAAAGAATCACTATATATTTGTATGCTGATTCACGCTATCCATCAAGACATACATAATACATGTGCTTTCTAAATATTTGCCATAAGTGTTTTAGTATGCGCCCGTTTTCATTATGTTTGTTGCACTGTCTTTTTAACTAATATTATGGTAAGTACTTACATGTTTTTCCATACATTATTTTTATGCAACTTAGAATGGCAAACAATTTATTACTTTATGTATTGAATTTTTGAAAGCTTGTGCTTATTTGATAAATGGCTCTAAATTCATTACTTAGAGGTGAAGTCAATAAAAAAAATAATAGAACTACTGAACAATGCAATCGTGTTATGCTTTGAGTTTTATGACATGTTTACACATGTAAAATATAGAATCTAAAATAACAGTATAATTTTTTAAATACCAAACAATAATTTTCCTAAAAAATAAATAATATTACGCTTAATTTAGTCTTTTCATTGATATAATATGTTCATGTATAGCTATTGCGCAACATCAGTCCCAACAAACGGTGGTCGAGCATTCGCTCCGGGTCGGTGACCAGGCAGCTGCACCAGGACTCCACCGGCTCCGTAGTTGTACCTGATGAAGGTATTAAACTATTGTATCATTATTACTAATATAGGTGCACACAATTAAATTAAAGTAACAATACATTCATATTGAGGTATTGAAAAAGTTATGTTTAAATACAGGTCTTTAAAAAAAAACTTTTCTAAAAAAAGATGTTCTATTAAACTCACGAAAATGTGCGAGTAAAGTCCCGAGAAACAGCGAATGAAATTAAACTGAGATTTTTCTTTTATCATATCGTACAGCGATTCATTTTGCAGTTACTTTATAATTAAATTTTAAATTCTAGTAACAGCTGTCCATTATCCAATTAATAATGGTTTAGCTAAAAAACATAGTTTTTAAATATTGAACACGTCATGGCTTATTATTTATATAGGGAACTTGTTAAACAGATTTTACGATGAGCTGCCCTTAATCGTCGTACTTAGTTATTCATTGTAGTAAAACAATACATGTTATTTTTAATTATCTGATTTAACAATGTCTTAAGACACAGTATCTGATAATACTTTGATTATTTTATTAAAGATTTATTTTCTTTAACTACTGATCTGAGTACATTAATTTAAAGTAGACATAATTATAAACAGTTATTTCCTGAATGAATTTCTAATACCTTTATAATAGAATTACGATGCATATAGCGTCAATTTTTGATGTTGAAGGCCATCGTTCAGGTGTTGTTAAGTGTTCGGAATGACTAATAACCTAGCCAATATTTATTGCAGAGTCAGTCATAGAAGCGGACGCACCGACCCTAATAGATGACATCATTGCAGCTGTTATAGATTTCTTCCAAGTTCTAGTCAGGTATTCAAATCTGTATATGACGTAGTTCCTTACTTTGGTATAACGATGAACTGTACCTGCAGACAAGTGAGAAACGAAACCATTACTACATTGTATGCGTTAACATGTACCTGTGACAAAGTAAAATTACCTTTATTCCTTTATGGATAGAGAACAAAATTCAGCATATCGCCCACGTCGTAACCAGTAATACGCTAGATTGACTGATTAGTAAATTTAACTTACAATATATTTGGAGCATTATAGTGTAATCTATGAAGCTCATGTGACGGATACAGATTTTCATTAATTGATTGCTATTTCAAGTGTAAGAAAAAAACAAAACGGCATGTTCATTAGATTTTTTTTTTCATTTGGGATTTTTATTTATCATAAGGATACTCCTTTGAGAAGGGCGTCAAGGAAAATAAATTCTCATTGTGACGACACTCATTTTTCTATTTGTATCCCTTGAGTCAGACGTGATAGAAACTTATTTTGTACTAGCAATTACATACGACATTGTCCGAGTAAAGTATACAATATTTTGATTTTCTCAAATACTGACTGATGTTGACTTCAAATAACCTATTGGCAAGCGACCAGTCGTAAAATCAAAAGCCTAAAGCTTGATAATATGAATAAAGTGTTTGCTGGGCCCAAATGTGACCGATTCGTACAATATCAGTTTTAAGGGGGAAAGGGATTGTTAGTAATGGAGACTAAGAATCCCATTGCTAGCAAGATACCCAACCAGGTCGACCTCCTCGCGGTTCCCCCTGGAAACTATCATGATTAATTCCTGATAAAGTCATCATAATGGGCTAACTGGCCTGTTTTCATTCTCATCTATCACCCTTCACTGGTGCTCCGCCAGCGTATACTGTTAGCGCAGGCAGGGTTACCATTCCATAATCACCCATAAAAAAAAAATCAGTTTTAACCCTTAGAATGGATATAAAGTTTTTAAAAACCAATTTTTAATCCACAGAATATGTATAAAGTTATTATCGAATTATTTTTAAATACAAAGACGCAAAAACCTTTTTAAATATTTGTCTATTTTATACAATATAAAGACATATTCCAAAACTGTTTACTAATTGTGCCAAGTATAAAGAACATTACGTGAACAATAAATTGAACGAACGTAAATGTGTCGCGGATCTTATGATAGGAAAATTATTTTTTGTAAAAAAAAATATTGTCAAATATTATTATTTTCAGATCGTCGTACATAGCGACTACGATCACCATGATGGCGTGGAGCATAATGTTCCACTCGTGGCTAACGTTCGTGTTCCTCATGTGGGCGAACATCGTGTGGCTGTGCCAGGATCAGCGCTCGTTCATGCTGAAGACCAGCCCCGTGCTGGTGTGTTACGCGATGCTGCTGTTACTCGCGCAGTATATATACGGCATGAATCTCACCGAAGCAGAGTTACCGTCTAATATTACGGTCAGTGAACTTGGTATGGTTATATAGCTATATAGTACTCAGGTGTACATTAATAATATATTTCAATATCATTAGTCGCCGTGTGTGCCCTGGCATAGAATGGGCCACCACTTCCTTTCCAATGGGTGTCGTAACAGGTGACAAAGGGAAGGCGAGAGATTTTTTTTAATGGATGATAATGGAGTGGTAACCCTGTTTGCACTAACAGTAAACACTGGCTGGGTACCAGCGAGGGATGATAGGTAAAGATGAAAAGGCAGATCAGTTAGCCTATCGTGATGAATTCTTAAATTAAATCGATAAATTAGTCATGATAGTTTCTAGGGGGAACCGTGTGAAGATCGATTTTAATTATTATAAATCATCTTTGCAGGAGGTGAATCTCCGGCAGATAGGGCTGGGCCGCAGCGAGGGCGAGGCGTGCGTTCCATTGTTAATTAAGTCGCTGTTCACGTGCATGTTCTGGGTAACGCTGCGCCAGCGCGTGCAGGAGCTGCGCCAGCGCCGCCAGTCGGCCGTCATCACAGACATGGCTGCGCCGCTGCAGCTCACCGTCTCCACCGCTGCCAGTGGTCAGTCACTATGTAATTAGTACATTACTCACCTCCGTTTACGGTTTCTACAGTGATACTACTTGATGGAGAAGTTTAGAGTATTCAAAGCTAATGTTTATATAATAAGAATTATGAAAGCGGCTAAAGCAAAAGATGCGTCCCAAAATAGAAGCTTTTGACACTTGATTGTCTTTGCTCATGCGATAAAAAGCCGTAATATATATTTTATTAAGAGTACAGGGAAAATAGTTGTACTTCATGTTTTTGTATTTATGGTTAAATTAATAAATAAATCGACTGAATTGTATGAATTTTGGCTCAAAAACCACGTTCTGGATTATTAGTACAAAAATTTTAATGTAATGTAATGCTAAACACATTGATAATTTTTATTCTAAACTCTAAGGAAGAAGTCGCAGCCAAAGTTACAAAGTACTACTTTATTCATAAGTAGTAAAATATAGTACCTAATCGTCCTGTTGTTTTGATTCTACATTCATAATAGGTCTGGCGAATGGTAAATATATTGTTTATTTGTCATATTTCAAAATTTTTGTATCTATAATTTTTCTTATACTTTATAAGTTATTTTTACAAATACTTCACTGTTTCCATTCTTCCAATTTATATAAACACAAAGTAGTACTACTATTCACTAATCACAATTTTAGGTACATATATGAGTATACAATTCAATTTAAACTTAATTCGATCTTATCAATAAGGATATATTTCTGTTCTTTTACTTGCTTCACTTCAAGATTTACTTCAATTGTACTATTAAAACAGTGTACAGGAACTATTACAATCTCTTGGTTACTAAGTCTCTAGCACTGATTTTTGCAACTTTTCACACTCAATATATAATTATGCTATAAGTAAAAAAAGGTACAGACAGATGTTTAAGATGCTCTTAAAGATAAATCTATATCTCAGAGGGTACTACATAACAATTTTTATTTTATTTGATTACAAAACTACGATTTATTATTTCTGTTTAAGGTTTAAGTTATATTGAAATTAAAAAAAAAATAAGATTGTTTTATTTTTCATAGTGCAGACAGATAATGCAAAAATGCAAATTTATAATAATTGTATAATATACTAATGGTATACTTATATAAAATAATATTAGCCCGTTTCAATAGAAACTAATAAAAAGGGTAACCTAGTTTTATTGAAATTATTACAGATACACTGTCTAAATAAAATTTGTAATAAATGGAAGCATCAATTAATTAATTAGTTATTTAATTATACTACTATTAAGCATCAGTAGGCGATCTTATAGTCCAGATACATTATTCGTTTCTTTACATTTTCAGTACGTTCTATTAACACAGATTATAATTACAATTAATTACAAGATAATAAAAACTGTTATCTTTCATAATACCTCTTTAATTTAAAACTTTTAGAATACTAGTTAGAATACATAATAAAAGAAACTTTTCGCACCTAATTGCAAACTTCAGTAATGGAAGCGCAGCGCGAAGAAGAGTCCCGCTCACGGCTGCTGCGCGCGCTGGGCGAGTGGCTGCGGGCCGCCTGCGCTCGCTACTGGATCTACGTCGTCGTCATCATGCTATTCGTCATCGGCGTCACCGGCGACCGGATGACCATATTCCGCATCATATACATGTTCCTGTTCCTCGTGTTTATACTCATGTTCCAGGTGATTACAATGTCTCCGACGTTTGTACCATATTCTCATTTGGACAATAAAGTTAATTAAATAAATATTTATATACCTAACACTACAATCAGAGGGGAAAGGGATTGTTAGTAATGGAGGCTGAGAATCCCATTGCTAGCAATATACCCAACAGGTCGACCTCCTCGCGGTTCCCCCTGGAAACTATCATGGTTAATTCCTTAATGAATTCATCATGATGGGCTAACTGGCTTGTTTTCATTCTCGTCTATCACCCTTCACTGGTGCTCCGCCAGCGTATCCTGTTAGCGCAGGCGGGGTTACCATACCATTTTCACCCACCAAAAAAACACTACAATCACATTTATTTTCTTTATAATATTAAAACAAAGCATTGGCGAGGCCATTGGCCTGCTACACTTTTCTTTATATGTATATTATAGCATACTTTGTACCTATCTATTATGTTAAATAACTCATATTTCAAATTAATAATGTTTTAAAATCGTTGTATGTTTCTTCGCAGATAAGTTGGTACTGGTGGCGAAGACTGATGTATGTCTTCTGGATAACTGTCATCATTTATTCGATGATAAATCTCATACTTATATACATATACCAGTTCGACAACTTTTCTAAAACTATAGAGGCTTATCTTATGATTAATGAAAGACTGTAAGTTGTATTTTAAACTTAATTACTTAATACATAAAATTTTCCTTTGTTTAATTAATATTATTATATTTTAGGCAACATGACTTAGGCCTGGAGCCTTACCACCCGGCGGATTTATTCGTCAAATTACTAACTCCGACTTTGTTCCTTATTATCACGATAATGCAAGTACACTATTTCCATAAAGATTTTATGGCATTATCGGATCCGAAAACTAGGTAAGTTTTCATATACATCTTCTATAATTAATTGTTTAATGTTTATATTTATTAATGTTATTTTATTCTATTTTGTTCTTTCTAGTATATGTAATTGGTTTGTATTTATTAGTTGTAATTTTGTTTTAATTATTATCATGAATATTATAAATAGTGCCCTCTCTCTCCCCCCTTTTTTTATATATATATTTTTGGTGCCACTGAAAACCAGCTGTATGTTCACCTAGGACATACATTAAAGCTGAGTGGAGCCATTTCAGTGCATTTTTGCATGTAAAAATGATTATTTTATGTTTATTTTAATTATGGTAAATTAAGTTTAATTATATGTACATTTTATTTGCTCATTTTTTTTTCTCGTTTGTTGTTTATATTGTATTTTTTACATTGCACTGAATAAAATATTTTTCTTTCTTTCTTCTTCTTTCTATAGTAACTTTCAAACTATAGTTAAATATTACCCTTTTACGCACGCAAACATTTCTAATGCGCTACAGTATCGAGGCTAGCCAAGCTATACTCATATATTTATATAGCCTGTAATTTACTGTTACAGAACAAATAGTGTCGCAAAAGACGTTGAATCTAGCAGACCTAGTCAAGCCGGCGCTTCCACTATAAAAGACGATGTGAGTTATTAATTTTTAGACTTTTCCCTTTGTAGTAAAAGTTTTTTTCTGGTGATGAAGTAAGAATATAATCACTCTTTTATAATCAGGATGTCGTACACATTGTGTCGACCACATAATGAAGCAAGATCAATTAAAAAAATCTGTACCAAGCCATTTGGATAACGTGATAATTGTAAGCTATATAATACGTAAGGACATGTCCAGAACTAGAACGATGATAACTTGTTATGATGAGGTCTTATTTTTATCAAGTTTGTATGATGTGACACCATACAACGGCTACTACAGGATGCCAATGCTATGGTGGTTTAATTTCCGCAATGTATGTTTAGTGACAAAAAAATAATTCTTTTGCGTTTTTTATGAATTTCTTGCTAATAAAGCATTTATTGGAAAGAAAATTCTTTCCATGGTTTTCGTTTAAAATTTATTATTGTCTGTATTAGCTCCCCCAACTACCGTTTGAAGAGGAGCGGCCACGGTCAGCGGAGGTTGATGATAGAAGTATCACAGAAGCTGAAAATTCTATGGATGTGTCTTCCATAAACACCGCCGCTAGACGATCGCTTCATAGGTACGATGACAACGCAAGGATGGCAGTAACTTTAATGATAATAATATAGGACTAAACTCTATTATAGTTTATAAGAGTTGAGAATTAACACGATCCTTTAGGTAAACTATGATAATTTACCTAAGTTATCTAAACGCTCCGATCAAGTTATACTAGCCATGGTCATGAATAGACTGACGTAGCGTTGTCATACCTCTGCTTCTAAAGCAGAAGTATTTTTTTCTACCCACTCGTCCCACATCGCACAAATTGTGCCCCTATACTGATAGTTTCTGTACACAACACTAACCGTGTTTTTATTCGATCTATTTAACTCAATTAATTGCAAAATAAATTGTCAAAACTGATTCACAATTGCAACGATACCCCGTACCACCATAAACAAAATATTTAATATAGTGAATTGAGAACAGCCAGCTATTTGAAATGATTTAAAAATATAATGACACTCTTTTTACTATGATATGTCTGATATCTTTCTTCACTTGGATTGATTTCGTTTATCATACTTTTTACTTGCCGCAAAGTGAATCGGAAAATTTAAATTGACACAAAGTTTTAGATATTCGTTATGAAGTTACCTAAAAACAATATGACTTACAGGAAACCATCACGGTCGTACGCTGTGTCAGAGAGGACGGGTGGTGGTGGGGAGAGCAAGACGGATGCGGGATGGCGCAAATGGGTTCTCAACACATTATGAGGACGTGCGCCTAAAGCTACACATATTCGCTGACAGACTTTTCATCTATCTCGACATACATCTCGTCAAAATTATATTTTTGGCGCTCATGCTACTCAGCGTATTTAATGTTAGTTTGTTTCAATAATAATTTTACTGGTGATGACTATGACTATGATGTGACGTAGGTGTAATTAGGCCTCGAGCTCGGGACAGGCAGATTTTGTAATATTTATGATTCGTATCTTTTTTATTATACAAAAAAAAAAAGTTGTATAAAAAAATCGTATCTAAGTGACACTTACAATTTTTAGAATAAGATATTATTAATTAAATTTCTAATAATCTTTTCAATATACAAAACTATTTCTTTTATTGCTTCCTGTATTTGTTAGCTTTTTTATAGCCTTTAATATTTTATATTTTTATATAAACAAAGAACCTTTTGAATAGCTATAACAATACATATAATTAAAGCATGCAAAATGAAATTTATGTATAAGCCCAACTGTAAAATCTTAATAATATTCCTGAAAACATAAATTTGACATCTTGTATTTAGTGTGTGTGAACTAACATTCGCGATGTTATTGCCAGGTATGCGCCATGCACGTGCCAATAATGTTGATAATCTGCCCGGCGCTCTGGCTGAGCGCGAGGAAGCAACGGTTTTGCGTACTGCTGATATCTACACTTATCAGCATCTACCTCATGGCTAAGATGGTGTATCAGATCGAATACATCAAACATGACTTTTTCAACGTCAATTGTAGTACAGTGAGTTCTCAGTATACGAGTATTAATTGCGGAAATTGTCTAGTATGATTATATTTCTATCATATATTTTATGTTTAAGAATGAGAATACGCACATCAAATTTTCACCGTGTAAATTTTATTTTGAATATTGATTATTATTTTAGTGATTTATTTCCACGGTCCCTTTGCTTCAAACAGTTCCCAGTTTTTGATGGGTGAAAACGGAATGGCAGGCTCGCCTGCGCTAACGGTATACGCTGGCGGGGCACCAGTGAAGGGTGATCGATGAGAATGAAAACAAGCCAGTTAGCCCATCATGATGAATTCATCAGGAATTACCCAAGATAGTTTCCAGGGGGAACCGCGTGGAGGTCGACCTGGTTGGGTATATTGCTAGCAATGGGATTCTCATTCTCCATTACTAACAATCCCTTTCCCCCCTTAGATGTATTAGATATATGGTTTTTATAATCTATGGTATCTGATATGTTTTACTATTATTCTATAGTATTGTGGTCGTATGTTTTAGGTTGGTGAGAATGACACTATGAATGTAACGACTTACAATAACGCTGAGTGGGTTGGCTTCATGAAGGCTCGCCGCACTCGTCCTCTAGTCGTACTGCTTAAGGGATACATTGGTCTAATAGCCGTGTTCACTTTCTACTCCCTCGTCACGTACAGACAACAATCGAAACGGTTTGTGCTCAATACATTAATTAAACTTTTTTTTTTGTAATTACGTACTAATAATTTCTAATATATTTTTACAGGGAAATGGGTCTACTACCAAAAGGCAAAGACAAGGTTATGTTCCCGGAAGTAACACGGAAAGAAGCCGATATAGATATGATCCACTGTATAAAATATTTAATAAATTATGGTTTCTATAAATTTGGAGTTGAGGTAAGGAATTATCTAGTATAGTTCTATTTTATGAAGTCAGTTTGGCTATGATAATATTAGATATATACGGGGAATCATCGGTTCTAAATCTAAAATTGTTTACAAATAACATATTTTGAAATAATATATATTATTATTTACTCTATATTAAGAAATAATAGAATTTCATTGTGCCTCCGATCAAACTGTTTATAATTACTCCTCTCCATCCAAAGGTTGCCTGGAAGAGATCGCTTTTAGCAATAAGGTCGCCCATTGTTTTCTCAATGTGATTATTTCTTGTAATTGTTTATATTTATAATAAGTTTACTATTGTAAACTTTTAGAGGAAGCAATAAAGAGTATCTATCTATTTTGAGGCACGATAAAACGTGTCGATCAATTTGGCTAAATTCTTTTCATATGAATTAGATTTATCATGTAATCAATTGACGTTCTTTTTCAACCGACTTCAAATCTTCTTGAACCTCCTTTTTAGGAGGTTCTCCATTCGGTTGTATTTTTTATGTTTGATACCTCATTACTCCAGTTATAAACCAATTTGAAAAATCTTTTTTTTTATTTCAAACGATATACTTACAGATTGGTTCAGTAAAAATTTCATTGAAAATCGATTCGGTAGTTATAGTTTTTAAATCAAAATAACTGGTTCTGTCACAATTGTTCTGTAATCGATTTTTTTTTTGTGAGATACAATTTTTTTATTATAATAGGGATTCTCTACCTTTTCCATAAACAGTTCAAAAACAGTCATAAATTTCATAAAAAAAATACAAATAAATTCAATAGTGGATTGTGATATGTGACTTTACAGATAACCCTGATGTGCCTGATGGGCGTGATCGGGTCGCGCATGGACGTGTACGCGGTGGTGTACGCGGGCTGGCTGCTCGCGCTCGTGTCGATGCGGCGCGCGCGCCAGGCCCGCGTGTGGGCCGCCTTCTGCCTGTGCGTCACCGTGCTAGTGCCCGCGCAGTACGTGCTCGCTGTCGGCTTCCTGCCGCAGTTCTGTATCCAGTACCCGTGGAGTGGAGATGCGCAGGTAAGTACTAGCATAGTTTGGGTCACGTGACGGTGAAATACTACTAAAATATAGTAAAATCTTAAAATATATACATAGTGTCTCCTCCATAGAAATGCTTCGAGAAAAACGGACTTTTTCATACAATTTTGCATGATAAATAGTTATAAGTGATTCCTTTATAACTTCTATTTATTTTGTTTTATAATTTATGCATCTTTTTAATGCGTAAACACTTATTTTTATTATTAAATAATACATCAAAATATATTTTATGCATAATTATATACCTAGAATACTAATAAAAAAACGAATCAGCTAATTTGACAATTAGCTGACAAAAAGAAGACCCGTTTTTAAGGCTCGATGCTCTATCTATATAATGTAAGAGTAAAATATTATATAAAAAAGGCGTATTATAGTACTATTCAATATAGTATGACCATTTCCTGTCCCCTTCCTCAAACTGACATAACTAATTCCCGTGTTTTAAATATGTTCATTCAAAAAGAACCACTAAATATGTATTTATAGTTTTTTTTTTTCGATAAATCTTAATAAAAAGGTAATCTAGTTTTGTTGAAAATAATTACTACTATTGGACATCATTAGATTGAATTTAGATCAGGTCAATTTATTAATTTGTTTACATTTTCATCAAGTTTTTTTGAAACAGTTTATACACATTTTCACATGTACAGCCGTCATCTATTTACCATATGTAGTGTCCGAAGTATGGTACTAATGCCCGTGCAGAGTACATGCGGTTTTACCCTCTTGTATCCCTTTATTCATATAAAATTGTTAACACTTTTTCTTTACAGCAAATGAAACACATCCGGACGTGGCTATTCCTCCCATACGCTGCGGAGCCGCCGCACGCGATGAAGCTCGTTTTCGATTACTTCCTGCTTTTGTTCGCCACGCGGCAGTTGCGGGTGTTCAAGATAGAAAAAATCCAAGGTGAATCATACCCGGGCGGCTCCAACAGCGAGAATATTGGCAAGGACTGGGAGACGCCGAATTTTGTCAACCCCGTGCCAGACTTCCTTAGCAATGTTAGGTAAAACACTATTCAATAATTTATTGATTACAAATTAACTGTTTACGATGACGCGAATACTTGTAAAATATAAAATAACATAGAAAAGATAAGTTATAGCATATTATTAAATAAAAATAAAGCAGTAGGATCAAGTACACACCAAACATTTTTTATAAATCTACATACAAATAAGGGTGACTGTTACAAATTTGTTTGGACGGCCAAAACTGAAACTACTCATTTATAGTGAAAAATATTAAAGAATCTTAATAATCTTAATCTTGATAAAATTTCAATTCTTTTTTAATTTAATTGTCTTACTTGAGAATAAAACTAATTAATTTAAAAAAAAATACAATATTATATGTTTATCTTTCTTATTAGTATACAAATAACTTATATGCCAACGCCGAATACTCGGGACTAAATCCTGGTATTCGACGTTGGCATTTTAAAATGACAAATATCATCGTAATCTTATGTTTTTAATAAATTAAAATTATTCCTTATTTGCAGCACATGGCTTGATGTGTTGAAACGTATGGTATTCCTCGGAATGCTCTGGGTGACGCTCGCCATAATGTTCATGACGGGCACTAATCGAGTGAACCTGTTCTCGATGGGCTACCTCATAGGTTCCTTCATCTTCCTTTGGCAAGGGACAGACTTTTATTTGAGGCCTAAAGAAGCTATTTTGCAATGGTAAGCAGTATTGTCACAGTATTTTACCGATGTTACTAATCCTTATCTATTCCTGTTTTTTGATAATAATAAAAGTTCTTAAAAAAAATGGTGTCCTATCTAAAGATCGTTGTCTATAGAATTATATTGTTATAAAAATGTATAAGTAATAATGACATACATTTTTAGTCTCTTGTAATCTCAACTTATTATCTTAGAGTGATGTAAAATAGTTATTAAATAAGAATAATGAGATTATTAATAAATTAATGACAGTCATAATTTATTTTGTTGCTATAGTAGTTCTTGTTTTTTTTTTTTTGTAGGGCTAGTATCTGGTGTATGTTTCTGCTTTTAGGTCACATTTCTCACAAGTTATCTTTTATCTAGGTGGTCGTGGCTACTTCGATACAACATATCAGTGGTGGTAGTAAAAGCATTGCTACAAATCCCAGGCTGCATCTTCAGCACTGTGATGCAGAATCACGCATGCTGGCTCGTGCAACTTCTGGGCATAGGATGCGTCGACAAATTTGCTGGTGGGAATATAGCACGGTTCCTCAAGATGGATTACAATAAGGTAGTAAGTAATATGACTTAGTTCTGTGGCCGCTTCTTAGATCCGCCTCTTCACGTATGTAACTATATTTATATTATAATATTTATAATACAAGCTGCTAATTGGCACATAGATAACACAGCGATTAACACACGCTGATTAATGTGTATACTAATGTATGTGTATTTAAAAAAAAAATCAGAGAGTAAATCGCCTAAAACTAAAGTTTGTATTACGTTTAGTTAAATATATTAGTAATAAAATACTATAAAGACAATATCAGCTACATAAATAACATGGATAACTCTGGTTTCAGGCGATCTCTTTATTTTGTCAAAATTTATTTTATGGTATGCAGCTTTGATGTTACATATATTGGTGGTTGTTAGCACTTTGTGGAACTTTGAAATTCATATTGAGTACATAATCGCGTGTCCAGAAACGTTGAAGAGTTCAACGATATTTGGATTATTCGAATATGATGAGTTATTGGAAGATAGTGATTGATGTTGTACTCAATATAGACTGTAATATTTGTATGTTACTGATATATTAATGTTATATAAATATATATTAATAATGTTATATACTTATTACTAATAATATTTGACTACTTTAGAACAATGTGACTGAACTGGTTTTAAGTGTCATTATAAAATTAATAAAAGATACTAAAGATACTTAGAGCAGTAAGAAGGTAAGTATTTTGAGTGAAAATTACATAAAGGACACTCATTATATAATTTGTTTATAAATTATATATCAGTATATAACGTCAACTTATATTGCACATATTCATATCTATTTTATGATATTGATATGGTGTGAGTATTTTTTTTTTCATAAATGTGAGGGTATTTAAAAATTTAACCCTTTATACATTTGTGGACTGTATGAAAGATGACATAGCTAGACTAGTCACTAGTGTGACCAGTGAGATGACTGCAAATAGAGATAAATGGAAGAAGAATATATATTACACTGATCCCAAATAGATATGGGAAAAGTGCAGGATGAAAAATGTGGTACTCGTAAAGCATTGCCATTCGTGATTAAAGTGTAATGTACTCAGTTTCGATTTCGTTGTTATATCGATTGTTTTTTTTTTAGTATCTTATATCTTTTTTTTTAGTACCTTATATCTTCCGCCAATACTATTTTGATAATTGTTTTAACGATTAATTTACTCCACGTTGACGATTGATTTTCACAGTGTACCTAGTACGTGTTTTTTTTTTTTCTGTAACAAAATATTAAATTATTGTCACTCGATTCTATCAAATTCTGTTTGAGAAAATACATATTTTTAATAATGCAACAAGAATGCCAAACAAACATAGGGACCGCCTGATAGTAAGCGGTTATTATGCAATAGAGTATCTATTATATTATATCTATGCCTGTTTTGCCTTTAAAAAAAATGCCATGTTGCTGATCCTGAAAAAATCTATGCTATACTATAATATTATACGTACTGCTGTAGGAACTTACAAAGATTCTTTAAATGTCAGTGTCTAAAAGAATATATTATATAGGAGGCAACATGTTCGGTTCCGCAAGAGGACATCGGGCTCGCGTGGGACGGCGTTTGTTTTGCCTTCCTCATACTGCAGCGGCGGTTGTTCCACAGTTACTACTTCTACAGAGTCATTGACGAGAGTAAAGCCACTACTGTGCTTGCATCAAGGTGAATTGATAACAACTCATTCATATTATATATACTTATTTGTATAAATTTCTATTAAAAATTTAGTCACGTAAAATTAAACGTTATCGTCCGTTTTTTTAATATATTTTTAACGTATATTCTTTCATTGATTTAGTTTATATAGTGGAACTTTTTTGTTTTATTTAATGGTTCATGTTTGTCTAATCAGTTTGCTTTGCAATTTTATAGAGGTGCGGAATTGATAGAAGAGTTACGGCAAAAACAAATGCAGGTACAAGAAGAACAGGAAGTAAAGATATTGGAGAAGATAAAGGTGAAAATGGAGAGGATAAAGGCTAACCAGAAAAAAATACAAGGCGTTATGACAAAAGAACCTCACCAACATGACACAGGTAAAACTTTTTAAGTTGATATAGACAATACAAAAATTATAGACGTACTTTCTATTATTATATAATTGATTATTGGTGGGTTCGAATCCTACATGTATTTAAGTATTTTTTTTTTTTATTTAAACCAGTGTAAACAAAAACAAAGTAAGAAAGAACAGTTTTATTTATTATTGGATATTTCGCAATGCATTCTTGAACTTGAAGAGGACGAAGAGACCCAGCGATCGGAGAAGGTGCCGTTAGTGCACGGCGACTCGGAGGCATCACGAGGATTCCACACACCAGACAGTGCGGCTTCGCCACGCGGCTTCCATACTCCAGTATCCGAAGCATCCGTTCCTCCATCCCCCACACACACTTCACCCCCTCAGCCTACACCAGTCCTCCCTCCTCCGAGCTCCCAGGGTGGACCACCGTCACCCTCGTCGGCCCTCATGACCGTATCCCTAGACGCATACCTCGAACCTCGAAGAATATCCTTCGAATCACCGCCGTCCTCGGAACTCCTCCCTCGGGCGCAAAGTCCAGAGGAATCGTATCCAGTATTCTCCCCGCCGCCGATCAGACGTCGTCACACGGTGGCGAGCCCCACCGTGATGAGTCGACCCTCCATCGTTTCCATGTCGAGCCGCGTGGAGCCACATTCCCATCATACCTGTAACTACTTCCATGGAAGCACCCTTAGTACTTTGTGTTGTTTTAATGATTACTACTTATTGAGATATGCCCTTATTATTTTTACTTTGTGTTATTTTAACGATTGCTACTTATTGAGATATGCTCTTATTAATATCAAAAGAAAAATGAGAACAGTGGTGTAGCAGATGTATGGACAAAACTATGTTCGCCTGGGAAACCTTCTCCTGGACATGATGCCGTGTATTCCTTAGAAATTTTAATTTCTATTCATAAGTCTGTATGTTGCAGATTACAGATTATGAACCATATACGAATTTCTTTTAATTATGGCAGGCTCGGAGAAAAAAGCCATACGTGTAGATATAACAATGTTCAACTCTTAAATATTTTATCATTAAAACGTTCGTAATTAATAACGCTCTAAAGCGCGAATAGAAGGCATATCTAAGTACGTGGTAATTTCGATTATAAGGCAAATGCCTTAATTAATGTGCCAGTGAAAATACACTACATGTTTCACCATGTAAATAATGTAAAGCATTATATTACAGTTCTGTGTGTTTTTAAATCTAACAAACGCTTATGGATGTTTTTTTTACTCATTTAGGAAGTGAATCAAGTCCAATTAGACGTCGAGTATTCACGAGAAGACACGAAGGTATATTCGTATTGTTGCCCGGGCTGGTGGTGTTTCCTACTCATTGTCATGTCCAGTCATTGTACTATGATAGTCGCTATAAACAAAAGACAAATATGTATTCCAAATTCGTTTTTAGGTTTATTTAATTAAATAATTACAATTATATAAAGCTTTATCTGTTTCTAATATAGAGTCAGATACTTTAGAAAAGGATAGAGCTAATACCGATCTATGTTTGCGACTATCAGAAATGAGTATAATAGCGATGCGCTTCAACAATAATAACTTTCCGATAACTTTCCGATGGGTTACAATTGGACTGCGAATTTTATACTAATAACTAGTAGCTTTAAGTCTGTCCAAACGCTAAACCGGTTTGTTTCCTGTGGTGTTGAGCTATGCCTTTCTTTGTAGCGCGAGACAGACTACCGTACAAGCAGCCCGCCAGCCATCAGAAGGGTAACGTTGAGAAACGAATCCGTCTGCAGTAATCTTGTGCCTCACTAACATAATCTGCTTTGGTTGATACTCGTATTTAGACAGCATTGCGGCGGGAACTGTCTTGACTACGTCGATTGTAATTGGTTGAAACATTTTGTACACGGTTCAATGTTTAAATGTAAATAAATTGTATAATATTTTTGTAAAATAAAAGACAGAATACGCCTTTGCGCACTATGCTTAAGACTTTGCACGACTTTTCTGCTATTTTGATTGCTGCAACTTTTGCATGTTTCTCGTTTTATGTTTCCATGCACTGTATAATTTCATACGACATTCACATATTTATATATTGTTAGGTATAACATTATAGAGTAGTTTCTTTATTTTGTTGTGCTCACTTTTCCACACACCTATATAGTTTTACTAAAAGTAATCACACAGTCAACTTCACAATCTTATATCTATCATTGTTATTTATTCAATTGGCTGAAAAATATGCTTACATTTATGTCAAATTTCTACTAGATTTCATGTTATTGATATTAACCATCGATATTATTAATTAATATTCGATAATGATATATTAATTATTAGATGAATAAATATATTCCCTAATTTTCCACATTTTATATCACGACGATTATTTATTGCGATTATTTTTGTATTATTTATGTTGGTTTAATTGTGGCTGTTATTTTAAAATTAAAATATATCGGCATATGTATATTAATGTTCCTGAATAAATGTAGATGTACATATTACAGGGATTGACAAATGTTAAGTTAGACATTTTGTTTACATAAATGCAATTAGCTATTAGGAAGTTTTTTTTTTATTTGTAGATTGTCATCATTCCATATTCTGATAAGTGAATGTCATTGTGCTTGATTTTGAATTATACATTGCATGTTGTGTGGGACTACTAATCGCTTTTATATGATACACATCCACGGCTTTTAGTTTTATGTATACATATTAAGTATTGGTGTAACTAGAGAAATCTATTTTTTTAATAACTGGTAATTATTCTGATCTATACAAATATCTTATTAATATTATTATGCAGTATGTATCTAGTGATAAATTTTATACTTCCAATATTGATATTTTTTGAAGCTGAAATATTCTATAAGTGTATAAAATGTCATCTCAAGTAAAGCATGATAAAATGCGATGTGAAAATTATAATCTGGGATCGCAATTCAGTCATCCAAGTCTAATCTTTAAAGATAATAAATTTGCAATACTTAAAATAGTAACGTTTTGATTTTAACACAATTTACACTAATTATTTTAAAAGCTTCAAAGTAAGAACTTAGTCGTCTTAGTATAAACTTAAGGATTTCTTGATTGAGTAATGCGTAATATGCCAGCTATTAAAAAAAAAAAATTAGGACTTCATTTAATTTTTTAAGAACCAAAAAATTTGCTAGCTAATGTATACAATTGTGTAATAAGAATAAATATACAAAATACATATTTAATACTGATTTTTTTATGAAATCTAGTTACACTAATACATTATTTGAATATACAATTAAAATATCAATTATGTTATAGCGGTGCGTTCCGGAGATTACTACATGTTCGACGAATTTGATGACACCGAAGTGCCCTTGAAAGATGAAGACTCCAGTTCTGATGAAGACGCTCCTAAAGAAATGGGTTTTGGGAAGGTATGCTTTTATCTCTTTCCAGATAAGCTGTCTGTCGCTCAACATAAGATCAAATCGTTACTTTACGTAGTTTTACTGTAATTATTCCAAATATCGCATGTTAAAGCTGGCTACATACGCAACTCTGCTTAAACGCGTACCAGCGATTTTTGTATAATCATAATCATAACACATACATACTCGAATTGTATGCTTGAACACGAGTTTTGTAGTTGCGTTCGTCGCCGCCTTTAGTTTTAGCTAGTTGACATATTAATCGAATCCGAAATAGTTGATATTAAGTGATGTCTAGGTTGTGAACGTAATTAAGTCATATGTGTTAGAAATGTTTATTAGGCAATTGTCTCGATATATTAGTACATTTTTCTGGATCATGTCTTCGTTACTGTGGTTGTGGAAAGCATGGTTCATACAATTTAATAGGTGTTATAGTTTATATAATTTAAAACCCTTACAACGGGAATTTAATAATAATTACATATAGTTCAAAAATAAGGGTACTGAATCATCTTTAAAACTATAATCTGGGCATTGTACGAAGTTGAAGGGGTTTGGGTTGGATAGCATGACAAAAAGCAATGAGTTAGCAATCCCTGTGTTTGTCCTGGGTGTATATCGCATGTTACCCTTACCTCTTATACCTAAAGGATATTTATAAAAATGATGATATATATGCCGCTTACTGTATCGAACTCAAATGCCTCGTCGCAGCTTAAGGTGACTAACCCAATTGTTTTGTAATAACTATTGCACAAAAAATGTTGTAAAATACGTAGCTTGTTCTGTCTTTAAGTTTAATAAAACAAAATGTGACGGTACTAATGATCTCATTATCCGAATTAAAAAGTACTTCTTAAATAGTAGATGTAAAACAAATCCGCTGTCAGCGTATATTTCTCTACTTATTTCTTTTAAACCACGCAACGGATTTTGATATGAATGGTTTGTTAAACTCTCCGTATAAAAATGAAATAGCTAAAAGAGACAGAGCAAGTTGCGTGTAGTGAGGTAAGCATACATTCCCGCTTGGCCCGGGTGCAGCTGCTGTCGACAGCAATCAAGACGGATTTAAAGCGTGCGGTATCGTTGCGCCGCGCGTCCGCGCCTGCTGTGCGATCGGCGCGCCAACTCTCACTCGGCAGTTATCCACTCTCCTATCCGCCTGAGGTAAACCTTAGACTTCATAATGTTTCAATAAATTCAGTTGAAAATGTAAACAAACATTTATAGCGTCTATGAAATGAATGAATGTGTAAGTAATGTCGAGTTAGCCATCCTAAATCTTGTTATAATATATTTAAAATAAATAATATCATGACTATAATCCTGAAGTAGCTAGATGCATTTATCGAATAATGCCGTTATGGCCGGTAACCCGCACGTGACATTCCTGGTGTAACAGGCGTCCATAGACTACAATGACTATTTATTATCACACTGTATGCTTTAATATCTTTGTGGTATATAAAAAAAAAAAAAAACTAGCACTCAGTATGACCACATTTCTCCAAACGTGTAAGAATCTAATGCGACAGAGGACCATATTAGGCATCTAATATATTGAAAACACAAATGTTTTGAGGCATTTCGTGCAGGTATACTACTATATAGTATACTATATAGTATAGCTACTTAAACCCAAATATCTTGGCTGATTGCCGAAATAAGTTTGTTTACATTTTTATCAGAATTAATTGAAATTGGAACTGGTGATTGCAACTCTTATCTGATTCATCGAAACTATGTAACTAGATCTTCATATAACAAAACATGCTAAAGTTTGTTTAAATTTCATTGATATATTGAACAGTGTAATTACTGATTACAATATAACTACATTCAAAAGACATGGAGTAAATTAATACAAGCCTTGTAGGTTTTCTATCTATTCATTTAATTGCCTTATAGTATTAGAATATATACTTATTTTATTATTATTTCTAATATTGGACTGGATTTGTATCAAAAAGTTTTGTTATTGTTTTTTATCTAAAAATATATATTTTATATCAACGTTTCATGACTATTTCTCAAAATTAGTATTAAAATCGAGTATTGTACTATTTGAATCTAGATTTGCAATCAACAGATAGAACCGTAATGCTTGGTATCTACACATTATTTTGTTAATAATACGGATGTTAATATAAATTATTTATAATCTTATTACACACTTAATGGATAGATTACCAAGCTATGTTATGTATTCAGTAATGAGCTATTATGCTTGGAATTTTTATTATATTTGTTGCATGTGTTGCTTCGACAAATTGGATTTTGGGTTTATTATACTTATTTATATTACTTTTTATCTGTTATTGCACACAATAATGCATTAATAGCATGTTTTATTAACATTTAAGAATATAATGCTTATATTAAAACCTTTCATTTGTTATAGGTACCTCCATACATATTAGAACTGTTTATCACCTAATAAAATTGCTATTATTTTATCATTTTATAAATGTAGGTAGATTTCTTTTCTAAATTCTTATTTTTTTTTTTATTTATATTTGGCTGTAATTTTCTTTGCATAACAAAATTGATCAAAAATTAATAATACATATGACTATATAAACTTTTAAACTAAACATTAATATTTGCAACAGGTAAGTATGGTGTACGGAATTTTAAATTTATTTTATGAGTGGTAGTCTGTTTGAAGTTAACATTTTTATCAAAAAGAAAGATCAGTTTATTAAATACTTCCGCGCTAAAATGTATATAAATTGAATTGATATATTTAGTTTTCAAAAAGTTGAGAACTAGTATTTTTCAAACAGACTACCCTCATTTTCTATATAATAATACAATAATAAAGTTTTCAAAAAAGTTACAGATGCGTCGTCGGTCGTCGCAAGCAGACATAACTCAAGCTGACGGCGTAAATTTGCCGATGTCAGAACGCGATCAGGATCGAGAACGTGATCGGGATCGGGACAGGGACGGACAAGTGTCGGAACTAGATGATTACACTGCAATGCCCGGTAAGAACCTCCCTTGTTTTATTTTATTTATTAAAGTTTAAAATTATTAGTCGGTACATAGAAAGGTATAAATTAACCTATTATGACCTAGAATATGTTTTATCCTATCTGATAGAGGAATCAAGTTTCCGGAACCAGCGTGTATAAGGTGAATTATGAAAATCAATAGGGATAAAGGCCTTTAAAAGTCGATTCACTCTGCTTACACCGCGACTTACTTATGCAACTAGGTGTAAAGATAAATAAAAATAATTATAAAAACATGAAGTTTTGTCGTTGTTTTTTTTTAATATATTCCTAGCATTAGCGCAAATGCTAATTTTTTTTCAATTATTCTAAATAAATCCTTATCTTACAATATTAGTTCTTTATAAAACGTAATTACGTTTCTGTTTTAGAACAAGAGACCTGGTTCGATAAACTGAAGCATTACTTGGAGACGGCGTGGGCGTTTATATCGAGCTTTTTAATATCGTTGACGCGTCACCTAATGAAGTACTCGCGCGACTATCGATACGTGTCACGGACGCTATCTATCGAAAAGAGAATACTCAAGGTTAGTACTTATCTTCACACTCCATTAATGTCTCATTGGATCTGATCTCTTCTCATAAGAGGAAAATTTATCTTAGTAATACCACGCTGTATAGGGGCGTCTTCGTATATCCTTTTGATAGTATTTTATTTTCTTAGATACCTTTTACATCTTGCAAAAGAAAAGAACTGAATTCTTAATCTCTTATCATCCAAAAAATGTGGATAGAAACAACTTGTCTATTTATACATATTCTAATGCCCATATTTAAAAATATCCATTAATTCCTTCCAGTATACACTTATGTACTTTTTTTCTGTTCTATTTGTTTCTCAACGCTATTTTCTTTGTCAACAAATTGTACTAAATTCAAATTACGCTACATATATTTTATGTTTTTGTACTAAAATGATTATAATTTTTACCGTTTTATATTGTGTCAAAATGTACATTGTCCGATTTAATATGCTAAATTAATTAATTACGTATGAAATGAAGCATACTTACGTGTTCTATACGATTGATAGTTTAAGTTTGCAGAACCTTATGTAAATATATGTATATAAGTGGTTCTATCGGACTACTTGTAAGAAATTTGTTGTATCTATTTTCTCATCCTGCATTTCTAATATTTTTTTATTTATCTTTGTAGGAAAAAGAAGGGTTCGGTATAGGCATAAGAGAAGGTTCGCAAATGATATGGGAACCGCTGCCCGAAACACTTGTCCATCAGTGAGTATTAATATTTTTTTACTTGTATACGTTTTTGTAACTCGTGTCATTTAATGGCGTGAGCAAAGGAATGCCGAGGTTGGTTCGGTAGCTTTAGTATCGCCTGCTTGTATGCATGTTATACTTACATAATATATAACATAGATTTTATTTACTAATCAGAGCTTTATTGACGCATATATAATCAAGAACAGATTTTTGTGATAAATTGGTCGACAACTTCGTGCGCGGCGCTTCTATATTTACAAATTAAGCGTCGTAGAAGCGCCGCATAATTTGTGAATACATAACCACACTCTTCCCTGTCCCTCTACTTTATTCACACTCATGGACGTCATACCTTGTTCATTAGAAAGTTCTGCGCACGAAGTTTATTGTCTATAGTTATATCTGTGTGTGATATTTATTAATATTATTGTTAAATAAAAAGCAATTGTATTAAAAATTATATACCTATTTTTTGTAATTAGAATATCTACCCTGTTTTTGTATTGATACTTGATTAGTATGTTTAGTTAATGAAATTAGATTTTACATTTTATATTATTTGTTTTAATAAAAATATAATTTGAACTTAATTTAATATTTAGTAAAATGCATCAATAAAGTTAAATAAGAATTAGTTTAATTAGAAGAATCAATAGTTATATAAAATAATATTAGTTTTTCATGTAATCTATATAAACATTGTCATAGTGTTTTTTTTTTTATTCATAATAGAACCTAGTGTGATTTAGTGAGTAGCGACTTATCTTTGCATGCTGCCTAGTAGCGATTCGGAAAGCGCTAACAATAATCTTCTGGTACCTGCGGACGATATGGGGTTTGTATTTGCAACTAAATTGTATAAATCTATATTAATTGATTAACAATATTTACAATTGTGTAACTACATACTTTATTAATACATTATGTGACAAGAGCGTAATAATAAATTATAGGTTCCCTTGTATATTCAAATTATTTGTTGAATTAATATTGTTGTAATATTTTATGTGTATAAATAACTGCTATAGTTATTTAGGTCAAATGTTCATCGAGGAAGCTCTCGGCATAATTACATCACCGTCTCTGGAATCCGGTACTATCTGATTGATGGCATTATGCTGTCGTAAATCCTATCTAAATTACTTGTTATTACATAAATCATGATATATTTGCATAAAAGTAGAAATTTCAAGATATTCTTTAATTTGCTTAGTATAACATATTTAAATTTGTCCTTTAAGATACATATAAACAGATAACATTACATATAGAGCGTAGAGCGTTTTTCACTACTGCTTTTTAGATTTCATGCGTTCATATCTAGGTATGATGCAGCAGGTAGCCAGTATAGTATGTTCCGTTCGCGGCGTGTTCACAGCCGTAAGTTAAGCGATATAAGCGTGCCGGAGATACGTATCCTGGCGCCGAGCATGGAGCGAGGGTTAGACGCATCGCCGCTGCCGCGGCCGCGGGCGCGAGCACGCTTATCGACCGACACGTCGCACTCGTCGGAAACACGCAGTGTGACGTCACGACATGACGATGAAAGCGACGACGACGACGACACTTCTGAGCACGAGAGCGCGTTTAGTTTGCAGACTACCGGAAGGTGGAGTGATTCAGGATGTCTTGTACTGTTTTGTGTAAAAACGCGGTCGCCAATTAAAAGATAAAATTTTAAATGGCCTTGTTGGAACTGAACATTCATTATAAGTTTTTATATATTTATTTTTGAATCGTTACAAACAAAACAGTACAAGTTTTGTCCGATCTCTGTCGTCGTACGCGATGGGCTTCGCTATGTATTTTTCAAAAAATATTTTTCGTATTTTTGATCTTTCTTCTAAATAGTCTCGATTATCGCATGTCATCGCAGCTTTGTTCGTATATTTTTGTCTGCCTAATACGTCGGAAAGGTGAGTAAATTATTGTCCAAGCTTTAATGGTTGTATCTATTTCAGCAAAATTATTCAGAGTACGTTTATCTACTTTTTTTATTGTTAATAATGATATTAGTACAAGACTATTGAAGAACTATTATTTTGTGACAGGCACATACGAGGTCTGTCCGGAAAGTTCGTATAAAAGTGTTCTGGAATATCCTTATGTCCCTAACAATGCTTCAGTTCTGGTCTGATTGCGGTGCGAACTGGCTTGTCACGCCATGAAGTTACCTTTAACGAAACCCCGTCGGCATGGAGCCCGCTTCCGTTGAAGAGCAGCGCGTCGTAATCAAGTTTCTCTCGAAACTCGGCAAGAATGGCCGTGAAATTTTTGCCGATCTCAGAACAGTTTATGGGGATGATGCTGTGAAGGAACCACGAACAAAAAAATCAAGAAAATCCCGCTCAAATGTCAAGACAATGTTGATTGTTTTTTTCTATGTTCTGGTTATTGTCCATCAAGAATTCGTCCCTCCAGGCCAGACAGTTGATATTCTACGTCGATGTGCTCAGACGCCTCAAAGCTCGTGTGGCACGAGTTCGTCCAGAATTGGCGCGAGACGTTGGATTCTTCACCACGACAATTGCCCACACCTCTCTTGTTGTCCGTGAGTTTTTGAGTAAAAATTCCATTACGGTGACCGAACACCCCCCCTATTCGCCGGATTTGGCCCCGTGTGACTTCTTCTTGTTCCCAAAAACCAAATTGGTACTTCGGGGGCGGCATTTGGGGGACATAAATGAGATAAAAAAAGCTACGACGGGGCAGCTGAGAAACCTACAACCAGAGGACTTTCAAGGAGCCTTCTCACAGTGGAAACGGCGTTGGCACAAGTGCATTATGTCACAGGGGGAGTACTTTGAAGGGGATAAAATTGATTTACCTGAATAATTGTAAAATAAAATTTTTAAAAACTTTTATACGTACTTTCCGGACAAACCTCGTATATAATTATGTAAATATCTTATAGACTATAGGGAAGAAGTTCGCATGAATCAGTATATCGCAAATATTTATTGTTTATAAATTATTATTCGTTTACTAATGTTATATACATATTTAAATTCGCTGTTAACAACATTTAAAGCTTTCATTTTTCTGTACTTATTTTTTTGTGTAAGCAAGTCCTGATAGTTTTATTTGATGGTAATTATCAAGACATTTTTCTAGTATCATAGATATCTTGCTGCATCGAAGTGTAAGATCACTCAAATTCTATATAATATTTTATTAGCAAGTGTTCATTATCGTCATCATCATCATTTCAGCCGCTATTCATCTACTGCTAGATATAGGCCTCCCCCATAGCAAGTGTTACCAATGATAAAAACAAATATTCGATGATTATTGACTGGTTTAATTCATTCGCTCCTTTACTATGTTCAATCAAATAAAAGCAACAAAATATTTGTAACAACTTTTGCTATTTAATCGAACTATTGGGACTTGTTAGAAATCATAGCTGATACGCTATTATATTCACGGATATAATGGCATTGCAGTAAGGACGTGACGCTGCTAGAAGAGCAAGACGACTCGATGTTCAAGCAGGGCAGGTCGCCGATTGTGTACTTGGCGTACGCCATCTGGTACGCTGTACTAGCGCATACCGACATCGTTTGTTACATCACTGTGTTCATCAATCAGGTGACTTTTACTGCAGCAATTTTTTTATACACAAATATGATCGGTTGGTTGATTACAAATAAACATAACGGATAGATATAATTCTCATTGATATAATATTCATTGATATATAATGGATATAACTTGTTCCTCTCATTTAGTAATTTATATTAAAAATAGAAACCACCAATAAATGCATTCCCAAAGAGGGTTGACGTCAGGCAGGCGGCCGGTCGTAAAACTATAAGCCAAATCCTTTAGTAATATGGAGAGAAACATATTATAATAATTGGAATAAGGGTAGGCGAAAATAGAGCCCTTTCGATCAAATAATGCACTCGTTTATAACTAACCAGTAACCTTAATAGTCAAATATGCTGAAATATTTTTACGAGTTAAAAAAAAAAATAACGTCTAGACACTGATTTTATCTAATTTTATTATACTTTTCAAGTTATAATATCATACTAATAACACTAAAAAAACAAAATTAGAAAATGTTTAAACATTAAAATCGCCTTTTTATTTTCAGATTCAATCTGCAACAATACTGTCTATACCGTTGCCCCTGATGGTGTTCTTATGGGGGACGCTTACTATACCGCGGCCTACTAAGACATTTTGGGTGACGCTGATTGCCTATACTGAGGTAAAGTTCATAATATAGGCTTTTAATTCAAATTTGTTGAACAAATATCACTAGCCTATTCAAAGAGTTAAAAAAAAACAATGTTTACCGTGTTGATTATAACACACAATTCCATATTACAAACAAGATAAATAAAGTCATTACATTATTTATATAATAATTATAAATAGAGTAATGATTACATCAGCTATTATCAAGATATATAATATTGTCTGTCTGTGTACAAAATTTCATTTAAATCCATTTAATTCATCAGATTATACTGGATTGTGTAATAATCATCATCATTAACAGATTTATTTACAGACTTTGTAAATATTTGTGTAAATATTTTTAATCCATAATCCTCCATTTGTAAATCCTAAATTAATAATAGGTGAGAATAAATGCCTTCCAATGACTGGATCCGATGTGATTCTTATGAGTTATCGAAAGGTATTTTTTCAACCTATTAATAATATAATGAGATTTATTTTTAATTTCTTTGTTAAGGTTATCGTCCTCATCAAGAGCATGTTCCAATTCGAAATCCTGCCGTGGAACCAGAAGGCGATCCCGGCGAATATGCCGTTCACCGCGCCGCGAATCATCGGCATCGAGAGGAAGAGTAACTACGCGCTATACGACTTATTGCTGCTGCTGATCATATTTTTACACAGGCATGTTTTATTTGTATATTACACTAGTTTCTACCTTTGTCTGTATGACAGTGGCACGTTGATTGACCGGGGTAAAAGTAACCTATGCCCCTCAGTTTTAAACAGTACTTTTCTATTAAAATTTATGAAATTTTGTTAAATCCTTAAGGCGCCGTTAAGCGATAAATAAATAAACGCACTTTCACTTTTAAGATTGATACAGATTACAATATGCTTTATTTGTGTATAAAAAATAATTCAAATCCGTATCCGCTTAAACTTTACATATCAATAATATTAGTAGGATTATTACATTACACTAGTCGTTCTTTTTCATAAAAGTAATATAAATGTCTTTGTTATGTCATATACCCATCTATCTTTTCACCAAGTACCTTACGAAGTAGATACCAGTTGCCAAAGGCTTATCCTTATTTACTAGTACATTACACCTTCTGCTTAATTCATTTCCATAATAATCATTGACAATTAAAATGTTGACTGTTTATCTGTTTGTGTATAGATTTATGCTGAAGTCCCTGGGTCTGTGGAAGGAGTCGACGCCGGAGATCGAATTACGCGAGGACATGGAGTACCAGCTGAGGCCTGAGGATACTCAGCTGGTGGTTGACGGGCGCGCCGCAGAAGTCGGTCGCAAGTACGTGCAATTGCACGACACCACCGGACCGTGAGTATAGTTACTATTGCTTTACTAATATTAACATTCCACTACTGGACATATTTCTCTTTATAAAAGCAAGTTTTTATTAAACAAAGGCAACAAATATGATTTACGTGATGATAAATGACTACCATAGATCGTAAATGATCACAATTCTAGAGATAACTCGCACGTAGTTGTCTTTATCGACATGTAGATATTGAGGAGTCACAGTATCCAATAATTTTGATGTCATATCCTCTCCTTTTAAATTTGTGTACAGCATTCGAGTGTGAATTTTTTAAACTTGTCTACCAATCCGCAACTCAAAACTCACTATAGTATTTTAAGGTCATTTTAATCGCACTTAGTAGGTAAACTTTTTATGAATGATAATCAAATAGTAACTTCATCTGTATTATAAATAAATTTATGAGTGTGAAGTATCAGTGAAGGATAATAGATGAGGATATAGACGGAGAGAGGATGAAGACCAATCAGGTGGCACGTTATGGTGAGTTCACTAGAAATTAATCACGTTTGTTTCCAATAAAGACCGCGTGTAAGTCGACATGGAGCAATCCCTTTACCACAAATGCGCTATGTTGGACTGATACTACGTTGTTTAGTGGTAACAGATATCTCGGTAATCCCCCTTGGTATAGTAATGTTAGACAGAGCGTGGGCAATAGATAGTTAGGTGTGCGTGCGTGGCTCAGCCAGTCGTCACCGGCTGGTGGACCGGCTGTACCATGTGCAGGCCAGCATCGCGGCCGCCATGCGCGAGCTGGACGCGCGCCGCTCCGACCCGCGCGTCGCTTGCCTGGTCTGGACGCGTCTACAGCACGACCACCACCGCCGCCGCCACCACCGCCACGCCGACACGTACTCGTGCATTATATTGATATTTGTTGATGAAAAAGAGGCTTAAAACCAAATAGAGATTACAATCGTAGTAAAACTATATCTGTTATTATTATAAAAAGACGAACTTTTTCAGGCAGAAAAGCCTGTGTCATTGCAACCTTTCCTAGATCATTATCGTGGCAAAATCTGCAAAGACTTTTTGAGCATAGGCCTGGTTGGGCCATGTGCTTAAAACCACACCTAAAGTCAAGTTAAAATTCAAAATCATCAATCAATCAATCAGATAAATAGACTTATTGAATATACTCCTACTTTTAAATCGTCATTTTTGTGATTCTACTGCTGGACTCGACATGTTGTTATCAGCTAAGAGCCCGCAAAAAATTCAACAGTTACTCTTTTAAATCTCAGTTGTGTTTATTTAACTGTACTATGTCTTAAAGAACATGGTCATTTAACCCGTGTATAATCGACTAACGCCATGCATGTTCCTTATTCAAGTAATCGTTTAGTGTTTGAAATTTTTTTTTACATTGCAATATGATTATTATTTTTCATTATCTTCTATCTTGTCATTCATATAACTTGAATAACTTGATATAAAGAAATTCTCTGTATACTAGTCAGAGATTACAAACCTTCAAATACTTGACGGGTTTGGATCACGTGACTACAAATTCTCCAGTTCTGTCTGTGATTTTAGTACCAATTATTGCAAGGTAGTTCCATTTAATCTGTAAAACTGTCAAGTTATAAGCACCTCCAGGTCCTTGTTAAATTTATATGTTAAATATTGGTGAATTTTCTATCTTGTTAATCTTAGCAGATGAAGTAAGTTAACTGTGTTCACGATGAAATCTCCATTTGATTCTAAGCTTCTTGTTTGTTTATAACACTATATTTAACAGATTGTTTTGTAATGTAATAATAGATTAATCAATCACTATTGTCATTCATTAAGTATGTATATAACTTAACGACTCGGTAAACTCATGGTAGATACCTACATAGAATAGGTAGACAGCTCGTTATAATTGTAATTTTAGTACCTATAATAACTTAGATGTATAATTGATTTGTGAGTTTATTTCTAATAAATAATAGTAGATTTCTACTACATTTTGTAAGACAATGTATGTCGAATTAGTATTTTTGCTATTTATTTGTTAGCGTTATAAAATATGTGTTTTAGTATACGCTTTTATAAATATTATAAGAATAACGTTTGTGCTTTCAGTATACGAATAATGAAACAATACTGTATTTTATTCGTAATATTTTGTTACAAAATTGTATAACTATATTTAGTTAATAATGTATAATTAATATATAAATTTATATGTAACTCTAGTATCGTACTATAAAGACTACTTATTATATGAGATAGAAGTAATTGCTATCTAAATCTATCTTTAGTGCTTTTAAATACTTTTAATTAATTATAATTAAGTTATTTTTTATTCACTGGCCTATTTAAGAATATCCCCCACCTCCCCCTCCGTGCCCCAAATACGTCAATGTTGTTATTACCATAGTTCTTTGACAAAATATTCATATATTTTTTTTATATATACTGTCTATATCTTTTATAAAATAAATTTGTTCTGTAAAATGCGGTAGCTTAAACTATAAATAGATTTACATGATTATTAAAAACTTTTTTGTTTGCTATTTGTTACGTGTGGATTTTAGAAGTAGGAAAACCAATGAATTGCGATATTTCTAAAAAGATTATCAAGATAATATATGTATCAGTTTTTAAGTTAGACCTTTAGGAGCTAAATAGTGAAAACCGTATCCAATGTGGTGTACTAGCTTATGAACAAACTTACAGGCAGACAAAATTCCTAAAAAATATTATTTTGACTGCTATTACTCTTTTAAGACTTATATATTTTTTTCTTAATTATCTCGTTTAGTATAACGGACATTGTTTAGTTACAATTTTATTATATTAATAACATAACAATGCTACAAATTCATGCTCTAGTTTTATTTTTATAGTGATCTTAATGTTTTTTTACTGTCTAGAAACGACGAGGAAGCGGAGCCAAATGGATCACTATCACAGGCGGAACGCGAAATAAAGCTTGCAGAGAAACACGACCGCGAGGTGATGCTAGCAGAGCAGCATGAACACGAGCCTGGGCCTTCTAAACAAGATGATGACCATTACAAGTACGTACATCATAATTACATCCAATCATTATCCGCTACTGAATATATCTTTAATGTAATTTGGAGGGCAAAGAAACTGATAGTTCATCTCACGGAAAGTGATAACCGTCGCCTATAAACATGAAGTGCACTGAGGACATCACTGAATAAACTAAAGTCCACGATTCTCCCACGCCATGCCATTCCAGAGAATTGAGATGTTATCCTGTATTTACATTGGCATATTCGACTTTTCTAACTGAAATACAGTGTAAACGAGTGAGACTGAGGTCATGCCTTGCTCTTTATTCAAAATGTTCCTTAATAGACTTTTCCCAATAACCCATTATAAGGTAACGAGTCGTCTACTTCCATTGATTATTCACATAGTAAGAGTAGCCACTCGAGTTTTCTTCTCCGTCAATATCTTTGAGAGATGTAGCGCGTCTAAGTACTACTTAGTTATTTTTATTTATTTATTTAAAGTTACAAAAACATTTTGCAAATGCTTTATTATGTTACTTCTTTTTAAAGGTTGCTTAGAAGAGTATTTATTTGATATCAAATTCATATAATATGTCAATCATTGTTACCTTACATTTAAACCTAGACACGTGTCACTCGAATGCGAGTTATAGTAAACTATAACATCTAATTGTTCCAGGGTTAACGACGACCAAGAGCCAATAATAGCTGTTACGACTACGATGGAAGATACATACAAACATTATCCCAAAGTGATTCTATTATCGTAAGTAAACTAATCAGTTGTAAAGTTAGGATTTCAGTAATAAATTCTCGTGTTGGTTCCACTTATGCCGAAAAACTGGGCGTTTTCTAGGGCGAGCGAAACCCAACTTAAAAAATTGTGGTTCTAACTTCTCAAGAACCCACTTCCATTTTAAAATCTTGCTTGAAAATGTTATTAGATATTTTTTACTGATGTTACAGAATAAAACGCTACTTGCGTCCAACGCATCGTTTCTTCAAGCGTATGCTGGCGCCGGGCGCCCGTGTCACCGCTGATATCTACGCCTACATGTTTCTCTGCGATTTCTTCAACTTCCTCGTTGTTATATTCGGATTCGCCGCTTTTGGGGTCTGTAATATCTAAATATAATATTTTTATATAATTTTTATGCTGAAATCTATTATTTAGTTTTATTGATTGATAATTATATAGTATTGTTATATGCTATCTATATTTAGTTTTGTATATAGTGTGTTAAGAAAAAAAAAAATATTTATTTTAAATTGAAAAATATACCTCTGCATTAACTTTTTACATCCACATTGTATATTTTAAAAACAAATTTAAACATTCAAACGATATAGGTATTATCACTTTGTGACAAAATTATTTCAACTCTGAAACTATCTATTTGATGGCACATAATGCGTTTACAATACCACAGACCCACCAAGGCGACGGCGGCGTACAAGCGTATCTAGAAGAGAACAAAGTACCAATCCCGTTCCTGGTGATGTTGATCCTGCAGTTCGCTCTGATCATCATCGATCGCGCGCTCTATTTGCGCAAGTTCATGCTCGGCAAGATACTGTTCCAGTACGCACTCATTATTGGCGTGCATGTGTGGATGTTCTTCGTGCTTCCATTCATCACCGAGAGGTGAGATACCTGTTGAGTCTAACTATTAGAATTAATATCTAGATAGAGCTGACACTTACGTCAATGCAATAATATCTACGTTGGCACACTGAATACTTGCATCCAATTAAGTGCTAAATCAGTCTGCTTGCACACAACAGACACCGCAGTGAGACTGCGTCTCGCTCACTTGTATGTGTCTTATCACATCCGTACATATCATCCGTACATATCACGTGCGTACATGTGATCACACGTAATGGTTGGACAGTTATCAGATCGGTATCAGATTATTAGCTATTCTAAATGTTGTAAAAATAAAAATTACTAATTACTTTTTGTTTTATTTTAAAGTAGACAAAGCAAGAAATGTATACCATATTTCTAACAATTGTGATGGTATATAGGACGTTCAACGCCTTGCTGCCGCCGCCGATGTGGTACATGATGAAGTGCATATACCTGTTGCTGTCCGCGTACCAGATCCGCTGCGGGTACCCGCGCCGCATCATCGGCAACTTCCTCTGCAAGTCGTACCACTTCCTCAACATGATATTCTTTAGAGGGTAAGTCTATTGCACTTTTAGTATTTTGTGTACTTGGAAACAAATGGTAGTTATTTGAATGATTAAAAAGATCTTGTTGTTGAAAAAATTAGCTTACAAATACATAAACTTTTTTTAAATCTAACAGGTAGTTCTAGATAAACGCACTAAAGCGTTTAAACAAACATTTTCGCTAATAAGACTATAGATATATTATTTTTGTCTAGTAACTTGTAGTTGACAGTGTAGTTTGCATTATTAAGTACTTAATATTTGTTTTTATTATTTTTTAAATATTTATATAATGTAACTACTTAAATAAAGATAAAAATAAATTGGGTAAGAAAATGAGGGTTTTTGCTGAAAATTATCGTGCTCGACAAGCTTGTTGACGCCCGCGAGAAGAAGTCAGTGATTTATTTTATTACCACATGACCTGAATAGGTTAAAAATTGTGAAGTGACGACCTCCGAAATGTCGCATTAAGTTAATGGGCGCAGGTGATTTAAGACAAAAAGTAACAATTTATGTTGTGATGAGTAGCGACATTAATAGAATACCAAATATCCATTTACCGCCTTTGTTCACAGCTTCATGGCTGTGCCGTTTGTATTCGAGCTCCGCACGTTAATGGACTGGATATGGACCGACACCTCTATGACTTTAATGGACTGGCTCAAAATGGAAGACATTTTTGCAAGCGTGTTTTTGCTTAAGGTATATTAAAATACAAATCCATGGTCAATGTGTAATAATAAAACTGTTCTGTGATCTGAATTAAATCAAGTTCGTTTTATTTAGTAGTATTATTATTACTACATAAAACGAGTAACAGTACTACTACTAAATAAAACAAAACGTTAAATTGCTCAAAAGTCATCAATCAAATTCTTTAATGTTGTAAACGATAATATAAATATAATGTAATAGAAGTATGTTTTTTTATAACATTTTTACAAATTAAAGGTTGGGAGAAGTTGAGGAAAATTATCAATCGACATTCTGTAAATTATTTTAAATAAAACATTGATACTAAAAATACGTATATATATGTAAATAGTATCAACATTTTATTTTAAATACAAGTTGGTAAATTGAATAATACACAAATAAAAATTGTGTGCAGTGCTCGCGATACGTGGAGGACGAGTACCCACAACCGCGCGGTGTAAAGAAATCGAGCACGTCCAAATACTTGCTCGGCGGCGGAGTGCTTGCCTTCGTGATCGCCATTATATGGTTCCCTCTTGTGTTCTTCGCGTTTGGTAACTCGGCAAGTGATCTTTATACTTTTTTATTTTTTATTGTTTTTAATAGTTTCTCCTTTTTTTCTTTTCCTTTTTTTTATTACCATTGATATATCTTTGGCTTAATGAATTGTCATGAATTACTTATTCCACCAGGTCGGAGAACCAAACCCGCCAACAGACGTTACGGTGAAGATTCGTATCGGTCCATTTCTACCCGTCTACCAGATGTCGGCGCAGTCCCACAACATCGATCTGTAAGTTGACTGGTGATATTACTTATTGGTAAATCATTAAACAAAAACAACATTCACAATGAGTAAAGGAACTTGTTAAAAAAGGAACCTTATCTAAAGACCTTAGGTATATTTGTAATCCTTCAAATTGTTAATTTTTAAACATGTTTCTACGTACCCAGCTACACAGAGCAGGACTACACGCAACTGAGCAACCTGTACGCGCGCGATCGTACTGCGCAAACGTTCCTCTCCAACTACATGTACAACGACGTCGCAGTCATCACCATCAATCCCAACTCGACTATGAAGTGGGAGATCTCACCGCCCGAACTCGACCGGCTCGAACGAGAGGCCATGTCCAGTAAGTGGAGATCTTGATTATTTTTAAACTGTACAACATAGGTACTAACTGATCTGGCAAACGTTGTTTTGCACCCTGTCGCCATCTATACCGAGTTCACTTTTTTAATCGAGATAAAACTATCCTATCTCCTATATCGTAACAAACAATGCATATTTACAAAATTTTATTAAAATCGGTTAAGCAGTTTCAAGAACTTTATAAACATTTTTCTACACGGAATTTTTATATACGTATATTAAACATATCATCATATCAGACGTTAATTATCAACTGCTAAACATTGGCCTCTTCTATGAGGGGGGGGGGGACCAGTAGTTGATGGAGTTTTTAGAGAGACGCTGCTGCCCATCTCTCGATCAATAGTTGTTCTTAATCAGCTATTAGCACTCACGGGAAAGAAAGGAGCAGCCCATTTTTGCCATAACTACTAGTACAGGATACTATAAAATATTTTGCTTTTAACTAAAGAGTGCACACTAGCTTGTTATATTGATGTTATTATTAAATGTTTAATATACATTTTTATTAGAAACATAACTGATTTTTATAAAAATAACTAATGCTGTCTTATGCATACGTAAGAGATAACGTATGTATCGGCCGATACTTAGTCACTTTGTCTAGTTGGTGTAGTGTTATTAGTACTATACTATCAAATTGTCCACGACCGTGCTTGTTTTATTATTATAATATTGAATAATATAATGACAGAGCCATTTAACTGATTTAATTTTATAGATGCCTCCCTACTGGTGAAGTTCACATACGTGATCACTCACCCAACGAACGCGGTGCCGAACCCGCCTACTATCGAAGACCACCGCGAGGTGGCGCTCGATGCATTCGTAAATAATAAACCCAACCCACAGAGGGAAATCCTGCTCAAACTACTCTCCGGGAAAGCTGAGTCGGATTCTTGGTAAGTTCACATAATTATATATAATAGAGTCATATAGTTTAACTCTTCCATTATATAAATTGTATAGAATATACAGGTGTTGTCAATTTGTTTTATAGATATTTAAGTAATGTTTAAATAACGAAAATATTAACATAGCAATATTGTCATCGTCATGTCTCCCATATATTAGTCGCGACCACAACTAGTTAAAATAAAAAGTTTATGTTATCATTTGAAAAAATCATTACAAATAACAGAATTAAATGAGAATCTATATATTTAAATTCACATTCGGGACTTAATGCGAATGTTAATGAATATTAAGTAAAGATCTATATAAATGAAAATTAAATATAGTACCACTAATATTATAAAGTACAGTACTACTATTATGAAGAGGAAAGATTAAATGTATGTTTGTATGTAATAGACAAAATCAAAAACTACTTAATTTTAAAAATTCATACATACATACATATCTGTCACGCCTGTCTCTCATTAGGGTAACAATGAAAAAAAAAAATAAAAAAAAAGATTCATTCATCTATAAGCTAACATTATCAGCGACTAACGTAGGCTATATATTATCTTCTATCTATCCGTGCGGAGCCGGGGCGGATCGCTAGTTATTTATAAATACATTTCAAAATGATTTGTTCTTTATCAGGTTACACGTAAAAAAACTGTTCCCAAAATTCGTCAAAGTGTTCAACAAAGGTACCGCTAAAGCGGCATACCAACTCATGCCAGAAGTTCCTGATGATACTGGTAAATCGAAATATATAATTTTTTTCTCTAGATGCATATATACATATCGTCGTAGTCGTAGAATACTGACTGATCTGACAAACATTAAATATACATATCTGTCAGTATTCTACGACTATGACGATATGATAGATCTTACATCCAATCTCATACTTGTTTTACCTAGCTTGAAGTTGGTTTATCAACTGACTTAGGTTTTCAAATCGGTTGTATTTTCTTTCAGTCTGTTCTAAAGTAATTTGAAAATTTTTAAAGAAACTGATATACCTATTGATTTGTCCCATAGAAATTTTATCGAAATCGGTTCCATCAGTTTAGTTTTTAAATAAAAATAACTTATATTGCCATGATTAAAGACGGTTTTTTTTAAGGGTCAAAATCTTTAACAGTTGTAAACAATGGTTAGAGTTTAATATCTCTCTCTTTTTTCTAGGCATTGTAATCTGAAATTTTTCAAAGGGAAAGTGAATAAGCCGTTTATTAAGTACATAGTAGATATATAGTATCTATTTTGTTAAAGACTTGTTTTTTTTTATAAATAAAAGCGTTACTATTTATTCGTATATGCATATTTTAGATGAAGACGCTCGATTGTTCCGCGATGTGCAACTCCGCTTAGAAAGAGATGGTAACGGTATGTACTGGCGGGTGCGCGAGTACTGCAAACCGGGCCAGGTGAGATATGATCATTTTTTTAACCGATTTCAAAGAGAAGGAGATTATTATTTCGATTGTATTTTTTATGTTTATTATTACATTAGTCCGTCAGTTATGTACCGATTCGAAAAAAAAACTTCTATTTAAAGTAATATAATTACCCATCGGTCCCGTAGAAATTTTATTAAAATCGTTTCAATAGTTTCTTTTTTGAACCAAAACGACTAGATTTGTCACAATTGAAGACGGTTTTTTTGTGAAACACGTCTTAATTTACTTAGTAATGATTTTGATATTTTTTGTTGTAAGTATAAGTGTTCTAGTGTTGTATTTTTGTACTTATTTTAATCAACTTATTGTTATAATAAAATTGTAACTAGCTGATATCTCTAGATAGAAGATATTTAAGAAAAATTTATCCGTATTAGAGGTCCGTATTATGTAATAAGAGCAACAGAAGCCAAAATATATTGACTATAAATTTTGTCTGCTCTCTGTCTATATGTTTATTTCTGTAACACGCAAAAACTACCGCATCATATTGTATGCGTTTTATATCTTCACTAATTTTGATAGTTAAAAGCTTCATTTTCAATCAAATATATATATATATATATATATATATATATATATATATATATATATATATATATATATATTTACGTGTTACCGAAATAATTGTTAAATATCTTCTATATATATATACAATATATACAATAAGTTGATTTTGTCGCAGAGCAATTTGTAAAACTGATTTTTTTTTATATTATGCATTTTGTTATAGCACTTATAAAAGTATATTAACAATCATATAATCAATTTATTATTATTTTTAAGGACTCGTTGTCGTCTATCCCAATGAACAATTGCAACATGCTGGTCATGTACACTTTCAACGACAAACTGTTCCCTGAGACACTCAACTTTATTTCAGGCAGCGGGTAAGTACTTGTAAAACGAGTATATATTAACTTGACACTTAGAGATACACTTTACACTGATAGAAATAAGGTTCATTTTAGATTTTTCTCATAACCCAATCGAATAGAGGATTTACTTCTGTGTTGCTCTGTCATCTATTTAAATGATGTTATAGAGAACTATTCCTAATGATTATATATTTAAAGCATATTATATTGTACGATGTATAAGAACTGTGTTTAGGCCTGAACTGTAACCTTCGGGTGTAGGATTAATCACTTAGATTAAAGTTGCTTATTGAGTCCAAAAGGTCTTATACAAAATAAGTATTTATATATCTATATATATTTTTAGATAGATTTTGGCCATAACGATTATTTCTCTAGATATTAATACTCCATTGATAGACTCTGTAGTGGCTAGAATAGCCCAGTTTGTTGTTGTAATTGCGTAGGCAAAATGTGTACCATTAAGACGTAGTTCAGATAATTGTAGTGGTGAGCTAAACGTAATCTGATTTGTAGATCGTCGTATTATCTGTCTGCGTCCACTATTCGTTTGACTACAAACTCAAAGACATTTTTGTATAATACTCGTAATATACTGAAATTGCTTTTTAAACTAGGCGGTAGTTTTATAATAAAATCATTATCAGGTTCATCGAAAATGCTTATAACTAAGTTTACTTGAATAAAAAAATATTTATATAATTATAATTGATTACAGAATTATCGGCTTGTATACCACATTCGTATTCTTGGCGTCTCGAGTACTTCGAGGCTTCTTCTCCGGGATTTACACAAAGATTATGTTCGACGATTTGCCGAACGTCGACAGAGTACTGCAGCTGTGTCTAGATATTTATTTGGTAAGTGTGATGAATGATTGACAATAGACAGTTTTAGCTACCCTAGAGGAGCTGTGGTAGGTACATGCGAAAATAGTCCTGGTTTTGATTTTTTCTTCGGGGAAATTTAAGAAACAAATTGCTCTTGGGTGCGCATTTTGAGACATAGATACCTGACCGTAGATATTCCTCGTCTGATTTATCATAACATAGTTACACATAAATCTAAAAACATAATACAATATTAATATTTGTCTGTATTTGGTATAACAATATAGTATATTATCTGTGTCTCTATTAGGTACTTAAATATTGGGTCTACAAAATGCAAGAAGCTTTTTTAGATGTGTAACAAGAAAATTTTTGTAATATTCTAAATTAATTTAATATTTTTAAATACAATGACATCGATTCAAAACACTATCGATACGTACATGTAATTATTTATCTACAACAATTATATAATTTTTTCACCCCGTAATTAAATTTCTGTTTTGCCAAAGACTGACTGCTACGGAGAGAATGCTATATAGCATTAAGTCCGCTTTTTGTACCAGACATTTTTTTTGTAATGTAGTCAATAAAGAATAAATAAATAAATAATAACAAATGTTCGTCTTGTAATCAGTAATTCTGTAAGAAGCCTTAGACTGCTATTAATCTTCTTTTCATTTAAGAGTTTCCTCTTGTCGGTGCAACTAATTTATGCATCTTTCTCCAGCCAGCTCTATCCCAGGCCATATCCTTTATCTCCCTATACGACATGACGCCTAGTGTTTCCTTTATCTGTCCCATGTAGTTAATCCTCGGTCTTCCTCTTCCTCTTTTGCCCTCTATCTTTCCTTCTACTATGCTCTTAAAAATAATAAAGAATAGAAGAGGCAAAATCCTGGGCCACCTTATACGACATGACGATTTTTTTAAGACTGCTATTAATACTGCTAATAAAATTCTCCTTTACATTTATAGGTACGCGAGGCCCTCGAGCTGGCTCTCGAAGAAGATCTATTCGCAAAACTGGTGTTCTTGTATAGATCACCGGAAACTATGATAAAATGGAGTCGACCGAAGGAGGAAGATGCAGAAGAGCAGAGAGCGCTGCCGCCTTCGCGTTGAGTTTAATAACACAGTGAAACAAACAAATTACTATTATATGGTTCTCAGCTCTCTTGTTAATAATGCACATTTGCAAGTATAAAATGTGCTTGCTTGCTTTTGCATAAAAGAGCATACATATATAATTGGTGCTGCTACAATTCGCGGTCAAATAAAACTTGATCAAAACCATAGACAGAAAAATTTGCTCAGTAGATATTAAAACGGTCTACTGTGCAATTTAAGTCATGTGGTGCTGATATAATGCTCAAGTTATTGCCGATATATTTGACATTTTTTTATTATTATATGCCATACCATATGATAACATGGGAGTCCCATGAAATGCACGTTCATAGTTCAGTCAGTGCTTAGAAGATATACGGGTTATGTCTTATATTTATTTATATATTTTAACAAAACGCGTCATGTAGCAGTTGCGTTTTTAGATACGTAAGTTGTACAGAAATATTTAAAGTAAATTTAAGAATAAGTCAATTCGATTGGGGAATCGTTACGCATTTAATATTAAAATTATTAAAGAAATAATGGAAATATTATGAATATCGATACGCACATCTTTATTGTCTAGTTATAATTTTGCAGGTTCTAGATCCGTTTATGGCTTCATGTCTTTAATTTTTCAGTGCAATTGCTATTTTTATACAAATACGTAGTTTATACTATAGGTATATTATTAATTTATAATGAGAAAGAAAAACAATTTATTCTGTACAGTGGCGGCACACTAGATCTAAATGTACACATAGGTATAATGTCCCACAAAAATTTAAAAGTGTGTTAAATTATTAATAAATTAATTATCAAACAATTAAAATTCACAACGTGGCTATAATCTATATGTAATTTGTATATTAGCAAATATAACTGTTCATAAATAACTTACAATGAAAAAACGATTGAATTACCTAGTAACAGAACACTTTTTGCATTTGTAATTCGGAGAGTTTTGCTGTTTCTAGGTAGTAAAAAAGACTTATGCTTAATACTTACTATAACCAAAAGTATGTATTAAGTCTATTTATAATTAAATACTCAAAAAATTTGCTTGCAATACCTGTTTGTACAAGCTTACTAAATTTTTATTATTAGTTATCTCAATCTATGAAAATAGACAAAAATTTGAATATCTACGAGGATTTTCAATTATATTTTCTGGGTTCATTGTCATATTGTGTTCATATACTTTTTTTATTTCTACTTTGAAATTTATTTCATTTTAATATCGAGTATCCTATCGATCTAGAACCTTTAATCTCGACGAATCAAATTAAGACATGGACCGGATCATGAAATAACGATCTGAACTTTTGACTATGAATGATTATTACAAAATAAAACGACAGATCTGTATTTATTAATAACATATATTCAAAATTAGCCTAATATAGTACTTAAAAATATAACAAAATAACGAACTTTTAAAGAATTACAGTTATTCAAAGTCCGTCTATTGTGCATAAGAGCACCCGAACATACTAATTCCCTTTTTTGCTGTAATGTACAAATGACAACTGATACAAATATAATAAACTGAGGCATTTGGAGAACTTATAATAATTGAATTGCTTAAAATTTGTAAAAGGAGGCTTCCAATAAAATCTATACTTATGTTCGGGTGACACTAGTATCAATTATAATCAGATTTGTTTTATTCGTTCAAATAATTATAACACAAAACACCAATAGTGGTTTAATAAACTGCTTATATGTTTATAGCTTATCATCTCGCATTGAAATAAACAATGGATTATTTTGGTGTTGATGATATTGTTTTAAAGAAACTATGTCTAGTTGCTACTTATAAAATAGGAACTTTCTTAGTGCTACATTGTTCCATATTATGTGCCCTACCATTAGGGCGAAGATTCTAAATAGATGAGACCTGAAAATTATACCTTATTACTACCTATAATTAATAGTCCACAATCTTATATTTACTTTTTTTTATATTTACCCAAATATATTATGTACTATTTAATACGATTAGGCCCAAGATATTTGTGAGTACTATAATTGTACTTACAAATATTTTAGGCCTAATCGTATTAAATAGTACATAGTAGTACCTGTCGTTATGAAAATAACATCTTTTTCCATTTCACGGTAGAATTGTTATTGTATAAAAAAATCTTCCATAATTATACAAAATTATACATGGAAATGAAAGATTTTTACTTAAGAAAATATTTCATTAAAAAATAGGTAGGTATGTAGCAAAATCCGCCTATTTCAGACGTCCGACACCTTAGTTTTAGACCAAAACGTCTAAATGAGAATAGGTATTAAATCTTTTATTTCTATGACTGTAATACTAAAATACTATTTATACATGTTTTAAATGTTTTTACCCTGTTTATATTTTATTAAAAAATTTATGTTATAATGACTGTTATTTACTTACAGCTTAATATGTGTATATAAAGAATAAAAGGCAAGTCTCTGATAATATGAACGGATTTTGTTTAAATATACCTCAAGTCTTAAGTGTTGCATTTGATAAATTTATAAATTATTGAAGTATGTAAGATTTATTACTTATACATTTTGTATCATGATTGTTAAGCTACACTTAATGTCGTCGATTTGTGTTAATAAAAAGTATATATAACATTGAAGACTTTTATTTATGATTATTTTTTTCTTAAAATACTTAACATTGATATTACAACAATTAAGACTTAATTTATCACCATTAATCTTGGTGCTATATTCATGGACATAAGTTCCTGGAATAATAATTTTGCAGCATATGGTAAGCGTATTTGAGAAATTTGTGTCTTATTTTTACAGCCTTTACATTCAAATGTGTTGTTTCGTAAATTAGCTATAGCTATCAAACCACAAAAGTTGCATACATGTATACGATAAGGATCTGACACTTCAAAAAGCCGCTCTCGAAGGAACTGCGCGGCACCATGAGCAATTTGACAATCACGTTCCATTTCACCGAAACGCAATCCACCATCTCTTGCCCTGCCTTCCATAGGTTGTCTCACTAAAATTTGAACAGGTCCTCTTGCCCTTGAGTGAATTTTATCATCCACCATATGCTTTAGACGTTGGTAATAGGTAGGACCCAAGAAAACTTGAGCGTTTATCTTACGTCCTGTGTGTCCATTATACATTACTTCGTTACCACGTAGGTGATAACCATATTCTTGTAACAAAGATGAAATTTTTTGCACGTTTACAGCATCATTGAATGGCGTAGCATCACCAATTTCACCTTTATTTGAGGACACTTTTCCTTGGATACACTCAATTAAATGCCCAATTGTCATACGAGATGGAATTGCATGAGGATTAATAATAATATCTGGTGTTAATCCTTCACATGTAAATGGCATGTCCTCTTGTCGGTATTGTATACCACATGTACCTTTTTGACCATGTCGAGAGGCAAATTTATCTCCAATTTGTGGGATGCGAACTGATCGAACACGGATTTTGCAAAATTTATATCCCTCACTATTCAGTGTCAACATAACTTGATCCACAATACCTGTTTCACTGTTACGTAAGAATGTAGACGCATCACGTTTGGTGAATCGTTTTGTAGTACCTTCCAATTCGTCGTCATTTTCAGGTAATGTAATTGTTTTACCAATAACAACATCATCACCAGATACTCGAATTCCAGGGGCAATAATTCCATCATCATCTAATTTATCGTATAAGGCATTTCTCATACCTTGACATGTTTGTCTTGTTGGTTTTTCAAATTGTTCTTCTTGATCTCCTATTCTCTTAGATTCTGAATCTTTGTAAGAACGATAAAATACTGATCTGAAAAATCCTCTTTCAACTGCAGATGCATTCAAAATTACACTATCTTCTTGATTATACCCAGTGTAGCATAAAATTGCGACAATTGAATTAATGCCCGCAGGCAACTCTCTGAAACGTAAATATTCCATTGATCTGGTAGTGACCAGTGGCTTATGGGGATAATACAATACATGTGCTAGTGTATCCATGCGCACATGAAAATTGGTAATATAAACACCCATAGCTTGTTTACCCATAGCACTTTGATAGGTGTTTCTAGGACTTTGATTGTGATCAGGGAATGGAATGATAGAAGCACACACACCTAATATCATAGCTGGGTGAATTTCACAGTGTGTATAGGTTGTACAGTATGCATATTCTTTAAGTTGTGCTAGATCATCTGGGCTCATGGCAATCATTACAGTTTCTTCTTCCAGAGTGTCAATATATTCCACAACACCACTGGCCACCAGATTTTGCCATCCATAATTGTTATAGTCCCGCTCTTTGAGATTATCAATGTGTTTCTTCTTTAACAAAAGGGCTCCATTTTCAACGATTAACAATGGACGACATATTCTTCCAGCATCTGTATAGATACGAATTTCTCTGTCTCGAATATCACGGATCATACTTACTTCTGATACAATGATGTCCATTTGACGTCTGAGTTTTCTTAATGTTGCCATCAATTGTTCGGGATCTCTGTGAATCCCAACCCAACAACCATTAACAAATATCTTAGTTGCATCTGCGATTGCAGAAGGGGCTATTTCTTCCAAATTCTCCATTGACCATTCTTCCAAGAACTCTAATATAGGAGACGGCTGACTTCCAACTGATATATAAGCCATCAGAGCTAAATTCTTTACAAGCCCTACCGCAGCACCTTCAGGGGTTTCTGCAGGACATATCATACCCCAAAGGGTGTTATGGAGTTGACGTGGTTTAGCCAGTTTACCATCACGTCCTATTGGAGAGTTGACACGACGTAAATGAGATAAGGTGGATGCAAATGTCAGTCGATTTAATACTTGTGATACACCAGCTCTAGCTTGATGAGCTTTTTTCTGATCTCCCCAATTACCAGTAGCAAGTGAATATCGGAGACCATCGGTAATAATTTTAGTTTTAATAGCTAATTCAAGATTGAAGTCCTTTCCTCTATCTATGAACTTTTGGGCATACATACGAACTTCTTTCAATAAATTTTTAAACAGACCTCTGAACAAGAACGCTAGCAAGGGTCCAGCCAAATCCAATCTTTTGTTGCCATAATGATCTCGATCATCAAGTTCTCTGCGGCCTAGAGCTGCAAGCAGCAGTCGATGCACCATATAACCCAAAAAGTAAGTCTTTTTGGTTTCACAAAAGTCTGACACTCCAACATGTGGTAGCATTTCTTTTTGTAGGATTTCTCTAGCATATTTTATACGCTTGTCTTTTGTTACACCAGGACGAGCACCACGAGAGCCAATAAAGTTTAGTGCTACATTTTGTTCTTGGAATACAAAAGCTTCATCTAATGATGGCTTCACCATCTCCATCATTTCAGGATCATCAAAATCATATATTATATGTTCCAATATATCTCTGTCTGCTACAAAACCGAGTGCTCTGAACACAATCATGATTGGAATTTCTTGTTTAATATATGGAACAATTGCAATAATTCTTTGTCCAATTGCAGACTTCTTTATGCTTTGACCGCCTCTAGCCATCATATTTACCCACAATGTTGAAGTTGGTCTTGAACTGTGTTCAAGACAAGAGCGAATCTCTGTTTTATAAGCATATTTTCCATCTTTCATACTAAATACATAAACAGTATTTGTTGCCATTTTCTCTTGAGCTATTAAAACTTTTTCAGAGCCATTGATTATGAAGTAGCCACCAGGGTCAAGAGGACACTCATTAAGTTCAGTTAAATCTCTGTCAGTTAGATGACTCAAAAGGCAATATGTAGATCTTAGCATAATTGGAATCTTCCCAATAAAAGTTTTCTGATGCTGAGTTTCAATTGGATCTTCATTTTCTTTCACAATAGTTTTTGTTATATCCACATATAATGGAGCAGAATATGTAAGATTACGAAGACGAGCTTCATTTGGCATCATAGGGGATGGAGCACCATCTTTTTCCCAATGAGTGGGTTTCGATAAATAAATTTGATCAAATTTCAGAAGATATCGAGGTGGAGTTTCGATTTCCCCAGAAGAATGTTGTGCTTCTGCCTGTAGTTCTATTGGAGGGGAATCTTCAACAATTCGTTGTACGGACATTTGAATGAATTCATCGAAACTATCCAATTGTTGTCGTACCAAACCTTTCTCATCAAAATAAGCGTTGATAACAATCCAACAAGCTTCTTGCCATAGCTCCGAAGAAATTTCTTCAACATCTTCCTCTTCATATTGATCGTCTTCCGTATCATACATTTTGACTCGAAGTAATTATATCTCCGTCAATATCATAAAAGTTAATTCTCAATATAATATATATTGGTAACAATAATTTTATAAAATCACTACACGTGCCATGAAAATACGGTAAAAGCCGTAATAAATTGAAAACGTCCTAATGAAGGATAAATAGAACAATAAGTCAAGATGGCGACTACAGATCAGGGATGTAAAATCAGTTTAATTTAAATCGATTATTATATTCTAATAATATAATAATCGATTATTAGAAACTCGATTAATATTACGCGTTTTTGAAAAAGTATTTTTTTAAAGAATAATCATTATTATAATCATATTTGATAATACTTTTGAACATTTTGTGATACTTCACTACTACTCCGTAGTAGTGAACGTAATCAGTACGTAAAACGAGACTGAAAATTAGTGTCAATAGTTTATTAATTTTTTATTGTTTAAACTTAAAGATTAACGAAAGATTTGTTTTATATTTTAGTTTTTAAGACCATAACGTAGTCGTTTAGTTTTTTTATTATCGTTTTAAGTATTTTATTTTAATACTAGTAAATATAAAATAAGATCGCACTTTGTGACAATTCAAAATCAAACGTAAAATAGGACCGAACATTTATGGCATTTTTTTTTATTTGGTTTATGTTTTAGTTTTGTTAATACTTTTTGGTTGGTTCCAAAATTTAAATGCGGTGTGACACCTATTGCGTGTGTTGCTTAGCAATTGTTGACTGTCGTTTATTACGAAAATAGAAAATTAGTAGGTGATTTAAATATTATTTTTATTTAAATATCAAGTGATATTGTGTGTTCGTTTATATATATTTTGTGTTATTTGTTTGGACCTTATAAACTGTATAAGTGAAATCTACTGACAATTCTGCTAATTCTTACTACCAATCTTTGAAGAGTTCCGTTACTGTTCAAGGAACAAGATTCAAGGTACGAATATCTTTAAGTAGTTTTGGAGACAATAAGGGTGTCGTTTTGTTGGGATGCATATTATTTCATTTTTATTATAATAAAACGTTTAATGGTAGTGAAATTTTGTGTCAATAATAATATTTGGTTTCCATATTCCTTGATTTTCTTTAAAAGTTTAAAGATACATTCGCGTTAATTTTTGGTTTTGAATTGGTCCCTTTTTTATTCATATAATGTTATTTGATTTTTAATTTGGTAAATTGTTTGTAGAAATCTCTTAGGATTATTATTGAAATATGAAAAGCATGTAGATTCTTAAATAAAAAAAATATAGATTTTTCAATTTATTATTTATTTTTATTAAAATTAATTTTTGACAAATCGATAAAAATTGAATAATCATGTATCTATTTCTATGCATCGATTATTTATATTAATCCGTTAATCTCACATACCTACCACAGATTAGAGAGACTAGATTTAAGAACAAGGAATTACATAGAAGAAATGATAAAATAAAAACTGGAAATAATATGGTTCCCACCTTTCTTCTTATACAAATATAATTAGTAAAAAGAGGACGAAAGATACACCATCAGTTGCTATTTTTGTCAAGTCAGATACAACCTGCTTGCATGCTTTTTACATAAGCTGTGTCGAATATATAATTTAGTTATGTGAATAAACAAAAATTTTTACATACACATTTTATTTTTCACAACTGATACGTAAAACACTAAATTGAAAGTGTTTTCTCTGTTATTTATATTACATTCAGGTAAAGCACACTTAAAACTAATTCTACTTCAGTACATAAAAATAATTAGAAATACTATTCGATTATCACCCATTAAAAATCAAAAGCAAATATTTATGACGTACGCACTATCTTTAATTTATGGTTAACGTGTACAATATCTTTGGTGCATGATTATGTATAGAATAGGTACACTTCTATGTTTTTTTTTTTTTTGTGTGTGTTCGTTCTGTCATATTATAATCTATATCAGACGACTCTTCCATCGTACACTTTAAAGTTTCTTGAAATATTGTTTTTTTTTTCTAATATTCTTTCCTTAAAAAAAAGTGGTCATTATTTTCTAAGATTTCTATTTCTGTTGATATTATTATTAATAATATTATTTGTCGCTATCTGTATTGTAAGACTCTTGTTTTTCTAATTACATTACATCATTAGCGCGATGTTTTGTTTGGAGATATTCGAATCTGGTCAAGTTCAATTGATTTAGGCTATGATTCATAGTATACCTATGTTTATTTTGTTAATTTTATAAATTTATCTTGCTATAGTTTTCATAATATTATTTATAAATTCTAAGAATATGGAATCTTCGCGAAGAAATAATTCTGAAGAACAACGGTGTATATTAGGACTCCAAGATTTGAAATTATCAAACAAAGATGAGGATGGCACTGAGCAAGCGCACGGTGGTGCAAGTTCTAACTCGAGTACACTCGCCAAAAACCGCCCGGTCGGCGCAATAGAGAGTTTTGTATTGGACAACACCCAGAACAGTCGTCAAGATTATAGTTTTTACGAGAGATCAAATGTTATAGCGGCATCAAAATTTGCGACCCCTAAACGAGTGGAAACAATTGCATCGATAAATAAACATGATATAAATACTGCAGCGTTGCCCGCTAGCCCTACGCGTTCTATCGATTCATTATCGCAAAGGTCACTGAGTTATCAAACAGAAGACTTGTATGAGATTCCTGCAAATCCAAACGCTCAATATCCGCCGCCAGTGTATGAAAATATTGATTATTATAGTGATCAAAGGTCAACACAGGCAGCATTTTATCACCAATTGTACCAGCACGGACAGGCGCCTACCGTTTCCGACGGGTACTACGATACGCGTTATAGCAAGGCCCAGCCCCAAGTACCTGTTAACGCCAAACCTAAAATAACACCATCTGTTTACGAAAATATGCTTTGTAGTGATAGTAATGAAAAGAAAAGTGAATATAAACCTACTCAGATTCAAGACCAACATTATATACAGCAAGGATCTATTCCTGGGCCACAGGTGGCCAACAGTAACTTAAACAAAACTGTGTCACAAATGAAGAATGAAAGAGTAGGAAAAATAGACAAAGGTCCACCACCACCACCATATAGTTCATCGCAGGATAATCCAAGTAGTGACTATACAGTGATGAAATCAGCACCACCTAAATACACTGATGTTACTGCTCTTTTAAAGAGTAATTCTACTGTCAGTTTTGACGACAAAGTTGTTACAATTCCATCCACAGCTATTTATGCTTCAATTGCGCCGAGTGCTCAAAGACCTAAAGCCAACATTGCTACTGAGGTCCAGACTGCTACAGCAAGCCCTAAATTTTTCCACCACAAACCAAATATTGCAAATACTCTTGGTAAAGAGAAACCTGCTTTAGCCAATGGTGGATATACAGCAAAGCCAACTGTCGTTAATAGAATGCAGATAGTTGATGATATAAATGGGTCAGATTATGTGTGTATGACAGGAGGTCAGTCCCCTGCAGCTGTAGCAGCCAGTAAGGATAATGTATCAATAGCATCAGAATCTGTTGGCTCGCGAAACTTAGTGTCCGGGATGACATCTTTGTGTTCCCCAGCACAGTCACCAGCTCCAAGTCCTACTCCAAGTTCCGTTTCACAGTTATCAGGTGGCTCTAGAGGTTCAGGGGGGAGAGGCAAAAGTTTATTACCATACAGCATTACTCCACCACGTCCACCTGGACCCAGTGAAGCTCAGCGTAAAATTGAAGAGTTAACTAGACAATTAGAGGAGGAAATGGAAAGACAAGATGAAGAAGGTGAATATTTTGGTAAGTATTAAGCATTTGTCAACTTCTTTGTTATATATAGAATATTACATTTTCTTAATAATAAAATTAAAGAAATAATATTAGAAGTACTCAATATCTTAATAAACTTGTAAACTAATTCTTTACAAACAGTACATATATAAAATAGACTCATAAACTGTTTCTAATGTTATTATAATTAGCTTCTGAATTAATCAGACCATAATTTTTTTTATACAACTTAGAATGGCAAACAAGCTGACGGCCCACCTGATGGAAAGTGGTAACGGTTGCCTATAGACATGAGCAGTACCATGGACATAACAGAGTTTACTGTTTCGCCCATGATACCCCCCGTGCATTGTCATTCCTGAGGATTCAGGTGTTATTCCTCTGTACTCAGGAAATTCACGCCATATCCCACCCTTTAAATCGAAACACAGCTATGCAAACATAACTGCTTGACGGTTGAGACACGAATGGCACAGAGGTACCCAAGCAATCGACTTTTGTACAAAGTCTTCCTCAAGGAGATTGATACAATTTTATGAGGAAAAGTCCCTATATAATTTTGTAAAACTTTATAATATCTTTATTTAAAATTGAATAAAAAAATAATATTCATTGATTAGTCAATTCAATAATTAGTGGTTATTTAAACTATATTTAAGATAACAATGCTAATAAGGACTTTAAAGTTTGTAATAATCACTTAAATGTTCATTAAAATAAAAATTGGTTCATGATAAAATTAATTTATATTTAGTTATAGAGAAATGGATATTGTCTTTCTATATACTTTGTATATTGTACTATATATAATATATAAATATTGTGTACAGGTATATGTCACACATGTGGCGCTGGTGTCACTGGTGCAGGGCAGGCATGTCAGGCTATGGGCAACCTGTATCATACCAATTGCTTCATTTGCTGCTCTTGCGGGCGGGCACTCCGTGGCAAGGCATTCTATAATGTACATGGCAAAGTGTATTGTGAAGAGGATTACTTGGTTAGTTACATTTATTTTTCAAGTATGCTATGATTCTATGATATGGTTCTATTGTTGTTTATTATCGGCCATTACATTTATTTACACAAACAATAAATACTAGTATTTCTATGAAATCCATTCAGTAACTGTATTATATACCAATTTTGATCTGCGACTTCATCCCATAACCAGGATATGTTTGGGATAATATATCGTCCATACTATATAATTTATGTAATCCAAATTTTATAGTGATTAGTAAAGCTGTTAAGGTACTTTACAGTAACAAATTGCTTTTAACATTTGTAATATTAGTAAGAATGCCAACATTTGTAACAACATACAGACAATAATACAAAATATATTTCTTCAGGTTTAATTTCTTTTTTTTCATCATTATCATCATCATTTCCTGCCCTTATCCCAATTATTAGGGGTTGGTGTGATATATTTTCATTCATGTTTCACTTCACTACCTTTTCTGGGATGGTGGTAATTTTTTTTTTATTTTTATTTTATTTACATCAGCACAGTGTCAATGATGTAGTGGTTTAATTGATTGTCCTACCATTCTAATGGTTGTGGGTTTGATTTTTGCACAATACAATCATTTGTATTCCTGAATATGGTTTAGTGGGTCTCTAATTTGTATATACATAAATGCATTACATTACATGATATTTGTATTAAGTTTAAATCATATTTGTATATTTTGTTTTTTTTGTATTTTAATTTCAGTATTCAGGATTTCAACAAACTGCAGAGAAGTGTGCAATTTGTGGGCATTTGATAATGGAAATGGTAAGAAAAGCCACTTAATAAATTTTATTGAAATTTATTTATATATTTAAGAGAAAAAATCCTAACAGATGTTATAAGTTTATATACATTATGTTTACCATTATGTTATATCTATACTGGATAGGTACCTAAATAGCTGTTTATTTTCTTTCAGATCTTGCAAGCAATGGGTAAATCATATCACCCAGGCTGTTTCCGATGCTGTGTCTGCAATGAATGTTTGGATGGTGTGCCATTTACTGTGGATGTTGATAACAAGATTTACTGTGTTAATGACTATCATCGCATGTTTGCGCCTAAATGTGCAAGTTGCGGAAAAGGTAATGATGATGACTGAATGATGAAGTGTTATAAAGATAAAATAGTCAGTTTCCTTTTTTAAGTGAAATAGTTTTCATTTTTTTCCTTTGAGCGTGGAAATAGGCATGGGATTGTTCAGGTGACAGATAATAGTTGATTTCGATTTCTTTATTATCTTAACCTGAAAAATAAATGAACTATTTAGTAATAAAGGTAGAATTTGTTGTATAACAAGCTATATTTATGTAGGTATAACACCAGTTGAGGGAACAGATGAGACAGTGAGAGTGGTGTCAATGGACCGAGACTTCCACGTCGACTGCTACATGTGTTGTGTGTGTGGTATGCAACTGACTGACGAGCCTGACAAACGTTGCTATCCATTAGCCGGTAAGTTCTTTAAAACCGAAATGTATTGCATTAAATTTAGAAATATCTTTTAGTGTAATATTTGCATGTGTTATTAGACATGTAAATGTAATCCTATAGAAATATTATTGTACTAGCGTTCCACCCCAGCTTCGCAAAAGTAAATAAAATTTTAGAAAATAATGTATAGCCTACGTTTATCGTTCCATAGGTGAATGAATATTTAAAATCGATTTAATAGTTATTGAATTTATTCAATACAAACAAATAGTCAAATCTTTATAATATTAGTATAGTTATAGAAACAGCCTTAACATAAAACGTATAGAAAATAAATTTTGTTATAATCGGACTTAATATTTCATTAAAAATTTATATAAATCACCTTGGAATGTATCAGCTTGCGACAGATCGTCGTGATCGACAGCGACTTTTATATTACAGATGAAACTTAAGGTTTTCTTTACGGTGCGTAAGTGTGGGCTTGTCCGCGACTTTTCGTGATATCACGTTTTTTTTTTCAAGGGAAATCTTCCGATCTTTCTTGAAAGAAATATCGCTGATCTAAATGAGTTTGTTATATTATATCATTTTGTAATTTTATTCATCCCCCGGATATCTTAAAAAGCTTGGGTTTGGTGTATCCTCAGATTTTGTTGCTTAGTTCTTCATAACATATTGTCCTAATTTGTGAACACAGTAATTAGTGACTGTTACTATTATTATTAAAATTGCCTTCAGGTCGGCTGATGTGCCGTTCTTGCCACCTGTCCACCATCGGAGCTACCTCAGGACCTGGCCATCCACCTGCTCCGCATCTGTCTCCGGCATCCTATCAGTACATGGGTTAATTGCTTGGTTTTACAATTGCAGTTCTTCTTTTGTAATGAAGCTTGCTCAAAGTTGGTTATTAATACAGTTAAATAATTTACTAAGAGGTTAATTATACTTGTAATCTATTTTATCATTGTTAATAAAATTGGAATTATGGATAAGGAGCACACTCCAAAATTTGGTTGAAACATCCAAATATTTTAAGTCTTTTTCATTAATGACTAATGTGAAAAAAGGCCTACTAATAATACGATATTCCTATTATATTAGTGCTAAATGACGATATGAAACCTAATAAAATTTGACAAAAAAGACACTATAAGACTGGCTTTTTGTGACGTTTGTTTGTATTTGTCCATTAAATAAATGCCTTTATGATTTTCTGACCTGAATGTGGTTGAAAATCTACTATAAAAATATTCTTTTTAATTATAATGTCCTGCAACAATATTTTTATTAGAAATCATCTTGGGTGTGGTCTATTTTGGCAGCAATTGACAATAATAAAAAAATAATGTATTGGGCACTTGTTCTATTTTGGTGCAACAATTTTAAAATATAAGATTTTTTTTGTATGCAATTTTGTGTATTTTTTAAATATGGCTTTATACGATAAGTTAATATGGTCCAAATAAATGTAAATTATAAAATTTTAGTTAAGATCAATCAATGCCAGTGGGGTTACTCTTGAAATAAATTCCAATAAATCAATATTGAAATTGTGACGTTGCATACTTTTTAATTGCAATATTAGCGACATAATAGTTCCATACTGTTCATCATAATAGATGTATGTTAGTGTAGCTTGTCATTGCAAACTATTGCAAACCGATCCCATTTATAACCTAATTCCTAACTGTTTCATGAGTGCAGTATAAAATTGTCATTGGCAATAGATTGGATTGAATAAAAGATAAAGATATTGATATTAGATTTAAGAGTAAACCTGCAGATCAAATTATATAAGGTTTACTGCATTGTAACTTTGTGTGTCAATTTAGGCCGTAAATTTGGCTCTATAGTGTCTAATTTACTTTAGCAATTCTAAATTAATATATTATCATTTAAAATTTTAATGAACCAAAAACATTACAGATTTCATATTCAAAAGGAATATAGTGGGATGGAATTTCATATTAATAATAAATATATTTTGTGATATCAGTTAAGTGACATATTTCAGTTTCATATATATTAATATACGAGTACTATCATCATATAAGTTAAAAAGATCGTCATCTGAATACCTAAATATACAAATATTGCATACATTAGAATTCAACGACTGGCGGCTCAAAAGATTGTTTCTATATTGACAGTACTTTTAAAAAATTATCAGTATTTGTACAGATTATAATATAATGTTGTTTTACATTTATATTTGTAAAACATTGTAGTGGTAAGTACAGACAGTTTAAAGATATTTTAAATTAACAGAAATAAGTAGCATATTAAATATCCCGTAATTAAATGATAAGCTCCATGTAGAATTTGTAAGAGTTAATAAATATTATTTAATTAGAATATAGACATATCTACTTGTATATTCATACAAGTACAACTTGTGTTATTATACAAGTAGTTACATATACTACAACATAGTATGTTAAATAATATTGATTGTGACTTGAAGACAGTAGTATAATTTGCCTAAAATTTTGTGATATCATTAGATTAATTTCTTTGCTGCTTCATTTGAATGGGATTTAGAGGAATATAAACAAGATAATGCCAGTTTCAATAATTTGCCATATAATTCACCATTTGTCTTTCTTAAAACATGTTGTTATAAAGTAATTTACATTTTTAAGAATTCCTTAGGATTTATGATAGAATCTTGTTGTTACGGTACAAAAAAAGTTTATCTTAATGATTGTTATGGTCATAAGATAAAATTTGGGATGCATTTACTAATTATACATAATAATGGACACTGGACATGGCAGCACACCTGGTAATTAAACTATGATACTATTGTGATATTCCATCTGATTTGATATTTAGTGTTATTTATTAGAATTTTTTATTAATTGTAATTGTCACAGAACTAAAGTTAGGTTCAATGGAGCAACACCAAACATTCCAGTTATGTGCTGTCCTGTTGTGTACTTAATGTAATTATTATATTAAGATTTTTTATATCTGTAAATTTTGAATATGTGATTATTTGTATGTTTAGATGCTTTAAAGACAATTTTGTTAGGAATATTTTCTTTTTATAAATATTTAAACAATAAACTATTCTAAAAATTCTATTTTTTATTTAATATTGTGGTAAAAATAAACCAAAGAAGTTAACATCCATTTTATTTAAAACATTTATTAAAATATCTAGTTAATGTTTTTTTTTTCATTATAAATAACCCTTAAAAATTAAATTATATAAATAATAATTCCATAGTTAAACCATGAGACAACATTAAATAAACAAATATAAATATTTTTACATTTTTTTCACCTTGTTTTTCATGTTTCGAATTTCGGTCTTATACCGTCGCATTTCGTCCATCACTTGAGTGCTTTTCTCTTTCATTTGCACTTGATAATGTTGTTTGCTTTCATTAAACCTATCTTGAAGGGTGTCCTTTTTTTCCTGTAGCAATTCTTTAATACGCTCTCTCGAGGGTACAGGTTTAATCCAACCTATTTGTGTAAATTTTTTAATGGCAACAGTTGTTCCGCCTAGAACAAAACATGAAATTTCATTCAAGTATACATTGTTTTTGATACTAAAAAATTCTAATTTTAGATTTATTATAGATTACATGAGGAACTATATAAATAAATCATGTCTTTTATTGGAAATATTGTAGTATGACTAATATACAACTATATTTTGGTACCCTATATAATAATAATATTTGTTTCAAAAAAAGTTACGAAAGTGTGGGTGGTTCTAAAAAACACTAATAATCAGAATGATTGATATACAACAAGATCAAAAAAACAAATTCTCATTTTGAGGATTATTTTCATAGTTGAATTTTAGTTTACATAACATTCAACTTGTTTACATAATATCTGACAGATATAAATGAAATTATTGCTATTAGGGGAAATCATGATTTTAATGCTAATTTAAATGGTAAAGTGATACTATCTTTAGTAGCAGATATTAACTACATAAAATCAGGTGAAACTAATGGCAGTAGAAATTTTCATAATATGACAAATAATCTTCATTTGAATTAAGGACTATTTGATTAATAAAATTATTGGACAAATCAATAATACAGTGAACACTCCTATATAAACAACTCATTGGAACCACTTTCAATAAAAAAAATAAATGCTGATTGGTAAAAGTTGCTTATAGGGAAAAAAAGGAGTATAAAAATATTTTTACTTTTACTTCTCTAACTAAGCAGAGTAGAATAAAAAATATAAAGAACTTTGCTTATAGAGCGGTTACTTATATAGAGTGTTCACTGTATTACATTATTATGAAAATGAATAAAATATTATTGATTTGTACAATATATGATTTTATCACTTTTGTTTCCCAGGAGTAGTGGCATATCTAGGTTAAATAGTGCTCATCTCTGCTCCCTATTAGCTACATTCATGATAATAAAAATATCTTTAATAAATATGACCTTCGATCTGGTAACCCAAGTATTTATAATGTAATGTAAATATTGACAAGCAGTTTTGTAAACTGCTTATCTACTCATAGTTACCATTACATTCAATATGCATATAAAAAAATCTACCAACTTGCCCTGGTTTTGCAGAGGTTATAATTTGTTCCAAAGTATCAAACTTACTGTTTAATTAGGATATATTTTACATATAAAACTTTCATAAAAAATGATAGTGAAATGTGTACCAAAATCCCTTGCATAGTTTAGGGTCTAAAACTAAGCACATAAATGTACAGATGTGGACTTTGTTTTATACAATTATTTAGATAATACAATTAATTACCAACAGTGACAGCATAGCGCAGTGGCGTTGCTACTTTGTAGAGAGCAAATGCTAAAGCAAAATATCCTGCACTTGAGTCTCTTAAAGGTGCCATCAATTTCTCACTTACACCTAAAGATTCCAATATTGCCAAGACATCTACACCACTGTAAAAAAATATTAATTAAGAGATTAAATATATAAAGGTTAATTCTGAAGTGCAATTTCTTATACTTATCTTCAAATTTTAAATAGATAATTTAGCTAAAGTATGGATCATAAACCGTTTAGTTTATAGCAGTTATTCACTTGTATTATAAAGGTAATTTTTAGAATCCCTAAGAGTATGCATTGACCACTTTTTATATCAAACTGTAATAGCTATCAAGATAAATGATCAAGAACAAAAACATTATAAAAATATTGCATCAGATGAAACTCACCTCCTAACTGCATAGTAAAAGCCACCAAACCAAACTGCTGATGTCACCATATGAACAGGTACTAGAACATACCAGTAATCTCTGTACATATCTTTGAACCTTTGGAAGAGACCTGGTTTAGATTTTTGATGGTCTTTTTGTGGTTTGTTGACATCACTACTATTTTGCATTGTACGCAATGTAAGTGATCCCATCAATGAATCTGGTTGTTTAACTTCGAGTAAAGGCCTATGAATGATTTTCTGATAACAAATCCCGCTAGCTACAATTCTTAGAGGATAGATTTTAGTTGTGCTCCATCTTGCCGGTTTGGTTATGTTATGTACATAATAACAATTCCTGTAAAAAGGTCTAACAACTAACGCCATTTTTAATAATAATAAATACTGAACAAAATCCTATAAATTACACATAATTTTTTAATGAAGAAAACAATTATTTCTATTGCGTAGATATAAAGTATTACAAAATATAGGGATGGAATGGAATGATAAAAATTGACATGACATTGACATTGGTATATAGACAGACAGTTGACAGCGCGGAAATTGACATAGGTAATTTTTTTTTCTTTTTTTTTGGCGTTCACCCCGATATTAGGGTATTTTGCCAAGAACAAAACGGGGAAACGATAATAGTAATAAAAATACCTAACACAAACGAATTTAGAAAGGATAAGGATTAGGTCTAGGATATTTATAGGATATGAAGGATATACTTGTACATATGAGAATATACTTATAAATATATAGGAAAAGCAATTGATGCAACTATAAATGTATTCATGTAATATAACTAAATCTTAATATTGTTATCATACGAGGTCTGTCCGGAAAGTTCGTATAAAAGTGTTCTGGAATGCGAGAAAGAGGAGTGGGGAGGCCAGGTAAGCGCAGGACCCCTTCCTTATGTCCCTAACAATGCTTCAGTTCTGGTCTGACCGCCGTGCGGTGCGAACTGGCTTGTCACGCCATCTGTGAAGTTACCTCTTAACGAAACCCCGTCGGCATGGAGCCCGCTTCCGTTGAAGAGCAGCGCGTCGTAATCAAGTTTCTCTCGAAACTCGGCAAGAATGGCCGTGAAATTTTTGCCGATCTCAGAACAGTTTATGGGGATGATGCTGTGAAGGAACCAACCGTCCACAAGTGGCTAAAAAGATTCAGAGAGGGCCGAGACAATGTTGATTGTTTTTTTCGATGTTCGGGGGATTGTCCATCAAGAATTCGTCCCTCCAGGCCAGACAGTTGATGGAAAATTCTACGTCGATGTGCTCAGACGCCTCAAAGCTCGTGTGGCACGAGTTCGTCCAGAATTGGCGCGAGAGGGGCGTTGGATTCTTCACCACGACAATGCCCCTGCCCACACCTCTCTTGTTGTCCGTGAGTTTTTGAGTAAAAATTCCATTACGGTGACCGAACACCCCCCTATTCGCCGGATTTGGCCCCGTGTGACTTCTTCTTGTTCCCAAAAACAAAATTGGTACTTCGGGGGCGGCATTTGGGGGACATAAATGAGATAAAAAAAGCACGACGGGGCAGCTGAGAAACCTACAACCAGAGGACTTTCAAGGAGCCTTCTCACAGTGGAAACGGCGTTGGCACAAGTGCATTATGTCACAGGGGGAGTACTTTGAAGGGGATAAAATTGATTTACCTGAATAATTGTAAAATAAAATTTTTAAAAAACTTTTATACGTACTTTCCGGACAAACCTCGTATATATATGAAGATAGTATTTTATAGATAATAGGATCATTGGAAGAAAGTAGAGTAAGAATAGAAGTTGGGAATGGAACACGGATGGATCGGAGATGATTAAAAAGGGAGGTGTGGTCAAATTTAGAACATGAGAAGAATATATGATTCAAGTCCGCCACTTCAGCACCGCAATTACACGACGAACTTTGTACAATACCAAGCTTGTATAAATGAGAAGGTGTGCATACGTGACCTAGACGCATACGAGTTATAATAGTTGTTGCGGTCTTTCCAAGCTTTAATTTACAAAGACATAGGTATTGACTAAAGATATTCGTAAATTCCGAAATCTTTGACTACCACTCATGTATAGATAATTAATTTGTGCTTTATCTGCACAGCAATATAGGAATTAATGCTAAGTATTCTATCTTCATTCCCTGGCTACTACTCGGTGTTTTTTAATGGGTGATAATGGAATGATAACCCCGCCTGCGCTATCGGTATACATTGGTGGGGTATCAGTAAGGGACGATAGGTGACAATGATCAGTTAGCCCATTATGACGAATTCAACAACAACAACAATTAGCCGCGATGGTTTCCAGGGGGAATCACGAGAAAGTCGAGCTGATAGGGTATATTGGTAGCAATGGGGTTTTCAAACCCCATTACTAACAACCTCTTTTCATCCACTACTACCTATTTTCCTATTATCAATATAATTACAGTGTTAGCATCATAAATTATACAGGTACTGCATGTCAACACAAACTAACAGGGGAAGGGATTATTAGTAATGAGGTTTAACAACCCCATTGCTAGTAACATATTCTTTTAGGTCAACCTCCACGCGGTTCCTCTCGAAAACCATCGTGATTAATTTTTATGGAATCCATCATGATGATTAACTGACCTGTTTTCATCACCTATACCGATAGCGCGTGTGGGTTTACCATTCCAGTATCATCTATAAAAAAAAATAAAGAAAATGCGTATACAGATGCGCACTCAGCGACGTAGTCCTATAGCGTAATCAAATATTTTGGAATTGAATGTTCTTGGGTGTAATTGTATAGAAGCGATTACTTTATGATCATCGTGGGGTCCAAAATGAATATTTGGGGACACTACCTAGATTGTGTACCTAAATATTCGTTTTGGTTCTTCATAACAAATCTCAAAAGAATTCTCTTAGCTTGAAGCCAGGCTATTGGCACGATTACACTTAATATTACATACGTGTATTCACAAAAATTTTGCCTATATATAATAATAAAATAGTAACAAGATGATATTTATCAAAAAATTTATATGAGGATGAAAAAAATTGATATGAGGATGCCCAGACAACATTTTTTAGAGTTCTCTCACCAAATTGGACACGATTTTTAGAGTCATATTACTATTTTCACCTATAAAAAAAAACCGTCCGTTCATTCAACCACCCTAACAAACTTTCGCAATTATAATATTAATATCATCGTCATCATCGTATCAGCCGTTAACTGTCCACTGCTGAACAATGGCCTTGAGGCTATCTCGCTTAGTAGGATAGTTGACAACTGCAGGTAGGTTTTGGTTTTGTTTTAAGAGGGATGTTTTTTTTAAATAGGTGATAATGGAATAGCAACCCTGCCTGCGGCACTGGGCTACGCTGGCGGGGCACCATTGAGGGATGATAGGTGAGGATGAAAAGGCTGGTCAGTTAGCCCATCGTGTTTCACTAGAATTAACCACGACGGTCTCCAGGGGGAACCGCGTGGAGGTCGACCTGATAGGGTGTATTGTTAGCAATAGGTCAATTAGACCCCATAACTAACAATCCCTTTCCCCCCTAAGAGGGATGTTTCTACCCTTTAATCATTAAGTTCCCCCAGTCGCTTTATACAACTTCCACGGAATGGCGTGGCCCATTTTAAGCCGGGACCATACGACTGATATTAATATAGCATCATGAAATTCAGTATATAGTATCTAACTCACTTTAAATATCCATCTCCTGTACGTTGTGTGGAAATATTAAAACCAAAACAGTTTGTGAATAATAGTTATATTGCTAGTAACTTACTACTATGGTAAATAAAGTATAACAATGTTCTATTCTATAGCTATTCTTATACATTTCTTCTATTTAAATGGAATCACTGCAAACACCAATTAAATTTTTGATGCACACCTATCGTTGATTATTACTTGGCACTTTTTCTAATACAAAAAATATTACATTTTTTATTTACTTTTTTCTACTTATTAAATGCAAGTTATTTATTTATTAATTGAAATCTCCTATATATATATTACTTACATAAGGTAATGACTACACAGAATATAAATTAGGCCGGTATTAATCATATTTTGAGCAACTGATATGTACATTCTAATTTCATACGTTTTACATGTTTATCTACGAATTAAACAACTTGATCGTACTTTATAATATCACAGCTTTTTAGTTATCCTTAATTACAGTTTTGACTCAATAACAGTAACAATACAGCTTTAGCTGGTAATGGTGTACACAGCGACTCTGATCGCCATATAAGTTGAGACGACTGACGGTACCTACCAGTGTCCACTGGCGACTGTCGTGCTGCAATGTTGCTTCAAAAACTCCTCCACCGGGAGCAGTACGTACAACTATCATTATTTCTCTCCAGCCGTCTTCATTCTCTGGAGGTGTACCCACTATCATTTCTGTTGTCTCTATTACTTCAGCTAGGGTAAGACGGGAGCATTGAGGATATTCATGCATCATCAAATTTAAACTCCTTACCAATTGTGCTGCTGCCTCTTGCGCTTCAGCGCTATCAGTCGTAAGTTTATTGCTTTTATGACATGTACACCAATGATCGTCTATGCCAGCTATCTTACAGGTTCGGTTCTTGGGCAAGGGTAAGAATAAACTTATACTTCTATCATGAGCGTAAGGCATTTCGCTTCTTGATGTGATCTTTTCATCTGTCAACGAGTCCAAATTTATCAAATCAGAAAGAGTTGCATGTATATCAAAAGGGGTTGTAAGCCGTCGACTATTCAGTCTTAGGTTGTTATAAGCCCGATTATAATTCTCTTCAAATGTTGGTGGGACAAGTATATGAACAAAGGGCAGTCTTTCTTCTAACCTTCCTTGTTTAGTATATCGAATATCACCCCATCTTATACCATGATCACTAAGTAGAATTAAAATAGTATCATCTAGATATTGAGATTCGTCAAGATTTTTTAAAAACTTTTCATAACTACTATCCATTAACATTGGATAATTTAAGTAGTCATGGCTCAAGGTAACTTCCCAAAAAAATCCAAATAACTTGGATGATTTCAATGTCGTCGTCAATGCTTCAATGTAATCCAAAAGAACTTTATAGAAGTGTTGGTTTCCCATGCAAATGAAAGTATTGTAATCTTTTTTGTTGCCAATGTGAGTTTCAGCCTCGTGCATAAAAGTATGTATATAGTAGTCAGTTGGAGTTCCTATAAAACCAAATTTTCCAAAATTAAATGTTCCCAATTTGGCACTGTCTTCACCAAGGGCCGTATAATATCCAGCATCTTTGTAAAACTCCCAAATAAAAGGACAATTGTCAAAAGTAGATCTTATATGAGGCCAGCAAGTCTTTTTTAGGTCCTTTTCTCTGATGCCAAGTAACATAGGAGTTAAGTTAGGAAATGTATTGTCGCCGACTTTGTTATATCCTAACAATTCTATGGCACCTTTCTTTTTTAGAAAGGCCAATGTTTTGGGCATAGTTCTGTGAAAATTTAACCGGGAAATTGCATCTAATCCCATCACTATGACGTTATAGGCCGTTTGATTTAACGGCATTTCAAATGACTCCTCATCATATGTAAGCATAGGTTTTTTAGGTGCAAATAGAAAAAAATGTACGTACAGTGTTTTATAATCATAACCGCAAGATACTTTAACGAATTCATTCATAACTTCAATATAACTGGTAAAGTTAATACAGGGTTCGTATTGTACTCTATCGTCGACATTCATAGCTGTGATATCCGCGACTGCCGTTGGTCGGTAAAAAGTTTGATAGCAGCAAGAAATATTAAAATCTCTAGCCATATTATAAAAATGTAAGTTTTCTTCTTTGATCCAGATATGTGTATTGTTGTTTTCTAGCAACGAAGTATTTGCATTAGGGCAAGTATTAGGTTCAGGTTGTCTAATAAATTTTCTAATACTTTCGTGAAAGGGTTTTAAGCCGGGAATAGTACAGCCCTCTGTTTTGATGGTGTAAGATTTGTCTGAATGGCCTGCGTTAACACGATGTACGTCAAAGGACGAGGATGTGATGAGGTTGTCGCTATTGGGAAAGAACATTGTAGTATTGTTGCTGATGGAAAGTATAAGAAAGCAACTGCCACATATTGTTGCCAGCAGAAACAGGTATTTGAAGCGTACCGGAACAGAGCGTGCTCTGCTCCCTGAATTTTTGGTTAACGGGCCCATGCTGAAATATAAAAAAAAACAATCATAAATCAATGACAATATTGTAACAAATGTATGGATTATGCATTAATCGTTTTAGTTGGCTATCAGAGCATTTTTTAAATAGGTAATTAAAAATATGAAACATTGTTTATTTGTTTATGAAAATTAAAAGATAGTTCTGTAATATTTCGTTAATCTTTGCATTCATATTTGGTAGATAATAATTAAACTCAAAAAATATTTTAATTAACAAAGTATGTTTATCTGTATTTAAATTTATTGTATGGTAAATTATTAAGCTGTTAATGTATAATATCAAAAAGATATTTCGAAACGATACGTATTATCAAAAATGTTACGACAAAGTCATGGGTTAATGATATATGTTTCATGGTTAAATTATACATTTCTACAAAAAGCTTAGAAGTATTTGCAAATAGATTTAAAGAAGTTTTGAAGTAAATAAAATCCAGAATGGTTAATGTAAGGTTATGTGGTATAATTGTAAAGTTCACGGGAACGAAATCACGGGCCGTCGCTGGTTACTTTAAGCAAGTTCTCGTAGGTATAAAAGATATCATTACAAAGTAGTATTACTGTAATAGAGTCGTAATTTAAATAAGCAATTTTTCTTAGTTACTTTAATACATAATTGTAAATATACGCATAACTTTTCATTTTAAAATTACATCTCTGTATATTTACATATCTACTCATACCTTTATTTTTTGTTTTAGAGAATTTTTGCAAAAATAATTTAAAACAATAACACATTTAAAATTACAATAATTTAGTTTCCTTCACTGATTTTCTAATGTATTAGATAAGTAGATATTTATTTTTAAAATGCAAACATGAGTAGGATCATGCAAATATGAAATAAATAAGAACTACAAACATTATGAACAAGGTAGTAAATTAATTTTAAGTTAAATTTTGGATATAAATATATAAGTATAGATCACGCAAATATATATAATTATATACACGATTATAAATAAAAGTAATAATTATTTTTAAATATGTATATAGAATACCTAATTAGACTTCCAATAAATTAATTTAATTATAATATAATCACATAAGTAGCAAAATTTCACTAAGAGTTATTTAGTTTTAATTCAAACTAACTTACCTATAATAATATGTAGGGAAAATTTTCAATTTCACTTAAACGTGATGTTATACAGGAAAATAAAATACCAGTTTTATTCATCATACTTAACACTTGATCGTCATCAAATATAAAACATGCACATGTGTTACCCAACAGATGATTTTAAAGATGTTACAGCTATGTCTGTGCACGATATATTATGGGTATCATTGAGGTATTAAAGCCACTCAATGACTGGACAGCTAGAACGAGCCGATCCAACGGGTAACTGATACATAATCAGAATTGTCACCTATCGCAATAAAGTTAGCCGTCTTTTTCAAATATCAGCTGGTGTAACCAGGAAAGCATGATTCTTGTCGATACAAAGGGCTTACTGGCAAGTTACGAAGTAGAAGGTTGTCCCGGAGTCTGCGCGCATGCGTTATGCCTAGATAGAAAGGGGACCCATCCCCTACTCGTTGTCGGCAGTACATTAGATAGATGCTTTTTTCAACATTCTATAATTACAAGCATGACTACGATCTTGTCCTATCTTACCTGTAAATAGGTATACAAAATGTCTATATAGACAGGGGTCAAATAATTGAATAATTTATAGTATAATACATGTCTACCATTCAGAGTGTTATTAGAATTGATAGGTCTGTCTGTTCATTTGTTTTACTATGCATCCTCTACATTAGATTTATTCTTCAAAAATGAAAAACTACTTACGTATTTTTATGTATTTGTACGTCACGTGATATCTTTGCCAATTTTAAATCGTTTTTGTAAATTCTTTTTGTAATCGAGAATTTTTTATTTTATATTCGTTTTGGTGACAATTTTGACACAATAGCTATTTTTAAACTAAATATTATATTATATTCAATAATTTTTGTCTTTTAATAATGTGCAAATCCGCCTGCCAAGCATGGCAACTACTAGCAAACCCCAAACCCAAACCTCAAAGCCCCTCCGCTTATGTTCAGTAGTGGACAGTTAGAGCAATCAAAAAATTGTTAGTGTAGTTCAATGTACATAGTTATAATTCTCAAGTTTATATATACAATTATATAGCGAGCCAATTGTTTTTAGGTAAAAGATATCTAACCTAACCTATAGTTATTTTTTTGGGGGAAAGGGATTGTTAGTAATGGATACTGAAATCAACGATATGAAACTATCATGGTTAATGACGAATTCATCATGATAAGCCTGTTTTCATTCTCATCTATCACCTTTCACTGGTGCTCCGCCAGTATCCCGTTAGCGTAGAACTTATTATTATTATTGAAAAAGAGATGATAATGTTAGAACGGTGTTCCATTTAGGTATGCAATGTTATTACCTATTCATTCCACACTATGACCCAATAAACGATACGACTGACGTAGCAAGCCAATTTCCATGAATGTTGAAAAAGTTCTCTGAGAGAAAATTTTTAAAAAATTCATGGCGGGAATCGTACATCTCTACATCGCTTCGTTTTATATAGGACATTTTGTTACGAATACGATTTCTTTAATTTTATGTAATTAAAGACACATTTTTTTTTAATTCAAACAAATTTTAAAAAAAAATGCAATTTTCTTATGGTACTTGGAATGCCAAACAAACTGACGACCCATGTGATAAAAAGTGGTACCCGTCGTCTATATGAACAACACGTAATTCAAGTCCTGGCAAGTGTTACTATTTCTCCGCAGGACCATGAGGACAAAGTTTATCCCACCAACTAAACTAGAGCACAGGCATGCAAGCTTGGTGGTAAAAAGCCGAGTGAAGTTGAGGACATACCCAAGCAGACGACACTTGATCATTTTCTGGTATATCTATTCTATAATTATATGTATGTAACTATAAATAACATCAACAAATTAGTGATGTTTTACTATTTTTATAGTTGAATCTTGCAGTGAAGTGTATATCGCATAACGTTAACGTATAAGGTTTCGTTTTAATATTAGATTATTTTAGATTTTTTATACCACTGAAGTAGGAAACAAGCAAATGATTCACCTGACTGCATTGTCGACGCTGAAAAAATTCCTTTACGTTTTTTCTGACCCCCATGCTGTAGTCTCTTAAAAAAATCTCGACAGGGACTCGTATAATCTGAGCGTTCGTGGGAGGAAACACCTCTAAAATCACACTGTACACGACCATCAAAGCTCTAAGATATGGGGGTAAACTCTCTATCGATAGCGAGCTGTTTGATGGTAAAAAGTGGTCGTGGCATCATATTTTAAATGACGACTAGCTATATATTTTAGTAGTAAAATAATTATAATTTCTGTCGTTGGTTAAAAGTCAGCCCAAATATGTACCAATAGTTTTTACCCGCGAGTATATCTACGTAACCGGGATTCTCCATTCTATATAGTATACCAAATTTTATAGTAATTGGTCAAGTCGTTAAGGTGTTCTAATGTAAGAAACAAACTTACTTTCACATTTAGGTATAATATAGTAAGCTAAGATAGTAAGGTAGTAAAACAGATGTTTTTTTAAAATATTTAGTTTCATTAGTAGAATACTGCATTAACAGGATACCGGTGATTTCGATTTCATCCTGTATAATTGATTATATTTTATAATTTTTCTAAATGTACAATTACACAAGATAGAGTGCTGACTGACCTGACTAGAATTTTCTTGTTAAATTTCTTCAGTGTAGTAAGCGGGTAACGCTATACATTCTTTTGAATGCGGTAGAGTTTTGCAGTTTTCTCATGATTGTGTACAGTATGGTATGTTATCAAACATGGATTGTTTTGAAGTGCTAACTACAGTTTTTTTTTTGCTATGTTACCTGCATTCGTTTGTTGGCACAAAACGAGTAAATTTTAAATTTTAAAAATTGATTTGAACACAACAAGCGTTGCATAACGGAAGTAGTTGGTTATGCTATTTTTATTTTCTAATGAACTGTAATAGTTCCGCAGCTTTCATATGCACGAAAGACTTTAATTAATTATATTAAATAAAATTAATTATCCATACTTAACTAGAGTAATAAAATTATGTAGACTATTTAACTGTAAACATATTTACGTACTAAAGATAAGCACATATCTTTAGTACATATCGAGTTCTTATAATTTTTCAATTTTGTGAAAATCTAACAAAAAATTATAACAACTATTACACACATAAAAAGCTAAATAAAACATATTGTCATTTCGTAATGCTGGAGACATATGCCTAATTAAATCTCAAATATTTTTTACCATCTGTAATGTGTGCCTTGGGTTTTATATCATACATACAATTCATGAGTTTTGACATTGTTCAATCATTATAACATAGACGATGAAAAATAATCATTAACATTATATCAGCCTTTAACTACTCACTGCTGAACATAAGTCTTCCCTTTGGGGGGTTTTGCCAGTAGTTGCCATGCTTGGCAAGCGTATTGGCAACCATAGTCAGGCTTTAGAGATGTTTTAAGATGGACGCTGCAGCCCATACCTCGCCCTCCTTTAGTCGGCTCTTACAACACCCACGGGAAAGAAAGGGGTGGCCTATTCTATGCCAGGACCACACGGCTTATGAAAAATAATATATTACTCACGAATATAATCCCTAATAGCGTCGTTAAAGGTATTTGTCCATTGTTGCTGTTGTAGTAAACATAACGTTCGTCATTCTCAAATTTCGCGGAGAGCCTCCCGTCGTCATTCGGATTAATTTAGTGTGTTATTGGTGTTTTCTATCATTAGAGTTAGTAAAACAATTAATTCATGACTATATACAGTCTGCTCCATAAAAATTGAATGAAAAATAAAGTTTTGTCGAAATTGTAATATAAACACTCTCTAAATTAATTTAGTAACAAGTCACATCAACTAATTGATTTTCGATTTGTATTACTATTGGACATTTTTTTTAATGGGTGATAATGGAACGGTAACCTCGCCCGTGCTATCGGTATACACCGGCCGGATACCATGGAAGATGATAGGTGAGAATAAATACAGGTCAGTTGGCCCACCATGATGAATTTGACAAAAATCAACCATGATGATTTCAAGGAGCAACCACGTAGAGGTTGACCTGAGAGGGTATATTACTAGCAATGAGGCTATTAGAACTCATTACTAACAATCATTTTCACCCCACTATTGGACATCAGCAGACTACCTTATGGTCGGATCAACTGTTCTTTGGCTTACATTTTTGTTAAATTCTATTGAAAATAGACTATAAGTCGGGGCAGTATATTACTGGGCTATGACATTTACTAAAATTAATTCCCAACCATATTTATGTAGGTACTTAGTTAAATGCATAGCTGCATTAAACAGAAATGGGACAAAAATGCAGGCGTTTTTATTCAAGAACACTTGGCGAGCGTGTCAAGAATCAAGATAAAAAGGAACCCAGACGTAGAGCGTGTTGTAGCAGCTTAGACGTGGAGCATGTTAAATATTAACTTAGTACCTAGCTTGGTTTATTTTATATATTGTTGTTCACATTTATACTTATACATATTCATATGTCTGTGTGGTGACAGAGTAAGATTACGATCAACCCTGTTGTCACCAAGATATTTTTATATAGATATAATGGATTATTTCTATTATTATTCTTAAAAAGCAATAAGGATAAGTAAACTAAAAGTGACATAGGGTTGATCTTATAGCTCGAAGAAATGACAATCAATGGGGAAAAAAGGTTCTTGAGTGACGACTCTGTTAGGGCAAACAGTGTGTAAGACGACCCCCCACTAGACAGAGCAACGACTTCAAATACATTACTGGGAGTCAGAGGATGCAGGTATGCAGATGGCTCAGAACTGCTCCTTATGGCAGTCTATGAGGGAGGCCTATAATCAGTAGTAGATAGGTAATGATTGATATGATAGTGATGGTACTTTTATAAAGACCTATGATTCTAGATGGGGTCATTATTAATCCCATCTGCATTAATGGCATACGCTGGCGAGGCACCAATGAGAGATGATAGGTGAGGATGAAAGCAGATCAGTTAGCTTGTTGTGATGAGTTCATAGAGAATTGATGATTCTCTGAGTGAAAGAGGTCAATGTAATAAGTATATTTCGAACAACGGGGTCGTTCTAACCAGTTACTATAAATCTCTTCCATCCTTCCTAGAATGTGGTGAGGCGACAAGAGGATAATCAGTATCGATCTGCTTGGCTAGCATAATAGCCTAATATCTTTTTCAAATGGGAAGAGAGCTGTGCTCGATAGCGGTTATTAGGGTATGGTTATGGTATTATTTGCAAAACAAAAAGAAAACAAAACCATTTTCAGTAAGGTATTCTCAGATATTGTCATTTCTATGGATGTAATTATAAGATTAATTGTTCTTACTACACCGTCCCGGCAGCTTCACCTTAAACGTCTAACCCGGATTACGAGTTTTTTTATGAATGATATGTAATGGCAACCCCAGTATACGCTAGTGATTTACCAGTGAAGGGTGATAGACAAGAACGAAAACGGGTCAGTTAGTCCATCGTTACGAATTCATCAGGAATTAATCACGATAGTTCGGCTGGGGGAGGGATGGGGGGGGGGGTTTCACGTGGAAGTTGACCTGACAGAGTATATTCATAGTAACATGGCTACTAAACCTCATTACTAATAGTTTATATCTTATATGTAAAGAAGCTTGTAATCCTACAAAAAAAATAAATTGAAGTAGATGTTTTTTATGGAACACAATCTTATTAATTAATGAAGTCTGTATTAAGATTATGTTGTGTAAATATTATAAAAACTATAACTGACTGTATAAGTAAGAATGTCTATTCGCTGAACAGGAACTTCCTTATTTTTAGGAGACTATTTTAAAATGAATTTTAATTCATGTATAACATCAACAGACCCGAAGGGGAGACTGGGTTCGTTTCGTTACGTGGCGCATGCGTACATCTAAGTCAGCCGGTGACCACCCGTCGACTACTAACTATGAAATAAACTAACGCCTACTTTTTATATAAACAATAAATGCCAAAAGTTTCATTGAATATTTGCGGCATAAAAGATATGAATGAGGACCACGTCGTTTTCTCTCGAGGTAAGAGTGATTTCAATACATACCCCTAAGGTTATGGAAGCCGAAGGAAAATCGATAATTAAATAACAGAAGCCTAACCTAAAAATAATGTTATATGGAGATAATATTGTCAGCTTATTCTTCGCTAAATCATTATAGTTAATATTTATAATTAACATTTATAATCATTATAGTATAATTTATTATTTGGTACTGATGAAACTTATTACGTGGAAAACACTTTGAAAAACACAAGACGATTTTGAATAAATTATTCTATATTTAGGATCTTACATGTTTTAAAATGAAACTTCAAAGTGAGAATATATTAAAATTTCAACCGTATTTGTATTATATAATAAGACGTTTTATCTTTTTATTTTTTAATGTTGTATGTGATTCATACGAGTATTATGAAGTTTCTGAAGTTTTAATTATGAAAAGGGTCAAGCGCTAAATGTCAATTTTGCAAGACTGCAGGTTATTATAATTAAATATCATTATATTATAATAACAATGTATCTAAAACATTTACAGTTATAACATTACCAGCCGTATTTCGCTGCTTAATCCGTGATCGTGTCGTGATGTTCTCGAATATAAATATTTTATTAAAACCGACTAGTAGTTTCAGAGACCAACACTTTTAAATATTAGTAAATAATGCTGTATAACTGCCAGCACATCAGTTAGTATATACCGCAAATTATTCTGTACACTCAAAAGTTAAGTAGAGATATTTAAATCTTCTTTAAAAATGCCAAATTGCAGGTATTAGCCCTACTATTCCTCACGCTGATACCGTGGCCGGGGCCGTCTGTTTTCAAAATCACCTGTTCACGTGACAACTCCAAAATCGTAAGAAAAGTCATACAAAGCAAATGGCTTCCAGTTTTAGAGAGATTTCAAGTAAGTTTAAATAAGATTTTTGATTAGTACGTAGACATATACCTACATATTAAACGCGAATTCACTCCTTCATCAAGCCTTAAAAACTATTTAATCTATGAAGCAGACAAAATTAGTTTATGTTTTCTTAATTCTTCAATGCACCTCCTACCTCTCTATTTGTTTTCCCAACGGTTGACTTGGGTGTATGGGTATACTTTGGGTGTATATAGACGTTTACTAGGAAAGGTTTATTTGAACTGCACGTAAACGGTTAAAACGAGTTCGTGATCACGCTTGCATTGAAGTTTCAAGAAACAGTCTTATAATTTATGATTTTGTTTCTTCAAAAATTACGTCTTCAATGGTGACAATATCAATATGAGTTTAATATGGGAGTTAATTACGAGTATATTGACTGCAAAAAGAAACATAAGAATCGGTAGACTTGCCACAGTTATTGCGATACACAATAGCTTTGTTTCGGTTTTGGCATGACGTTCAAATATGACAGTGAAATTACAAGATACATTTAGCATAATATCACAGTCCTCAGGAATGGCAACGTATGAAGGGTACCATGGACGTAACAGTATGTCACTGTTCATATTTATATGCAATTGTTACCATTTTCCATTTCCTATCAGGTGAACTTATTTGCAGCTTTTATTTTTAATACCACAAAAATGGTAAACAAGCATAAAGCCCGTCTGATGGTAAACTGTAGCCTATGAACTAGCTTGTATAAAAAAAGGTACAACGCACCTACAATTCCTCCGATTTTGCAGCTAATGGGCTGCACCATTTATATACAACTATTGCTAAAATAATAATATCGCTGTTTCTAGGTGAAACTCCCATTGGAGTGTCCGTTCCATCCTGCTCGCGACATCTTCGCACCGCAGCACGCCGCCAAGCTGCAACATCGGCCCTCGCAGTGGACCTGCGCTTTCTGCGGCAAATCCTTTTACGAGGAGCGCCATCTTGATACGCACTTTGACCAGCGCCACAAGAACCAGATTAACAAGGCAAGAGTATAAATAACGTAGCAAATTTTTGATAAGCCGATATATATATACGGGTACTTACTGCGCTTATACGCATGTATAGTTTTATCCTGTAAGATACGAGCAGATAGATTAAATAACCTTTTTGACAACTGAATATGGACATTGGTGTGATCTAGACTTTTATATGAATAAAGTTCCGTAACAGGCGGTGTTTCTTCGTCATCACGTCAACGCATGTAAGGATTTTGAAAGGTTTTACGACGTAACCTTTAATTGAAATTTTTTTTAACGCGCCACCTACATATTTATGCTTTAATACCTTCTACCCAAAGGTTGTCTGGAAGAGATTGCTTAGCAATAAGACCGCCTTTTGTACTACACTATACGTATTATTTTTTTTTATTGGATGAAAATGGAGTGGTAACCCCGCCTGCGCTAATGGGATACGCTGGCAGGGCACCAGTGAAGGGTGATCGATGAGGATGAAAACAGGCCAATTAGCCCATCATGATGAATTCATCAGGAATTAATCATGATAGTTTCCAGGGGGAACCTCGAGGAGGTCGACCTGGTTGGATATATTGTTAGCAATGGGATACACTATACGTATTGAAAATTGTTTAACAAATCATGTTATGTTGGTGCAATAAAGTGTTAAATAAATAAATATCTATTCGTATTTATGAATTCGTATGTACGATATCTGAACGTACATTTGTTTGTGAAACTGGGTAAATTGATATTCAGTCTCAAAACTTTAAATTCATATACATATCGTTGCTATGAGAATGATCAATCAGACCTGAGATTTGCATACTAATAACAAATTTATTAGGAAATGTAGCTGGATTTCAATTCAGTTACGATTTGTATTGAATTTTACACCTCTATGAGAACCAATACAATGTTTGTAGGCGGAGGACGCAGTATGTTTGGCGGACTACTGCGACATAATGCGGTGTCAGGTGCTGGTGGCTCACGGGCTACTAAGCGGCGGTGGCGGGCCTGGCACAGATATCGAGGTGAGTATAATTTTTTTCTTTGGCAGAAGAAAACTCAAACTTATGGATCACTAGTAGATACTACGTAAAGTGGTCATTGCAGGTAATTAACCTAAATCCAGAAAAGTTACAGAGTCTTTTACTAAACTGTTGCGGAATTCCATATCACTGGTTAATAAATGTATTATACCATATCACAAAATATTTCTTATCAAATACTATGTATGTGTACGTGTATACATACATAGTATGTACGCGTAGTATATGCGCGTTTGTCAACACTGGAAGATTGAAGCAATCAAAGATTATTAATACCAGAAATTCTATAACCTTCCACATTAGCCATAGTAGTAACTAATCTTCGAGTGTTGACAATAGTAGCGGAATTAAACAAAATAATTCTAATAAAATAACCAGTTATAGAATTGTTATAGGACATATAACAAGATATAGTCTCTTAAGGGTTTCTTTCAAGAGTTTCTATATCTTCATAAATAATTGTTTAATTTTTATAAAATAATTGTGAAGAATTTTATATATTAAACATCATCATCATCATCTTACTACCCTTATCCCAATCATTTGAGGTCGGCGTAATATTATTTTATCCATATTACAAAAATATTTGGTTTTTAGTTTTACGACCGAATAATAAACATAAAAATTAAAAAATTTGGGATATTAAACAGAAAACTTAAATTTTAAAAATGAATTATTAAAAACATCAATTTGTAGCATAGATGTCTATAATTTCATATGGAGTTGAGGAGGAATAGCGACAATTGTTGATAAATAATTACCATGATGGAGAACGTAATATTTTTGGAGTTCTTTAGATTCGATTTATGACCTTTGAGATTTATAAGCTAGTATATCATTAGAGCATCTCTGCAAGCAAGCAAATGAATAATGATATGAGTGACATGTGATTCAGGTGTGGCAGGATATGGAGGCTGCGCGGACGGCGCTGGCACCCGCGTCGCCGCGCGGCGTCGCGCGCGTCAGCGGACGGAGGGCGGAGGGCGCGGCGCGGGGCGCGGGCGGCTCGGCACGGCGTCGCCCGCGAGCCCGCGCAACATCACCCGCACGGGATTGTCCTACCACTGCACCGGAAGCTGAAGAATCTGGTAAATTTTTCTCATACGGCCGGCTACGATTTTTAAAATGTATGGAGAAGTATAATACTTAAATTCAGTTAATAGACGCTATTTACCTAATTTTGCTTAACCTGAAATCGTATCCGGAAAAAGACCGATGGTTAAAAAAACCCGAATGGCGCGAGTCTCAGCACAAGTGGTTCACGAATATTTATACTCGTGGGATATATAGGGATATTTCACTATATTATTTTCTGTAAAAAATATAAATGCCTGGTTTACTTTCTCCCGTCATTCTGACATCATCCACTGACTGATACCGATATTTCTAGTTAAATGAAATTGACCTTAAATAGATATGTAAAAGGTCTAATATGGTTAGTATTTAATAACAAAATATGTTTAGAAGTAGATGAAAAAAGGACGGAAGATAGTGAAGGCGACGCGAACCAGACGGCCGAGTTGTGCGATGCGGACACGGTGGAGTCGTCGTTGCCGCCCGACAGCCGCCAGCGACGGCTGGCCGAGCTGCAGGCGGAGCGGGCCGCCTGCGACCCTACGCGTCTGCAGGGACTCAAAGTGCGTTGCGAGAAAATTGTACATTCTTGCATTGCGACACTCCTATTACATCTCACTCAACATCAGTTCACCGAACTGGAAGGTTGGTAGTTCTATCCCGTGTTGACTTTATTTGTTGGTTCATGTTTTGATTTGATGTTTATGTATAGACGATGGTCGCTACTTTCTATTGGATTGTAAGCAATTTCAAGTCGTCCATCATCATTGTCCAAGTAAAAAAACCTTAGTGCATAGTATTCATAGTGCATAGAATTCATGAAATGCAACGGCCGCATTCGCAATATCTAGTAAGATATTACCAGTAGTTAGGTTCGAAGCCACAGTTGGCTTCGAACATTGTTTCTGGAATGTTCATATAAAAAACTTGATTATAGTATAAGTGTCTACTTTATCTTTTTATAATGTATTTTTTTTATTTAGAATTGAGTCCATTTGGACAAATTTCTTGAAGGGATTTTTCCAGTCAACCTTGAGTAGCAGAAAAAAGAAATTAAGTAAAATATAAGTATATTGAATAAATATGATAAATAAGAATAATTAGGTTTTAAATAAGCGCTCTACTCCTTCTATCGTTTATATCGGTACTGCTTTACCGCCTAGGCTTTTTTTTATCGGTAATATCTGGGTGATTGTGCAGAGGAGATGCAGCGCGCGGTGTGCTGGTACCTGAGCTGCGACCGCTACTGGGAGGACGCGGCGCCGAGCGCGCGCGTGTTCCCGTGGCCGCTGCTGCTGGCGCTCGCCACCGGGCTCGCGCTCGCGCTCTGCATGTGCTACTATATCATATGGATTGTGTTCGAGTGAGTAGCACCGTCCAAAATATATATGAGTCTTTACCCACCAGGTGGAGTATCTGATGCATAATGATGTAAAAGTACCGTTACCACCACTCTCGATTGAGTGTGGACAAATCGTATGTTTTTTATCTTCTGGAATTTTTATCAAAATATTGAACTTACACACATTATTTAAAATCCTTGTAAGGGTTTGTTTTTATTTATTTACATCCCTTTTAAAGATTCATTAGTGTTGTGAAATTAGTATGAATATAAGTAATATGTGGTGAAATGAAATATAAAGGATACAATGAAAATAAAAACAATTGATTCATAATTCGTGGATGAAGAACACTTTATGCTGTGATTTATTGTATTTATACTTAAACCTTACATTATAAAGTATATACGTTATACCAAGTATATAATCTGGACTATTTTCGACTTTCTGTTAACACTTCCTAATTTTAAAATAGTAATCCTACTTACGAAGGACTACAATAGTTACACGTAAAATATAGTAATTTAAGTACTTATCTAAGATACCCATTGACTCTAGAATCAAGCATATTTTTAATTCTCTATACATTTATGTTTACTCTTCGTAAAAAATACAGTTCAGAGGAGGGTAGTGTAGCGGGCAGTGCGTCGGTCTCAATGACGACGCACTCGTCGCCGACGCGCGGCGAACGGCTTGCAGCCGACGACGTGCTCGACGACGACCACGACGACCATTACATATACGTCACGTACCCGCCGGAGCTCAAGCGGCGCCTACTAGAGAGGTACGCCACCAATAAACTCACACTTATCGTGCTCACGCCCTATTTGAGGCAGTCTCGTGTCGATTAACTACCGTCATTATGATTATGTACATGCAGTGGAAAGCTGTTAATCACTTGACCATTCTTCATATAACTGTAGAAACAAGCAGTTGCCTTATATATTTGGCATGCCCCTAACGATTATATGACAATTTATAACGCATTCTTCTATCTACTAATAGAGATATTTGAAGGGAAAAACACGCATTAGTGCGTTTGAATTCGAGTTTGTAGCTCGGTATGGGTCGAATAATTATACCAATCTCATATTACGTGTACTTTTATAAATATTCCCCTACCCCAAAAGATTGTCACTCCGCAGGAATACGAAGGAAAATTGTCGATCTATAACAGGGTTATATATGTTTTGTATTGGCCTAGTTGTTGTCTACTCTTTTATACAAGTTGAACGGCAGATACATTTTCATAAGCTTACGCATGAGAATGAATAAGACGTCGGACGTTGCTGTTCATTCTAATTCTTTTCACGCGATAGTAATAGGTTATTGTTAATCACGATAGATTCATTTGTCTAGGAAGGTTTGTCTTTAATGAAATATCCTATTTTTATGATGCCATAGTAAAATATTACTTATTAAATAGTTAATAAGAAAACAATTCTTCCTTCCCCGTATTCAAATAGTTGTTTTTTTTTTGTATTTTGCACATTAATATATATGAATATTTTTCAGTGAATAGAAATCTTTTTTTAAATAAGTAGGTCGCCTTAATTATTATTGAATCAGAGCATTTTTCTAAATTAACAGTTTTTAAATTTAGTCTATGAATGATAATACAAACTGTTTTCATTCATTATTTTTTAAAGCATGTTTATTGTATATGGTGTAGTCTGGCGGATATATCAGTGGCTTTGGCCTTACTAAGATGTCATCGTCACTATAGTTTGCACGTCTGTAAATTTTGCAACGTAAAAAGTGGCATCAAGCGCGGATACTATAAAAATATTGCTTTAATTATTCATTTTTCTAACAAGTACAACTTGCCTTTAGTAAATATTCCTAGAAATATAAGTATATTTTTTTAAATTTATTCATGTATTTTTTTTTATTTGGTAGAATCATATTTTTAAAAACCATGAAAACAATTCATGGTATTATAATTAGTAAAATCCTGAATCGACGCCTGCGCAATATAAAAGAGCAAATCACTAAACCTCTATGAATATATATTTCTGGCTATTTATACCAAATACAATGGTCTTAGTGTGGGAGTTGATTAACATTTTCACTAATAAATGTTATTTGTTTTAGCTGCTACAATAGAACGACCCGTCTCTGAAATGCACATCGTCCATGACGTTGCGTCGCGCATGCGTATTTTTTACCAGTTCCGTAGACGTACTCGTAGTTGGTTAGCCATGTGAGAACAGTCTGATGTAGACAAAGACGTTGTCAACGATTCGTGTTCCTTACCTTAAATCGACTGTGTAAAAAATGAAACGAATTTTTCTGAATTGAATAGTTTTTTTTATCCATCGACGACATTGTTTTTGCTGCATACCGGTAATAATCAAGGTAGTATAAATGTAAGCGAAATATTTTTTCCTGTATATTACTTTTACAAAAATATTACTATTATGTCGATTAAGGTACAGAACAATATTTGTATTATTTTTATTTTGATAAGCAGTTTTATAAATCTTAGTTTTAAAATATTGAGTTCAAGATATTCATAGAAAATCTGATCTTGTAAACGATTATGTAATTATGAAAATCAATGTAGTTTTACCATATTTTAGAAGATGGAATCTCATTTGTACCTTGCAATAATACTATTTCTAATAAGTTTTATTTAGTTACATGAAGTAGATATTTTCCCCTTAGACGTAGTTTGCTTTTAAACAATGGGTGCCTAATTTCTCCCTAGTCGTATTTACTTGTAAAGTTTTTTATAACTAGCAACACTTCTGTAAGAAATTCTTGTACATAGTGAAATTAGTGACAAAATTTGCAGTTTATATGGTGATCAGTTCATATTTATGGCGTCAAAGTGTCCTTTATGAATATATAAATTTCCAAAATTTATGTTTTATAATTTTAAACTAAAATTTAATGTAGTTGACACGACAACTTTTAAATATAAAATTGAAAATAATGCATTGTCTTTAATACTTCATTTGGTACGTCAGATTCACTTCTTTCTGTAGTATCCCTATTTTTTTTTTTTAATTTCATGCATACTTCAAATATTTAAAATTTCTTGATTATTATATATGACAGATACAGTACACTGCTTGAGCAAAATAATAAATATAATAATATAATTTCTTTTGCATAAAGTGGAAATTGCAAAAGTTCTATTACCTTTTATACCAACCTTTGTTCTTCGTTTGCTAAAATAAACTATAAAATTTTTCGATTATCTATGAGTAAATGAAATATAACTATGCTTATAAAATTTACTATGTCTAACTATTCGCTTGTAAATCTTAATTTTTTTAAATAATAACGATAGAATTTTTCAAAATAGCCTTATGTCATACATAAGGTAGGCGATATGAAATAAAGAATTAAAATCAATTGAAAATAATGACTTATTTGTGGTGTATTGTAAAACTTTTTTAAAATCTTCAAGTGATATTAATTTAATAATTCCGAAGTTGCGTAAATTATTCAAGCAAATATACAGGGTGAAATCGAAATCGTTATCAACCTTTCAAGGGAGTGTTCCAGCAGTGAAGTTGAGAATTTTTCCCATAGAAAGAGCAGAAAAAATACAAAAAATTGTGTGCCTCCCATACTAACGTGGCTCGGCCATTGTATTTTTGTTTCACAAAATATATGCCCTAATATTTTCTATAGAATGAAGAAAAGAAAAAGAAAGAAATATTTATACAGTGCATATTTTTACACTTAATTACAAAAAAAAAAAAATAAAAATAAACAAAAAGGGAAAAGAAAACCATTAAAATGTTGTCATTGAGGTATATACCATGACCTTTTGAACATGACGCTCATTTTCAATGATATCAGCATATGCTGATACCAATGAAAATCGGCGAAAATGCTATATAGCATAGGTGGTTGATTCATAGTTTCACATACCGTTTACGATTTCACCCCGTATTAATAGTTTCGGTACATTTGAAATACATACATAATACATAGTTATAAGAACATAAATAGGTACTTTAAGCGCAGATTTCATACCAAGATAACTTTGTATATAGGTACTTAATATTATTTTCCACTATGTTCATAGAAATACTTAGACGAAATAATAAATAGCTTATATTATTATTGTCAAGCCTTTTGAATTTTGCCATCAGTCATTTTGAACACTATTTACTAACTGGAAGAACAATCTACAGTTTCTAAGAACGACAAATCATAAATAAATTATACAAATGTAAGTATATTTGGTGTGAAAATAATGCTCAAAATGACTTTCATATGTATAGGACTGGTGTACATCTAACGAGTCACAGCGCAGATTTATTTTTTCATTGCTAAAACATTATTGAATTTGCTTGTTTTGGGATAATATCAAAAATTAATTAACATACTTATTCATGAATATATATTAGCTTTTATAAAGTGAATGAAAATCGAGCTCACAAAATTAAACGAATAGAGAGGGTTAAGTTAAACTTGGACATTTTCTGCAATGCACATCGTCGAAGTGGATTAGCCCTAAGAATGGCATTATAATAATGATTATGACTTACTTTTGAGAATATTGTTCTCGTATGTTGCATTATTGTGATATGTGCGAAAATACTAAGTATATTTGTTTAGCTGAAAGTTATCTTTGAAGTTTATCAATTGATTTTATACGTATGTATCCACAATAATGTATTTACATATAATATAAAGCGCCATACGAAACCAAATTAAATTGAAAAGAAAGTTTTTTTTTTATTATAAGCACTGACTTATGTAATTATTATTTTTAGAATCAAGTACGTAAGAGCTATGATAATACGCGCTTAATGTAAAAGGTACCTAAGTAGACCTAATTGTATAATATGAAACAGCTTTTTCTACTTATAAATGCTTTGACGAGACTGAAAGTAAGCATTATATAAATAAATGACACTTTTGAATTTCTAACTCACAAATCTATGATACTCACGAGCACACGTTCATTATGTTTGTTTCATTTTAATAATGTATCGTAAAATGTTTGTTAAATAAAATACTGGATTCAAATTTGAGTAATTATTTATTAACGCAAATGTACAGATATAAAAGTATAACGCTTAATATATTTATATTAAATTATTGTTTTAAATTAATTGAATAGCTTTTTTATGTACACAGCATAGAACACAATATTTTTTATTTAAGTTTATTATATTTATTATCATCCATCGATATTCCAATATGAATGAAGCATGATCATTACATGATTTACCCTATTTCTTAATAAAATATTATCACGTTTTTCATACAGCAGTAACTCTACTTATCAGGTTTATGGGATAAGGGCCTTTGGCATTAGAGATAACCTGGTAATGTAATATGTTTATAGATTATCTTCAACGCAAGACAACACAGTACAAAGCTATACAACCTAATTTTCAAAATGTAAAAAATATCTACATACATTGTAAAAAAATTGAACACAGAAATTCAGATAACCTTTAAGGTAGAGGTAGAGTATATAAAAACATAGAATATAAATTATAAAAAAATTATCTATGTTCGTCACAACAATAAGAGTTAATTAATGCTTCTGACTACTTATTTAGAGTTGTAGCTGGGAGAATAATAAAATATTTAATATAAAAAGTTTGAAATAATAAAAAATATTACGACTACAGCATGAAGCATGATTTGAAAAATCAATCTATTTTAGAGCCACGAGGGATTATCAATTTGACTCTTCATATACATATTTATTTAAATTATACACAGATGTTGAGATTTTTAAACCAGTTACTTATTTGTTTAATAAATTGCTTTATAAATTATCTAAAAAATTCATGGTCATTTTTTAAATTATTATTATATTCGCTTTTATAGATTAGATAGATATAGATTTATTCGATTTTAGAGAGGAAAATTAGCCAACTTATATTACGATAAGTCAATGACTGTCAATTCTAGAAAAGCATATATAATTATTAATAAAATTATTCAGGATTAATAATTGTTGTGCGATTAAAAAAATCTCTTGGTATTTTCGATGGGTATTTCTCTACATTTTATTTTTATTTTGCATACATATCTTATCCCTACATTGTTTGCATTGAGCGTCTGTATTCTATAATAATATTTAATATGTCAATATGATCGTCACAATGGTGAATCGGTCTTATTCTATTTTGATCGCATTATACACGGCGTTGCTAAATAAAATTGGGTTACCTTAGACGTTAAACAAATTTATTGACACTTTTCCAGAGGCTGTGGCCCTCGATGACGCATTTGCATCCGCAGCCAGTTGGACACGTTTCACGTTGTGAGAACCTGTTTTAAAAAATATATACTGTTAATTTGAGATTTTTTGTTGTTACACACATTTAAATTCATGTTCGGAACTTTTTTTTAATGGATGAAAATGGAATAGTAATCCCACCCGCGCTATCGGTATACACCGGCCCATCACACATACACAGTTAGCCCATCGTGACGAATTTAACAAGAATTGTTCACAATGGTTTCCAGGGGGAACCACGTGGAGGTTGACCTAATAAGGCATACAATAACAATCGCTTTTCCCTTCATGTTCGGGACTAAACGTGAATAGGGATATAAACAGTGTTGATACCGTGAATACAATATGTGGGGTGAAAATCATTATCATTATTTCAGCTACTAATTGGCCACTGCTGAACTTAAGTTTTCTTCATATGGGGAGTTTTACCAGCAGTTGCTACGCTTGGCAGGCAGGTTGGCAACCGTAGTTAAGCTTTTAGAGATGTTTAAGAGGAACGCTGCTATCCATCCCTCTACAATTTAATTGAGGTGACGTGAATATAGATAACAATAATGATAATATGAGAGCGGCTGAGATGACTGCGCAGGCTACAAGATAAAGACGCCGCTTCAGTTCTGCCATGACCATGTGGTCAAGTAGCGACTATGTGGTAAAGATCTTACTTGTTTAATAAATTAAGTTAATTTTGTTAAGATTAAAGTTCTTATTAATGGGAAAAATTAGATTTAGTGTCTGGACGACATTCGACTTGAGTGATTTCTAGGCAAATTTTGTTACGTTTTTCGGTTCGACACCATTAAATATACTTTTTAGTGTGTGTGGCCGCCCTAGACGGACGTATGTTGACCAAGTAGGCGACGTGCTGAAGAAGGGCCAAAAAAAAAAAAATTAAAAGTACCCGTAACCGGCGAGCGTGTATAAAAAGATCGATGAATGTGGAAGAAGCGAAAGAGGTTTGTTCGAATCGAAGCATTTGGCGTTCCATTGTTTCTGCCTACCCTAATGGGAGACAGGCGTGACAGATATGTATGTATGTTCTCAAAAGATTACGATAGAAACTTGGCAAAATAAAAAAAAAAACCACACTAGTGTGAGACAGCGCATCGTACCAGTGCAGCATGTGGCGCGCGTGGCCCGCGTGGCCGCAGTACGCGCAGGCGCACGCCAGCCCGCGCACGCGCAGCGCGCACACGGCGCAGCGCAGCGCCGCGCCGCCCGCCGGGCCCACCAGCTGTTCCGCGCCGCCGGCCCCGCGCACCAGCTTCATCACCTGCCGCCATCACCGACACGTTTATATTTAACAGACTAGCTTTACTGTAATGCTCACTGACAGGAATAAAAGTTTTTTTTTTTATACAATTTAGAATGGCAAACAAGCTGACGGCCCACCTGATGGAAAGTGGTAACCGTCGCCTATAGACATGAGCAGTACCATGGACATAGCAGAATATACTGTTTCGCCCATGATATCCCCCATGCGTTGCCGTTCCTTAGGACTCGGGTGTTATTCTTCTGTACCCTGTAAATTCCCGCCATATCCCACCCTTCAAACCGAAACACAGCCATACAAACACAACTGCTTCACGGTAGAAAAGTAGTCTACATCCCATATAGTATGTGTATACCAATACCATTCTCATGAATAATGCAATCCTGTAAGGAAACATATAATTTTTTTCTTATTTAATATCTTTCTTGAGTCATTTTATACCTAAGATATTAAATATTTTATATTACATATTCTAGTTGTTTTCTACAGGTTTTAATTCAAATAAAACATGCTGTTTTATTTGATATTTTTTTAAAAGATATAATTTTATTTTTTACCGTCAAAAATATTCATAACATTAGTAAGGTTACACTAGTCTCTCGATTGCAAGGTTACGTGCGAAAATATCGAAATAAAATAATTAACTAAGTGATTAAGTGATTGGTGAATTGAGATAATTTGAAATACTGGATTAGAACTCACCTCAGTCTTCTTATACAACAACTGCCACCGATGTAAAACATCAGCGTAAGCTCGTTTGAAGCAATTATACAGGTGTACCGTCGATTCGTCGAGTACGCAAGATGACACGCGTTCAGACTTCGACACGGTGGAGTCAGTATAAAAGTTCTCGGCCTCCGAACACGAGTTACTGCGCAACATGACGGGTAACGTCCAGCCGTCTGCGCTGATTTCGCTGTACTGGTTTACAGTACTGTATGGAGATGTACCATTTCCCTATAAGCAGAATTATTTAGTCAAATCAAAACTTCGAAATTAATTTTATTTAATGCCTTAACATTATAATAATTAGTAATTAATATGTTACGTTATTTTTATATTATTATCTATAAAATATGAGTATAATTTTGAAGCTATGTTGCATTAACTAACTTACACAACTAGAAGTACTAATTGTGGACTGTGAACTTGAATTGCTGGTATCATTGAAGACGGAAAATGCACAAGTTAACATCGCTGCCATTTGTAGATCTGACAACTTCGCATAATGGGATATTCTGGAATTATAAAAAAATACATAAATATTGCGTTCCTACCAGAAAAATGCATTTATCATTTAGCATCAATAAAGAAGCTATGTAATGAGATGAACTTTGAAATTGTTTAATAAACATCATACTCCATCAATCATTACAATAACTATTTTACTGCGTGTTTTATATATATATATATATATATATATATATATATATATATATATATATATATATATATATATGGCGTGAACTTACTGGGTACAGAGGAATAACACCTGAGTCCTCAGGGGGGGGGGGGGATCATAGGCGAAATAGTATACTCTGTTATGTCCATGGTACTGCTCATGTCTATAGGCGACGGTTACCACTTTCCTTCAGGTGGGCCGTCAGCTTGTTTACCATTCTAAGTTGTATAAAAAAAAGATGTTTTTAATTTTCTGTCGCCATCTATTCTGTGTATGTGTTATCCTATATACAAAGTAGAAAAAATCAAATGGGTTATTTTATAATTACAATAAATTATTAAAGCCAATTATTACCAAGTAAAATGGTCATGTATCATGTGTATTACATGTTTTATCGATTGATTATAGTTTAGATATTTAATTATCTGTGTACTCACAGAGACTGTAGCAAATTGCAGCAGAGTGGATGGCCAACCCAGCCCATAGTCTCTTCGCTGGATACAAGGTGGTCGACTATGGGTGTTTTCAGTAGGCGGGCCGACAGCGCCGCTAAGTCCCAAGCGTCAGCAAGTTCACGCTCACCTTCCTCCGCTGCTATTTTCGCGTTCTTCTCGCACATCTCTGTAATAGTAAGGTTATATTTTAAACATATTTTATACTACATATGGTGCATACAGATGTGGGCATGTACGTTGCCTATATATAATAAATGGTAATCTAATAATGACATCTATAGTATTAGGGAATTTCGTGCGCACTGCTTTCAAGAAATTTTATATCTTCAATTCTGAGCATTGTTACTTTTTTATATTGTTTATTTCTATACTGTCATGTAAAGCTGCAATAATAGGCATTTTAGCATTATTTGTAAAATACAGGGTGGCGATCTGAAAATCTATGAGATTGGAAAAAAAAATTAAAACTTCATTACTATAGTGCGGGTTTTTGAGACCAATTCGAATTATTGTATTTCGTGACATTATTTAGGTAACGTGGTTAATTCGATGATTTATGAACACTAAACACAAACTCCTAGAATGAAACATAGGTTTAATTCTAGTTTATTTACAGTAGGAAGATATATAGCAAAAGCAACTTACCAACAGGGTTCTCGGCATTGATCACGTACTTTTCTGCGAGGACGCGGTGCAGCAGGAACAGATCTGCAGTATAGAGTAGCACACGCGGCGATCCGCATCCCGAGATGCTACCGCGACTTCGCATACTGCCTGCTCGCCGACCTACCGCTTTCTGCTCGCAAACATCTTCTACATTACTTATACTATATTCATATTAAAGGATTGTTAGCAATGGGGACGTTAATCCGTATTACCAGCAATATACCGTGTCAGGTTGAACTCCGAGCAGTTCCTTTTGTAAACAATTTTTGTTGATTTCGTCAGTTTTTTTTTAATGGTTTATATTTAAACCGGCGGGGCACCAGTGAAGGATGATTGGTGAGGAAGAAGCAGGTCAGTTAGCCCATCGTGATGAATTCAACAAGAATTGTTCATGATGGTTTCCAGGGGGAACCATGTGGAGGTCGACCTAATAGGGCATATTGCTAGCAATGGGGTTGTCAAACTCCATTGCTAACAATCCCTTTCCTCCCAATTCGTCACAGTAGGCTAACTGACCTGGTTTCATTTTCACCTATTACAATTCATTGGTGGCCCGCCAGCGTAACCGACAGCGCTTAACATTGCTTTATCATCCACTAACACACTATATTCACTTAATTGTTTATTTAAGATTTACTAATTACTGATTACTAATCAACTGGAGGGAACGGGATTGTTAGTAATGAAGTCTGCTGCCCCATTGCTATCAATATACCCTATCAGGTATATTACGCAGTTTCCCCTGGAAACCATCCTGGTTAATTATTGATGAATTCGTGATAATGGGCCAAGTGACCTGCTTCATTCTTATTTTTTATCACTCACCGGTGCCTCGCCAGTGTATATCAATAGCGTAGGAGAGGTTACCATTTCATTATCATCCATTAAAAAAATCTAATCGACTAAAAAGTCCACGAGTTTCCACTCATTCGGGCACTATTATAACTTTTCTTTTAACCATCCTTTCCATCGAGAATGAAAAGAAGTGGTGAGACATTGTATTTTGACTCCGTTACGGTATAGAGCATGCGGTAAACTGCAAGTGACAAAGACTAACTAACAACTTACCCATCTATCTTGAAAATAGAATGTTGTTATCGAATTCGATGGATGTCTATGATGTAATTGCGGGAATCCAGGTGCGTTTGTAGGGGAGGGCGTAGTGGTCGCGTGTGGGGATACAGAGCTGTACCCCGCGCCGAATAACGTCGGCGCTAACGACAGCGACGACATCGACCTGAATGATAATTGAACATATAAAATCTTATTTATCATGTCACAAACACAAAGTTCACAAAAAATGGATATATACAATAATCGGAGCTCCCGTGTTGATCTCGGCATAGAATAGGCCATCTCTTCCTTTCCCGTGGCTGTTGTAACAGGTGACTAAGGTCACTTAACGGTAGAGGGATGGGCAGCAACGTCGCTCTTAAAACATCTCTAAAAGCCTAATTGCGGTTGCCAACCTGCCTGCCAAGCATGGCAACAACTGGTAAAACTCCCCTTATAGGGAAGGCTTACGTACAGCAGTGGATAGTTAACGGCTGAAATTATGACGAATGAATAATCGGAGCGATCTTTCATTCGATTATAAAATCGACACTACTCTGCATCAAAGATCTGGAAAATGTCTTGAATATACACCCGAAAAATATTACATTCATTCCTTTGACAGTCGGGTAAAAATAATTATAATATAATTTTTATTATAATGTAAGTAAAAAATGATGAACTTTTTTTTTTATTACAACTTAGAATGGCAAGCAAGCTATCGGCCCAACTGATGAAAAGTGGTGACCGTCGCCTATAGACATGAGCAGTATCATGGACATAACAGAGTATATTGTTTCGCCCATGATACCCCCCATGCGTTGCCATTCCTAAGGACTTAGGTGTTATTCCTCTGTACCCTGTAAATTTACGCAATGTCTTACCTTTCAAACTGAAACACAGCCATGCAAACACAAGTGCTTCACGGTAGAAACACGAATGGGAACACTAGCTTTGAATAATAATGAGTAACTCACCTGGGTGTTCCCGCTTCATGTTTTAATGACAATCGCCTCGCGTTCGGTGGACGATTGAATACGACTAGAGTGTTCACTCCGCACCACTTAGCACCGCATGTACGTGGAAACGGGATACATGAATCACCAGCATTCTCACTCTCAGACTGACTTCTTTGACTAGATTTCATAGAATCCGTATCATCATTGGTCTTCACTGGTATCTGGAATATACAGTATGAGTGATGGTATCCTTGAGAATACAGTTAGATAATTTGCAATTAGATAAAATGTACCTCGTCGATAGATGTCGCCAGTGTTTTTAAGCAATGTAGTAAACATCTGTGACCTTCTTTTTTCTTGCGATGAGCAGTCCTATTTATTGCTTGTAATATTTTAATTGTAGTTGGACTGTCCACATTCGTGCCCGACAGCCAAGAAAACTTTGGTATAGTTTGTTCAGTTACATTTCTTGGGAACATTACTTGTAAGTTTGCTATGTAGCCATTGCGTTCAGAGTGTATTTGACAAGTACGCGTTTCAATATTCATGTCCGTAACTTCTATATTGGCCATTTTTGGTATAGATTCAAATTCTTCATTAATGGATGTGGTAGATTTGTTTGTCAGTTTAATCTGCAGACAAGTAATAAAACATGTTACAAATAATAAAATAGTTTGAAATAACATTTTATAAATACCTTAATAATTATATGGAATTGTGAGGGCTATAGCCAAAGTCAGTCCACCTGGCACTAAAGAGCATATTTTTACGATCGTAAATAGTACAGATACCTTTTGACTTAGTTAATTATGTACCTTTATAAATATAAAAACCGAAAGTCTAATCATTTAAAAACTAGGTATGATATGGAAGGATATTATTAATTACTTATTAGTTTTTATACATTTCATATATAATTTTTAAATTATAAAATAATAATTTACTTGCCATTTGTATGTCTTGAACTTTGTTATCACTGACTGATAGATCATTCATTGAGCCTACTGTGGATGCATAACTCACTGCTGAAAAATAGTAGAAATAAAGTTAATATATTTCTTAGAATAGCAAGTTTCTATTGGCTATTTGACTTACAGTATCATGATCTTGGTCCCTTTTATAATTATATATAAATTTTAAAAGCAATAAATTGTCATATTGTTTGATTGTACTAGAGGATGACGCACAGTAAACATTGGCTTTACAACATTTCTTTTTTAAAAACAAATAAGTTTTGCACTAATGCAATTAATTCACTGTGTATTAATAATTTAATAAATATTACATGTTATTGTTTGTTAGAGGAAATTGCGAATTATGAAGATAAAAGAGTCCTGTTAAGTTTTAATGAATATAGTGATATTTGAATCGCAGTGAGTATTAAAAAACAATATTAATATTACAAATAAACTGTTATAAACATCCTGGTCCAATAACCATGCAATTACAGTGATAAAAGTGTGAAATTACTTTTTAACAAATTTAACATATCCCAAAAACAACATATTACTTTAACATACATATTAATTTAACATATTACATACAATTTGTAAATTACCACCGATATTTCAAATATAAACACGGTTGATCGTGTTTGAAATAAAACTGATCTTTGGACTCTAATAGTAGACATAAAATAACTGTTATCTATACTTATAATAAATCTGTAGAGAGGTCAACTCTATACATGAAATATATTTCCAAATTTACTACAACAAACGAAATTAAAAGACAAAGAAAGATTGATATTAACATTGGAAGACAAACATGAACAACAAATTTTTAAAATTCTATTTTAAAAATTATGCAAAGAAAATCAATTAAAAAAAAAAATCTTTTTTTATCTGAAAGAATATACTTACAGATTGGTCCCATAAAATGTTTATCAAAATCGGTTCAGTAGTTTAATTTTTAAATCAAAATAACTGGTTTTGCAGACAGAGTTTCGAAGTCGGTTTGTTTTTTTGTGGAAGACAATTATTAAAGTACATTTTATGTTTAAATAATTGTTTATATTTAATTTGGAAAATTGGAAACTTACAATCACTGTTATTATCTTCTTCAGTGTCCTCATCATCTGGTAAATAATGATTACACATCTTCAATAGTGATGGGTGCATTGCCCAAACTCTAAGAGACTGATCACGGCCCCAAGTGACCAGTTGGTAATTACATGGTGCAGTATTTGGTCTCCACACCATTGTCTGGACAGTGTCTGTATGACCAACTAGTCTATGTGTTAAAGATCCTCCCACCCAAATGCCGATAACCCCTGCCTGTTCAGCTCTTGGCAACCCACCCCAACCCACACCAATAGTTAATAAACCACTGCCAAAAGGGGTGTAAATTGCTCTCCAGACTGGGAAGTTTGTCATTATGATATTCTCTGGACGTCTCGCATTATTTATATCAAAATATTTTATGCTACCATCATGACTTGAAGTGACTAGTTGATACTCGTGGTGTGGGCTCCAATCAACACCATGTATTTTACATAGATGTGCAGATATATAGTGTATGGGTGATGTGTGTTTGCGATAATCCCAAATTTTAATATCACCATCATGTGCTGTTGCCACTATGTGAGTAGCTACTTTATTCCATTGTACTTGTGATGCTCCAGCTGCAATATATAGTAGAAATAATATATTAATATATGTTAGTTTTTATAGTAATTTCTAAATTAGTAAGATTTCTGAATTTTTTTAATTACAGATATACAATTGCTTGTCACAATGTACTTAGTTACATTGGATACATGTTTTTTTAATTATTAAAATAAAAAAAAAAAAAGCATTGTATAACACTTTAGCCCTCAGAAATGCAATACATGGGGATATCATAGGTAAAACAGTATACTCAGTTATGTTCATTGTACTGTTCATGTGTATAGGTATGGTTACCATTTTCCATCAGGTGCATATGTATATATGCATATATTCTAAATTGCATAAAAAAATTATAACTTCTTGGCCATATCCAATCATCTCTATTTGCAGTCATTTTGGCATTCACTTCCTCTCTGCCTATAATATTTTGCTTCACTATTTATGTACTTTTGAAGATTTGTTAATGAATTAAGAAAGTTTCTGACCTACAGCACACAGAGAAACAACAGGTTTTCTAGCATCTCTCAAATCCCAGAGATGAGTGAATGTGTCAATAGAGCAAGTGGCGATAAGGTTGTGATCTTGCCTATGAAAATGTGTATCACTAACAACCCTAGTATGTCCACGAAGAGAGCATATGCAGGTCAAGTCGTTACCAGCACGCCATTCATATACATCTACGCGTTGATTACTCTGTAACAAAATACAATATACAAAGGACTTGTTTACAAATACTGATAAATATACTGTAAGAATGTAATGAAATTAAGACCATATTTATAAAACTATCTAATCCTACATAGTTTAAATATATTGTTGTTTACTAACCGCAATAGCGCATAGCTTTTGTCCGGGATATGATTGGCACCATTCTGCACCAGCTGCATCATATTTGCTGTGTCTAGGATATTTCTTCACTATATCTCCTCCGTCATCATCCAGAGAAAGCTGTTTAATAGCGAGCCACCTTCGACCAGCCAATAATACATTATTTCCTGAGTAATCCACAGACATAGCTGTGGCTTGAAGTTCCCGGTACTCCCATTTCATAATTTCTGAACTCCAATGTACCGACATTTTTTATCAAAATTTTTATTAAATACATATAAAATAGAGATAGAAAAAATATCAATCGTGTTTCGTTTTTATTTCCTTGTATAAAAAAATGATAAAATTTTAGTAAACAAACATTAAAACACATGTAATAAGAATTTTAAAATGTCATTAATAGCTGTCAGTGTCAATTAGTTTTGAGAGAATTGACATAAATAAATAAGTAGGTAATGGGGGGAAGGTACTCTGGAGATCGAAAAGTGTGTTGAGTTAATGAGAATTTAAATTGATTTTATTTATTTTCTGATATCTTTTCATCTTTTTGGTGTTTTGTGTGTGTGTGGTGTATCAGTGTTGCGGTGGTGGTTTGTAAATTTATACTATAACAATCCTAATTTACCAGTAATAATTGTTTTTTGTTAGGTGGATATCATGGAGGGCAACGAGCCACCTGATATACCGCCTGATAAATCCCCTGATTTATTTGAATACTCGCCTGTCTTAACAGTGCCCTCTGATGTTTTTGAAACCTCTGCCAGGAAAAGAACATTAGAGACACCTTCAGAAAATCCATCCCCTACCAAAGTTCTAAAACAAGTTGTGGGTCGTTTAAAATACTCTCATGCCGATAAATCTCGATATCTCGTCTACGTATCACAGATTGAATCCGATCCCCAATCAGGTACTTCTCTCCACCCTCTTAAATTTGGCCAATTTTTATTAAAAAATAAAATTGCGAATATTCTTTCGGATGGTGTTAAGCGAATAGGCCGTAATAAAATCTCAGTAGAATTCACGTCTGCAGCAGATGCAAATGCCTTCCTATCTAATAACGCACTAGTTGAAAAAGGTTACTCTGCTTCTATCCCAACATTCAATGTCACACGATTGGGAATGGTCCGTAACATTCCAGTAGAATGGACACATGAAGACATTGTTGAAAATATTAAACTCCCAACTGGCTGTGGACAAATCCTTAAAACTAGAAGATTGTCAAGGAAAATTTCTACAGATGAATCTACTGAATGGAGACCGACACAAACGGTAGTTCTGACTTTTGATGGACAAACTTTGCCAAAGAATGTTTTTTGCTGTTATAATTCCCTCCCAGTAGAATTATATCAATATCCCATTGTACAATGTTACAGCTGCTGTAGATATGGTCATACAAAGGATAAGTGTAGGTCAAAACCTAGATGCTTCAAATGTGGCCAAAATCATTCAGCTGCAACTTGTGTTATCACAGAAGCAGAAGCTTCTTGCCTTCACTGTACTGGTCATCATTATGCCACTAATAGAAATTGCCCTGAGTTCCTCAGACAGAAAAACATTAAAGCTATGATGGCAGAACAAGCAATTTCTTATGATGAAGCCTGTAAAAAAATCCCTGCAGTTACTCGGTCATATGCAGATGTAATAGCCCATCCTCCCCATAGTCAGTCTTCTTCAAGAATCTCTTCTCAGATATTTCTAAAACCAGATCAGAACAATCTATGCAAATCCCATACAACATCATATAGAAAAACTGTTATATATAGCTAAATCCCGCCCTACCTTGTCACCTGGATATGACCGCCAATCACATAATGAAATTGTTAATAGCTATGTGTTTCCCTCTTTCATGCAAAATGGCAGTGCTCTTACTAATAACTCCCTTCCCCCCTCCATATATAGAAAATCGCCTCGAGAAACTCCATATATTTTCTAATAATTAATATGTTAACCGCATTTATTACTAATAATAATATCTCTATGCCAGACCACGTTGCAAATAAAATTATGTCTCTTATTAATATAAACTATCAAAATGGCTCTATCAGTCCTTCAATGGAATGCTAGAAGTCTTCGCAACAAGAAACATGAACTATCTTATCTCACTAATAAATACCACCCTACAATCCTATCCATAACTGAATCATGGCTAAAGCCTGGTTCAGTTTTTAATCTTGCTGGATTCTCCAGCTAGAGATGACAGAGATGGCTATGCTGGATCTGTCATCTTAGTTGATAACAATCACCCTTGCTCCCCTATTGGTCTCCCCTCTCATGATGAAAATATCAATGTTGTTGCAGTTAGAGTTTTGGATATTTCTGTTATTTCTATCTACATAGCTGACCCCCGTCCCTCCCTGATTTCCTACTTAAAGCAAATACTTTTGAATGTACCACCCCCTATTCTCGCTCTGGGTGACTTTAATGGACACCATTTCTTATGGGGCTCTGAAATGTGTGACAACTTTGGATCACTGCTGGCAGAGCTAGTAGATGAACTTAACCTGTGCGTTCTTAATGATGGTTCCCATATACCCGCAGAACACCTCCGAATCAACACAAAAGCTGTGTCGATATCTCTTTGTGTTCACCAGATATAGCATCTCTCTTCCATTGGTCATGCATCTTTGTCGGTAGCGACCATTTTCCCATACTTTTAATCTTCTAGACTGGCAAAAAAATCTTGCTCCATTATTGAAATATCGTACATCTGCGGCTAATTGGGAATCATATTACAAATCGGTAGAGGACAGATCTACTATTTTACCAACAATAAATAAAAAGAACATTTTAGATGCCTATTCCAAATTGATAGAAATGATTGAAAAGAGCGCTAATGAAAATACACTTAAAAAACCTAGTTTCAAAAAACCCCATTAATATGTTCATGCACACAAATGATAACGACACGTAATGAAGCAGATCACATATAATACAAACATGACGACTGTCAACCTTTTTGCTTTCGACACATAACAGCCAAAGCAAAGCGTCTGTTTCATAGAAGAAGCAGGAAGGTTGGAAACGATTCTGCATAGCCTTTCGCCAAATACACCTTCAAATCTGGTTTGGCAAAATGTCAATGATCGTAGCGTGTGCACCTCGATTTTCGCCAGCTATCTCAGTAGAAACAGCTGAGAAGCTATTTGAGATTTTCAACAGCCCCAGCTCAGGAGGAATGTCTAAGCGGTCTGAGCAGTCCTCCAACCGGGATTGACGTCATAGAGAATCATTTAAAATGGAAGAATAAATATTGTACTATCTAGCGTTCAAGATTCTGCACCAGGGATTGAAAATTTACTCATTTATTAAAAATGCTGGTCCAACATTAAAACAATATTTTCTTAATTTATTGAATGCTATTTATACGTCTAGTGAGCTTCCTGGTAGTTGGAAAACACAAATTATCATTCCTCTTTTGAAACCAGGCAAACACCCAAATAATGCAGAGAATTACCGCCCCATCGCCCTATCATCCACGCTTTTAAAAATTTTAGAACACCTGATCAAAAATAGGCTCGAATGGTTGGTGGAAAATAATGATGTTCTCCCAAAATCCCAGTTCGGATTTGAGGGCTTAGTACACTGGACAGTGTGGGGATATTAATAACAGACATAAGGACTTCATTTGTTAAAAATCAGTCCGTAATAGGGGTATTCCTAGATATTTCAGCAGCATATGACAGCGTTCTTCTTTCGGTGCTCAGGCAAAAGTTGCAAAAGCTGAACATTCCAGCAAGGATGATCCATGTTATATGTAGTATTTTAATGGAACGTCAGGTTGTCACGAACCGATGGCCCCCAACAGACGAGAACTGTCTGGATGGGCTGACGCAGGGATCTGTTTTAAGCCCTCTATTATTTAACATCTACACACATGATTTACACCTTTCATTGAACGATAATTGTCGTGTTCTCCAATATGCAGACGACTTAGCACTATATGTCTCTGACAATGACATTATAGCCGCCATATCCTCCATGCAGATCTCCCTTGAATCTTTAAATACATGGCTCGAACTTCACGGTTTGAAACTATCAACCAAAAGTGCCGTAGTTGTGTTCTCGAAAAAACGCTCTATTCCTGAACCCTCCTTGGAAGTTGCCGGCGTCCTTATCCCTACAAGCAAAAAAGTTAAATTTTTGGGCGCGTATTTGGACTCAAGACTAACAGGTGTGCCCCACTTGGAATATATTATAACCAAATGCGAAAAAAATGTGAACATATTAAGAGCACTTTCTGGCGTCTGGTGGGGTGCTCATCCATACAGTCTGAAACTCGTATACAACGCCCTTATAAGAAGTGTGATGGATTATGCGACATTTCTCCTGTTACCGTGTAACAAAACAGCTATACGTAAGCTAGAGACTATTCAATCTAAATGCCTGCGTATCATAACGGGATGTATGAAATCATCACCTCGCAATGCCCTTCAGGTAGAGTGTGTAGACCCCCCTATTCTACTACGTCAACAATATTTATCTGACAAATTTTTATATAAAACATATTTCATTAATACTCATCCCATATCGGCTACTGTAGCAGAATTAGACAACCTTCTTCTCAATTCTCATAACCCTCCCCCAATTATCAAAAGTTATAGACGAATGAAGGAATTAACAGAAGTGGCCCCCATAAATAGGGTTTCTAAGTGGCCGCTATTTGAATGCTCTTTTCAAGCAATTATATTAAACCAAACATCGTAATAGACACTGGTATACATAAAAATACTATTGAAGCAAATTCGGAGTTTAATTCATATATTGGAAAATTCTGGCCAAATTACCACCGGTTTTTTACAGATGCTTCCAAACAAACAAACTCACGTTTTACCGGTTTTTGTATTATCAAAATTCGAAAATATCTATGCAATAAAAGTTTTTTTGCTCGGTATTTACCGGTGAATGTTTGGCTGTTTTAGAGGCGTGCAACTTTATAGAAGCGCACAACATTTCTAAAAGTATCATATTCTCAGACGCCTTAAGTTGTTTGCAATTACTGAGCGGAAACCAATTTAAAAATCGATTTCGAAGTACCGTTATTTTAGATATTAAATCAAAATTAAGAAAGTGTTCAGATAAAGGTCTGGAGATAGTTTTGATGTGGATCTGCTCATGTAGGGATCTTAGGTAATGATTTTTCTTGCTAAATTTGCAGCCAATAATGGTGGAGATCAGAAACACGATAAAATCGTCTGCAATGACCTTATAGCATGCCCATTAAAAGACCTCCGAGATGCGTGGACGAATAGTTGGCGAGATTCGTCTAAAAACACTAGCCGATTTTACGCTTCGATCCAATCAATTATCCCTATTAAACCTTGGTTCTTTAGACACAAAAGGTTGCCTAAGTCTATCATTTCTATTTTATGTAGACTACGTGTTGGTCATTGTTGTTCACCAGTATTTTTGCACAAACTTAGAATTAGAGATAACTCTATTTGTGAATGTGGTCAAGAAGATGGTGATGTAAACCATATTTTTTTTGCCTGCCCTTTAAATAGTATAAGCCCATTATACCCACAACTTGTCAAAGAACAAATTCCCCAGCCTACTAACTTAAGTAATCTTTTAATTATTTCTTTTACTGAAAACCCCAATATTTTATGGATTATGGTAAATTTTATCAAAAACAATAATATCAAACTATAAACTCTATATTATGTATTTATTTTATATATTCATAGAAAACATATATTTAAGATTTTTGTATTGATATTTATTACTGGCTCATATTGTGTTGTCTTTTTCAGCTTTATACCAAAAAGTTCAAAATTAGACCAATTATTTAGTTATAATTTCTATCTCCAGTACGAGCCTCTTATACATGATGCTGGCAGAAATGGTCGTAAAAATAGCGACCGATTGCCATTAATGAAAAGAAGAAGAAGAAGAAGTAGGTAATGACGGGATTCTCAGTATGTATATATCATCTATGGACGGGATGTCCTTGGTACCTTGGAGGATGGGACGTCCGCTTGTATGGGACTTCACCTGCGTCGACACGGTGGCGCCGTCTTACCTTCCATGTACATCCAAGAGGGCTGGTGCCGCCGCAACACACCAGGAGTCTATCAAGAGCCGTAAATATTCATCCCTTGGAAATGGATATATATTTACAGCGTTTGCAGTTGAAACTCTGAGTCCGTGGGGCCCCGAGGCCATGAATCTTTTTAAAGAGATTTCATGCCGTCTGGTGGAAACCTCTGGTGACCAGAAAGCTGGCCTATACTTTGGTTAACGCATTACCATTGCTATTCAGCGTGGAAATGCAGTAAGTATCCTAGGCACTCTATCAGCTGGCAGTGATCTCAAAGAAATTTTTTATCTTTACATATATATATATATATATATTATTTTTTAATTACTTATCTCTAATTATATATCTAGGTTATTTATACATTAATGTGATTAACATGTATTATTCGAAAAATAAATTTTATCAAGTAGGTATTTATAAATTAATGCTCGTGTACCTGTTCTCATCTAGTTGCTGGTCCATAACAAAATCACATTGACGACATTGCAAGTATTTATATGAATTCACAAGTAAAATAAAGTATGCTATTTTTAAAGTACATGTTTTATATTAAATTACAAAAAATATCAAGTTATTTAAATAAACTAGGTAATAAATTATAATTGACCGTTTATGGAATACTATGTGTACCTGTGGTTGAGAGTGTATGCACAGATTAGAGAGACTATGAATTTACTGCTGTCAAATTTTGTGCTGTCAGGATTGGTTACTATCTGTGGTTACTATATTTGCTCTGTGGTTACCATATTAGTTTGATTTGTGATAATTCTTTTTGTTTCTTTTTGTAAATTTTGCATTATTGAAATTGATAATTAAAATATATAATTATATACTTATGTTTTTACTTTCGTTATTTCTATTTTTATCAATTCGTCGTTTAACGTATTTACTATAGTGATGCTTTTCCGTAGATGGCGACATAAATTGTTTTTTAACGTTTCTCTTAGACTATTTTTTGGAATTATCTGTATCTATATTTATTGTGAATATATTATTTATTACGTTACTCAAATACAAGTAGGTAATTTTATAGCTTGGGCAAGTTAAACAATTGAAAAATAAGTTCCTACCAAAGTATCGTTTTTTTTTAGTGCGGCTGGCCAATCTTGAATAAACCGCCTAATGATGGAATTCAGCCGGTATATGCCATGGTCTTGGCTGACCCTCATCTGCTTGGGTCTCGTAATGGGCACTGGCTGGATAAATGGCGCCGAGAATGGCAAATGCATAGATCATTTCAAACTGCTTTAACACTGCATAGACCTGAGGTTGTGTTTGTTTTAGGTAGGTGTATCTACTAATTTAATTTTCAATATAGATATTTTTTTATTAAATCTCAATACACATATATTTTAATAGGTGACTTATTTGATGAGGGCAAATGGTGTCCTGAGAGAGAGTTTGATGAATATGTAGAAAGATTCCATAAATTGTTTAAAGTACTAGATGGAACAACAATGTTTGCTGTTGTTGGAAATCATGACATTGGCTTTCATTACAGGTAAGAAAGTGTTATAAAAATAATGTTTGGAAAAATATATACTATGATACCATTGTATTGTAAATAAACATTGCTTTGCCTTTAGTTATATTTGATTTTTTAAATCACTTTATACCTACACCAATTTTAAGATTTGTATATTTTTAAAATAAGAAATTTGAAAGAGAATTTTGCGTGGCCGGATCTATAGAAAGTGACAAATTTCATAGGTAACCACATTTTGCATATTATGAGTATATTTATTTGATCAAATAGATAAAATTTATTTATAACATGTATTATAATCTGCAGTATATTATGTGATAAACTATTTAATTTTTAATTAATAATTTATTTAGATTAATAAATATACAAATAGCTATTATTAATAAAGTTTCCATTACCTCTTATTCTATTTGAATTAATTTTGTTCTTCTATTTTTTCTTGTAAATAGTAATTTTTATTTCAATTATGTTTGTCTTTAATATTAACTATAGTGCATTCAAAGGATAACCCCACATTTGGCCAAGAGGTTTGAGAGCAAATTGAATGCACCACCTATTCGCTTGGTGAGCATCCGTAACAACCACTTTGTGCTGATTAATTCTATGGCTATGGAAGGTGATGGTTGCAGCCTGTGCTCAAGGGCAGTCAATGAAATTGATAGAATTTCAGGTTAGATTTTTCACTATTGTTTTATCATCATTATGTCAGCCTTTAACTGTCCACTGCTGAACATAAACCTCCCTCTTGGAGGGTATTGTTAATAGTTGCCCCGCTTGGCAGATGGATTGGTAACCACAGTCAGGGGCGGGGGGTGAAGAGATTGTTAGTATTGGGGTCTAGCAACGTTGATGTTTTAAGAAGGACGCTGCTGTTCATCTCTTGTCCTCCTTTAGTCCCCTCTTACGACACTCATGGGAAAGGAAGGGGTGGTCTATTCTATGCCGGTACTAAATGGCCACTATTGTATGTTAGATTATATTGCATGCTTTAAGCCATAGGAATGTACATACAAAAATAGATTTGACTAACATATGTAATTATTAATTTAAAATAACATTTTCAAATTACACATTCTACATTAAAAAAATATTATTTTTGTAACTGTATAAAAAATTTACTTTAAATTTAGCTCATTAAAAATAATAGTTATTAACTTTTTCTTCTCCTAAAGGGTTTTATATGTACATCCCTGTGGTTTGAAGCTTGTCTATATTTATTTTATTTTAAAAAGTTATAAGTTTTAAGGGTAAAAGTAATTTGTAAAATAATATTATTTTTCAACCATATTAAATTCTTGAAGAAAGTGACTTTGTTTATTATCTCTTAGTGACTAATTATTCAAGAAATTAATTGATTTGTAGAACCACTTTCAACACATTTTTTTTTCACATAAACAATCTCACATTCATTATTTAATTTACAGATATTCTAAAATGTAGCAGTGGATCGCCATTATGTAAAGGCAAAACTAAATTGAAGAAATACAGCAGGCCTATTATAATGCAGGTAAATACTATTTATTACCTTTTTTTTTTACTTTTAATTCTATTTATGTAATTTAGTACCTACTAAAATAATGTAAGTACTTTTTATTTATATTTAAGAACAAAGCATTCAATACATCTTGTTATAGTTTGTCATATGAAATGAGTTACGATTATATTTATTTAGTGACTGGCATTGTAAAAGGAATGCTGGTGCCCATCCCTCGACCATTCAAGCCCCTTAGTCTCTTCTTACGATACCCAGGGACAGAAAGGGGTGGCCCACTCTATGCCAGGACCACACGGTAAAATTAAGTATTTATTGAGTAAAAACACAAACAACGAAAAAATTTATTCTTTCATCTTTATAATATTCATTTAGATTACTTTTCATTACTATATAAAGCTGTATTATTTTACAGCATTACCCACTGTATCGTGAGTCTGACAGCATTTGCACAGAGCCTGATGCAGCACCATTACCAGAAAGAAACAACCTGTTTGAAGAACGCTGGGACTGCCTGTCTAAGGAGTCTACCGAATATCTAGTTGAGAGTTTAAACCCACGAGCGGCTTTTGGCGGTCACACGCACCACAGCTGTGTGGTGCGTCATAGCTTTGTACCAACATCTGATCATAAGATAGAATTCATTGAGTATACTGTACCTTCGTTTTCTTGGAGGAACAGACTGGACCCTAAATACTATTTGGTAAGTGTTTAGAAAGTTCATAATGTGATGCTAAGTTTTGCTTAAGTAAGTAAATAGTTTTTAATATAGGTAATTTGGGCAACCTAGGCTTAATAAATATGTTTGTACATTTTAATGCACACATGAGAAAGAACAAAACATTGGATATTGTTGGCTCGTTCTGTCTCATGTATTAGCTTAGTGTAGATCAATAGATTCGTTTATCACTTGTTTGGCTAGCAGAGGTCTGACTGGAACATTGCCATATCTGTTTCTGTATGCTGTGCATCAGCAGCTCCTGTATTATTATATTATATATTATTATATTTTGATATGGGGGCTAAAACTACCTACTGAAATTCTTACAAAAACACGTTGCCAATTATTACGAAACTGAAATTTTGTTGTAAAAACGCGTCAAGAGCGTTTGTCATCTCAGTGGTTTTAGCACACTTAGATTTTTACTAAGTAAATTTAGTACATAGCTGAACCATTTTTTTATTATTTCCAGTTGACAGTAACTCCTGACGAGGTAAAAGTATCAAAATGTGGTATGCCCCGTGAATGGACGATGCAGGTGACTGCAATATTAATGGGTTTAGCGTTACTTGTTTATTTGAGACAATACATAGTCGCGACTAACAGAATTTATAATTATAAACAATTGTGAGTATGTTTGTAATTTTATCTACATGTATCTACATTGAAAACTTATACTGTACTAAATGTTTCTTTGATATTTATTATCTGTAAAAAGTTCCATTGTAAAAAATTTGGGAATGCCTATTGTTATATACATAGATACTTATATGTTCAATCTATAATATTTCGTGGATACAGTTTGGAAAGAACGAATAATTTGTAAATAGTTTATGATAAGCACCATGTAATATTTAGAAACCTAATTAAAAGTGGAATATTTTAATAAGACAGAACTGAATTCGATGAGATTAAAGAGTAATTATAATAATATTAGGTTATTACAGTATATTTGATATACATTCCAAAGTTCAATAAAATTTATTGTCACATTACGTAAATAGCAAACAAACACACAAGAGATAGAAAGATTTATTTGACGAAACAATCAAATATTTTAATTCATTGATACCAAATTTGCGCGCATGTGTTGGAATGTTCGCCCAAAGTAAGCAATCGACTTGTATTATTTATGGATTAGTAATGTACTACAAACAATAGCTTCAAAAACCATTATCTAGATATTTTAATCTAATGAACCCAATATTATTCCCGGAATTTTCATGCAAATAATATAATAATTTTTAAAAAAATATTGTCAAAATTGTAAAAATAATTATGAGACCTGTCGAATATATCTTATTCTCATTTTGTACTTATAATGTGTAATACACATAAAAATAAAATACAGCGAATTCTGTACTTTAATTTTTCTATAGTCATAAGAGAATGTTCTGTACAACGGAGTATGTATGTATGTATGCAGTGGAACCCACAATAATAGATTTATGTCAATCATTTTTATTTATTAAATGATTTTACAATAACATAAAATAATGTTATCATGTTAATTAAAAAATTCGTTTATGAATTTTACATTTTTACCGAATACAATATTTATTTGTCTTTTTTTTGTCCATGTTTTACATATGTCCTTTAGTATTTTTTGAAAACCCTACAAAAATTCCTTCTTGGGCTCTTAGATTAAATTTAATTATTTTCTTTTTATTTAGTACAAATGCATTTTTTCTAAAAATATTAAATTATTTTATTAAAGGAACATATGTCCCCCATTTTTCAAAAGGTGGTTTATTGTTTATAGTTAGATGGAATTTCATTTAAAATATAATTGGCTATATGAACAGCTTCAGCGCAAAATGTTTTTGGTAATTTAGATTAACATACAACAAACTTTTTCCAGTAATTTTTTTTGTTCTTTCCCTCAGCTACATGCTGGGGTGTGTATGGTGCTGAAAATGGTCTAGCTAACCTATGTTATTAAGGTCATTTATAAGTTTTGCCAGGAGCCTGAAAGAGTATCTGTTAGGTACAGAAGCATATGTTTTTCCATCAGGTTTTTCCTTTTAATAAAATATTGCGTTAAGCTGTTTTCATGGATTGGAATAATTCTATGTCGAATGGTTATTTAAGATGTGTATTGTTTGAAGACAAAACAAAAAACGAAGAAAATTTGATTATGACAGATTTTTATGACATTATAATTTTTTATGACATCTAAAAAAAGAACATTGAATCTGTATTGATTGAAGATTTTGAATCATTCGTAGCCCGCTCGAAATCCTTTTGTTTCGTATTTAATTTTTTTTTCTGTGCTGGATCATCGGTTAAGTTTATGTTTTTGTTTTTTGTTAATTACACCTGCCAAAAAACTTTCATTATATGAAGTACCTAATGAGTAATGGTAAGTGTTGCAACTATTGCTCTACTATTTTTTATGTTCTGACAATATATTTTTGTATCTGCCTCTTATACCTTTTCAGAAAATCTATTAATCCGGAATTGGCGGAATATTTTTAATCCTACCCTGCCTAATTGATCAAGATAATATTTACATAAAAAGAAATTTTCAATCAAAATTATATAATGTGTACTACTATGTAATAATAATATCCAAACATGTCTTTTTAACTTTTTTCGAAAAAAAATCTATTGGCCCTTTTTCGTTTCTGTACTAACGAACTTGTTTGGAGGAGCAAGGGATTGTTAGTAATGCGGGCTACCAGTCTCATTCCTAGAAATATACCCTGTTAGTTTGACCTTCACATGGTACCCCCTGGAAACCATAGTGCTGAATTCTAGGTGAATTCATCACGATGGGCTAACTGACCTGCCTTTTCAAAAGGTTACAAATTAATATATTAGTAAAATAAATATTACATAAAACAACATCAAATTTGTACTCCAATAACTACTCTGCATAACATTTGATATTATAAACATTAAAAGAATAACTACTATAGATTTAAAGCAACAAATTGGCAGCCTAATTATACCATTGCAAGGATTGTTGGAAAATATCAAGGTCCTCGCATACATTGTTATATTTTCTGTACATGCGGATAATTGGATACGATAAATTATTATTACAAATCGCTATATACTCGTAAAATAATTTTTGTATTCTTTATTACCTGTACGAAATGAAACATGCCTCAACAATGTGTTAGTGCCCCATGTATAGTTTATTATTTTATAGAGAGTGATGAAATCAGATATAGATCTTCTATTGATCATCCTCATATCAGCCTTTAACTGTCCACCGTTCTTTTAGGGGGGAAAGGGATTGTTAGTAATGCGGATTATCAGTACCATTGCTAACAATATACCCTAACAGGTCGACCTCCCCGTGGTCCCCCCTGGAAACCATCGTGTTGAATTCTAAGTGTATTCATCACGATGGGCTAACTGGCCTGTTTTTTCATCCTCACCTATCATCCCTCACTGGTGCCCCGCCAGCGTATACAGATAGCGCAGGCGGGGTTACCATATTCATTATTCATAAAAAAAAAAAACTGTCCACCGCTGAACATAAGCCATAAGCTAAGAGTTTTGTCAGTAGTTGTCACGCTTGGCATTGGATTGACAATCGCAGTCAGGCTTTAGAGATGTTTTAAGAGGAACGCTGCTGCCCATCCCTCGCCCATCCTTAACTGGCTCTTACGACACCCACTAGAAATGAAGGGATGGCCCATTCTATGTCGGGACAACACGGCAATTTACGTATATATAATTTACTTAGATAAAAGTTTAATTAGAATATATAATATGTACCTTCCGTAGAAATCTGAATGATAGTGAAACCTGTATTTAAAAATCCGTTGCACGGATTAGAAGCAAGCATAAAAGCAGACGCGGAATAACTTTGTTTTATACTATTTAAGATAAAAAGAGAAAAAATTGTGTTACCCCAAAAATTTTAATTACTATGTTACTTTTAAATTGTCATTAATGTATTTTTCATTTTAAATATTATCCGGAAATTACAGGAAGATGAAATTCATAATCAAGTGAAGTTTTCAGACGTTTTATATTTTACATTATTACAAATATGACATTATATTTCAACCAGTATAAACTTAAAATATTATATGCACAATTTTAGTTGCAACAATTTTTGAGTATTGTTGTTGAACGTCAATAGTATATAAAATGGAACTAAATAAATATTCAATAGAGAACCTCCTGTCTCCTAGAAAGTGTAGATGCGGGGAAACAATTTAATACCTACTTTTATATATAAGTACTTACATAGAAACCAGTTATGGAAGACTGCCAACTTGCTAATAAATATGTATTTGTTCTGTTATATACTTGATTATTAAATAAATAAATATGCTGTTCAATATAATTCATATTTTATTTACTTAGAGACTTACAATTTTTTGAACCTCCTATATCTTTCTTTTATATTCTCTTGTTCTTCTTTTTTTTTTATACTCTCTTTCTCTGGAAATAAATATTTAGTCAATGTTAGAACGGTATCTTGAAGTTCTTGTGGGACTAGGCAACAATAATGCCTCGAGCGTGACTTAAACTATATGCACCTATTTTGAAAGTACAGATAAGTGTCAAAAATAATATAAAAATATAATATTAAAAGCATATAAAAATACTAAGATATAAAAACGCAAGGCAAACAGTGCCAAGATGCTAGCATCACCTGTAAAGGATGCTATTTATAAGGTATTGATTTCAAATGCTAAACTAAATTGTATTTGATTTTATATTTATTGTTGTTTGAGTGCATAAGCGAATTGTGTTTACTGATAAACTTCTGGAGGTGAGGTTCAACAATGTAAGGATTTGCATATAGGCTACAGATAATAAAATACTCATATAGGTAAAGTAATAACATATATTTTATCTATATAAAACAATAGGAACTTTTATCTTTAAACTAGTTTGAAGAATTTCGAAACTTTCATAGTCACGCAATGGATTTAATGTTCACATTGTAAATATATTACCGATAACTGTTATCAAGGTAATTTACATGATTTGATGCATTTTGCGAAATTCCTTCTTTAATAATACTGAAATAAATATTATAATTATAAAGACATAAAAACTTCAATTTTTTGTATTGAAGCCATAATAAATAAATTTAAGTATGAGCAGTTAATATAAAATAAAATCATACAACTTTCACACATAACATATTAGCTGTGGAAAATTAAGCATTTCCAGCAATTATTTTCTACTAATTGTTACCATTAGTAATAATAGTGATTTTTTACCATTATTGTTTTAATTTGTGACAATTTCTATTTGAAGAGATAATGTTTCCTGGCAAACAGAAAGTTAAACAATTTTAGAGTAAAAAATCACACTATTTTTAACTAGTAGCAATAATTAGTACTAATTCTGGAAAAAATCCTAAGAATTGTAGCTACTTAAATACAATTATTATAATTTCAATATCTAATACTTGCATATTATTCTTATCGAGCTCTTGACATTTGCAACTGAGGTTAATAAACATCGTGGTTACTGGTACAAAATATATATCTAGATATACTATATCTAGTAAATATGACTTATTGATTTATTATACGTTGACATTTGATATAATAATATAGCTAATTATTAATTTTTATATTAATACATATATTAAGAGTTAAAATTATCTATATTTTATTACGTCTACAAATTGTTTATGTAATAAAAATAATTAAGTTGTATTAAGTAGAGAGCTGGTGCATTTATTAATTATTATTAGTTAAAATGTGCATCTTAGTGAGTGCAGATGGGGTACGATTATAGACATATCCATTTATGGAGACTGACCACATGAGATATCAATTAGTCCGGTATATCACTAAGCCGTATTCCGTTTGGGCGACGGTACATCCTCTCGTGCATTGGCAGCTCTCCGACTAGGAAGCGATCGAGAGCCTTGGACGCCGAACGCGTGTGGCCTGAACTCCTGAAGGCCGTACTTGCATCTTGACCGGCGTATTCCAGCATAATGTCGGCGCCACCGGGGTGCTGGAATGCAAGAATGTCTTATTAATATATATTTAGGTAGGTATTGCTTATGTTATGAATATAGATAATTAATAGGGAGTTGATTAACTGTTTATTAGGTATTTAGTTGAAATAATAGTTTAATAAATCTATTGATAAGGAAATCAAAAGAATTTAAACAATATTTTTATACTAACTTCTTCAAGGAATGTTGTTATGTCGTAAACGCGGTCGTATATCACAACCCAGCAATCTTGAGGTGTGTCATGGCAGCTCACTTCTGCTAAAGTGATAATTCTATCTTTTGCCTCTGGCGTTCCAGGTTCTATTTTATGGGTCCATTTGGTATCGATAGTCCAGGGATTGACCAAGCGTAGCGCTGCCATCGTGAGCGCCATGATGTCCAAGTCGTTGGCTTCCTGTGTCGGGATGGTTGGCAGGTTGACTTCACGAGGAACTTGTACGGTAGTCATTGTATTGCTTTATTAAAACGCTCTTCAGTAATCGTTGATAACGGTCAGCCTCCGATGTTCTGTATAATGAGCCGTGTTTATACTTTCTGGTAAGTTCAGCGCGATTGATGTGATATTTGTATCTCTGTAAAGGGATTATGAAACCGCATTAGTGTTGTCCCGTTGTGGCAAAGGGGTGTCTCTACAAATTAATGCAGCGAATAGAATTTCAGTAATTTGTGGTTACGTTTATCTTACCATTTTAAATCTAATTCTGAATTTCTTTTAATAAAGATGTAGTAGCTATTAATGATAATTAATTCATATTAATTTTGTTTAAACAGTTATGTTTTAACGTTTTTCAGAAAAATTTACGTTGCGCCAACCCTATTAAATGCAGTGAAGCGTAGTAAATTAAATATGATACTGTTCTGGGATCACTTTACGTCTGAGCTAAGATTATACCGCAACTACTAGGTACATAAGTACCGGTAGAAGTTTGAATATATAAAAGTTTTGGCACGGTGTACTTTTCATTTCCGTGGAAAATCTTGTAAAGTTTACTGTTTCGGTATACATAAAATAAATTATGTTAGTATATTTTATAGGTAGGTATACTTCATCTTCGTAAAGCAAAAAAATAGGAAACAGTTTTTTTTTTTTTAAACTGTGACTGTTAAATTTGATTGCCATTTTGAAAGTGATTGTGTGGGTATAATAATAAGTATAAATCAATACAAGTTCAACGGTTCTTTAGGTATTATGAAATGCACAAGACGTCACTATGTTTATATACATGCGATTTGAAAACATATAATATTTACCTTTTAGCTGATGCACCAGATCCTTGAACTTGGGTTATCTGTGTTGATATTCGTAACTTGGAGAATGACTGTCACACCAATTGTCACTGTGCCACCACTGTTCGTTGTACTGTTCAATATTCACAGTTTCAAAGAAATGCATGAGATCGTTGATCATTGCCACGAAATTACAGTTTTGTCATCTATCAGTACCGAATAGTGAATGAATTGCGGTATGTAATGCTGAAACTTATATAGTAGGCGGGCACGCGCCGCTGTTCGCTACGATTTGCTGATGTAATCGAACGGTTATCTTGCTTGCTTGGCCTGGCCTGCGCCGGAGTCGCCGCTGTGTTCGTTGAGTCGAGCCTCCATATTATTATGCCGTTTAAATTTTTTTATAAACGAATTTTTTTTGTTAATCTTTCATAAAAAGTAACATTTTAAATACTTGTATTTAGTTTTATTAATGTATGTAGATAAAATTACGCACCCACCTATGTCAACGGTATAGAATTACGAGACACTAATGGTAGATGAAAGGTCGAGGATGCTGAAGAAGTTGTCAGGTCAGTTGGTCCATCGTGATTAATTTGTGTATTCGTCACAAATTAATCACAACGATTTCCAGAAGAAAACGCGTGGAGGTCGAAACTAATTTCCCCATTCCTAGCAATCCCTTTCCCTCTATTTGTATTTTATAACCTACTTATGTTAATAATGTGAAAGTAATTTAATTTGAATGGAATTTGTTACACATATGGACCATATTTCAATTTGTAAATTATAATTTTTCGATTTCATTAATTTCGCTTCAAATTATATTATGTACCTATACTAGGACTAGGTAGCTATTTAAATTCTCTTAGGGTTTTAAAATTAATTCAGCATATTTGTAAGGTACAAATCTGTATACGAAATGCATTCCATTCCACGTCTCAGTTCGGCTAAGAAGGTGTTGTGAGGTATCGCGCTTCTTAAAGTACCCAATATGTGAGTGAATGTCAATTTAATATATTTATTATGAATGAAATAAGTACGTAAGTATTTATTGAGAGAATTTTATTATATTTTATAAAATTCAACTTCATAATAGAATGGAATCAATTCAGTACAATACAGTATCATTTAGGGTACCTCAGTTAGAATCACTAGGTAGTGATTAAATTTTTTCTTATTCGATAACACTGTGTTCCCGAGAAAATTATAAGAAATAGTAAGAAGTCCTCTAATCATAATATACAACGTTCCGGGAAAATTTGTAGTTACGATTTATTATGAAAAAAAAAACAGGCTATTGAAAACGTATATATATGTATATAATACCTAAGTATGTAAATACTGTTATACTCATTTTATAAGCATTATAATTATTTCTAGAAGAGAATTAGTATGGTTTTAGAACTTTGGATGATTTTCGTTTAAATGGTCTTATTGCATCTTACATTTAGTTAAGTATGTATGATAATAGTATATAAATACGTTACAATTTATATCATAATAAAGTTGCTCGAGATCGATTAAGTAAAATATAGCTACTAGGTATCATCATAATAAAAATTTTAATAGGAATATTATGGATTTCCAAGTTTGTTCTATTATTATTAAAGAAAGAAACATACAATTTAAAATTTTATCTCTGACCTCTGTGACCTTTGCCCAAGCTGTAAATTGCAGTTTCCGGTTATCATAATTCGGTTAACGCACTAGTTCATTATGAACCAATCTAGAGATTTCTCTTACTGTCTCAGCTGAGGGGGATGGAATTGTTAGTAATGTGATCTACCAGTCCCATTGCTAACAATATACCCCGTCAGGTCGACCTACACGTTGTTCTCCCTGGAAACCATCGTGCTGAATTCCAGATGTATTCATCACGGTGGGCTAACTGACCTGCTATTTCATCCTCACCTATCATCCCTCACTGATGCCCCTCCAGTGCTTTTTTTAGTAAGTATACATAAATGGAAGTGTCTGTATATACGTCTTATAAATTTGCAATAAATTAAAACGTTAAATATATAAAAAGGAAAACGTAGATCATTAAATAAAATATGATTAAATGTAGGTAGTGGGGATTTCATTATTGGGAATTAAAAACAAACAGTTTTTAAATAATGTTATTGCTTTAACTTCTTCATTTATGTCACTAACGGAGGTCATATGTTTTGTTTGTTACACACCACTGATAAAATCACGTATGATCGATCGAGATTCGATTCTAGTTACGTATGTATATTTTACGTATAATTGTGACGTATGTCGTAGACGGTGAACGAACTCTTTCAGTTATTTCAATAAAAAAAAGTTAACGCGTCTCTTATTTCATCCGTATGTTGTTTATTGTAATAATATGGTTATGGGTAGTATTATTGATTAACGGAAAATATGTTTTTCTAAATTTCTACTGTAAGTACGCACAAATTATTGTACGTAATTCTTATTATTGAATATGTGTTATATATTTATTATGTGTTGTGTAGAAAATATGATGAAAAATACTGATGAAAAACGTTTTTGTTGTTGCGCGTCGTTAAAACATCTAAGAAATCCATATAATTTTTCTATCAAAATATACTTACCTATACATATATTGTCAATGATGTAACATTCACTATAAGTTACACATTACACGCGTGATAGAAGTGAATGATGACAAGTTAAAAAATATTTCATTATGTTAACATTTAAACTAAACTTTAAAAATATAAAATAGTCATGTACTTACCTATTTATTTTGTATCGTTCTTTAGATAGATTTTCTACAAGTAAGTTAATATGGATATAGTAGAGGGAATGGATTGTTGTCTAATGCCGATGTAGATGCAGTCCCATTGCAAACAATATACTTTATTAGGTCGACATCCACGTGATCCCCCCCGAAACCGTACTGAATTCCAGGTGTATTCATCACAATGGGCTAACTGACCTGCTTTTTCGTTCTCACTTATTATTCCTCACTGGTGCCCCGTCAGCGTATACTGTTAGTGCATACGAAACTTTCATTCCATTATCATTCATTAAAAAAAATATGAGTATGTGTAGATATATTAAGTATTTTATAACAATTACCTTATTATTTCATTTGCTTGAAATTTGATTATTGTAGGATATCGTAATAGTTTAACCATCAGACGGGCTGTATATTTCTCACCTTTCTTCGTTCTGTACTTGTGTACTTTTCTCTTTGAGATATAAAAAGCTTTTTATACGATTATAGTCATATTATCAGTTTTAATTAATATTGATGACTGACGTATGAAGTCATCAATATTCAAGAAAATCATTATTATAATCGAATGATATCTAAGAAATTATTTTTATATCCTGACGACTCGTTAGCCTTTTTTTTAATGAATGTAAATGTTACAATGTTTATATCTCACCTACACTTATTGGTTTGGGCTGATACGGTCCTAGAGAAGTCATCTCGGATCAGTTCACTTTTTTTTTACAACTTAGAATGGCAAACAAGCTGACGGCCCACCTGATGGAAGGTGGTAATCGTCATCGTCATCGTCAGCAGTACCATGGACGTAACAGAGTATACTGTTTCGCCCATGATACTCTCCATGCGTTGCCATTCCTGAGGACTCAGATGTTATTCCTTTGTACCCAGTAAATTCACGCCATATCCTATCCTTCAAACCGAAACACAGCCATGAAAACACAACTGCTTTACGGTTGAAACACGAATGGGACAGAGGTACCCAAGCAATCGACATTTGTACAAAGTCTCCCTCTGGTAAACTTGTCGTGATGGATTTAGAACATTATATTACAAGAAATAATTACGATGGTTTGAGTCCCTAATAGATCGAATTTCACGTACAGTCAGCTTGACAGGGTACTGAATAGTATTGCTACCAAAGGGGTTTCTAATTTCCGTTACTTACAATTCCCACTCCCCGTTTTTTTATCTATGAGACAGATGGAACGCCATTTACCTCTGTCCTTATTTTTTTGTACGTAGACTGAAACAGAAATGTTTCACGCAACAGTAAGTTGGATTCTATAGTTAGGTTAATAGTAATTTAATCTAAAAAAGGCCAGAGGAAAGAAAATGTTGATTTTATATCTGTAATTCCCGTGTGGTCCTGATAGAATAGGCCACTCCTTTTCCCGTGTGTGTTGTAAGTGGCGAGTAAGGGAGAGCGAAGGATGGGCAGCAGCGTCCCTCTTAAAACATCTCCAAAGCCTAACTGCGGTCGCCAATCCGCCAACTATTGGCAAAACCCCCCTTGGGGGAGGGTTATGTTTAACAGTGGACAGTTAAAGGCTGATATGTTGATGACGATACCTGTAATATTTATTTATTTTATTTATTTATTTATTTTTATTTATTTAACACTTTATTGCACCAACATAACATGATTTGTTAAAACAATTTTCAATACGTATAGTGTAGTACAAAAGGCGGTCTTATTGCTAAGCAATCTCTTCCAGACAACCTTTGGGTAGAAAGGATTAAAGCATAAGTAGGTAGGTGGCGCGTTAAAAAAGATAGATTTGTAAAAAATAATATTTGTGACAGCATCGTCATACACATATACATACATAAATAAACACATACAACCAAACATATACATATATATACATATACATACACATATAAATATATATACATATACATATAGCATAAATACATACAAATATACCATATTAATACACATATATATAACACACATAAAACTGGAAATACGTAGGACTAAGTGATTATAAGGATAGGTAGTGGGCTTTAACTAAGTTTTTAAAAATGGGCAACGATTGAGCGCACCGTATAGGGGTAGGGAGTGAGTTCCACAAACGAACTGCTTGCACGGAAAAGGATTTGGAGTAGAAAGAGGAAGAATGGGTAGGAATTATGAGTTGGAGGTTGTCAGTACTACGTAAAGAATAAGAATTAGAATTGCTCTCTCTCAAGAAACATAAAACGTTCTTTTAAATAATGAGGTGTAACTGGATTAAAGAGAATTGAGTAAAGAAGGGAAAGGATTATGTTTAACGAAGACGGATAGAGACAGATATTGGGATACATGGTCATAATCCAAATATGGTATACATAAATTTTGATATGTTAATGACTCTTCAGTGACATTTGAATAACAGGAATCGGCGTAGTCAATATTTAGGAGCAATGTTGAGCTTGCAATTTTTATCCATTTTCCATCATTTACTGAGATGATACAATATTTCCAATAAAAGTTTATCAAAACAAATAGAGTTATTTG